GGCCATCCAGTAGATTGGCATCACCAGCAGTGCATACGACCTGGTTCATGCACTTTGGCTTGCATGCGTCCAAGTCCCCCTTGACCAGGAAAGTCGGGACGCCATGGGCCTGCGCAGAGGGCACCTTGCCCGGGTCCGCTGTCAAAAAGAAATGTGGCCGTGACGACACCATAGGCTCTCGAGTGGAGATGGACCAAACAAAGAAGGTCAAAGACACGAGCAAAAGGTGTCGTTGCGCCATTCTACATCGGGGTTTGTGAGACAACAGCGCGGCTGTGGAACGCGTGACTCTCAGCTGTGACGATTCCGCAAGTTGGGCTTCGTAACGGCTCGTACTGCTAAGAACCTGGCTCTCACCCGGTGGTCCCTGATCCCGGCCTCGTCGGGGCTGTTGGTCACGAACGTTAAGAAAAGGCAGGGTTATCAGACGGGAAGGGGAGGAACACAGGATAGATCACCGCGAAGAAAAATGTAACTAGCTACTTGGCGATTCCTCCGGCTTGTTCGTCTCCTCAAGAATCATCTCCATCGCCCTTGCTAAAAGTGCTTTGCCCTCATCGCTGTCTAACTCATGAACAGAACACCATCCTTGACCTTCAATAAAACCGCGCTCGCACCGCAACTTGCTAATTTGACAAATCTTCTGAAGTCTTCCTGCCAAATTCCGCGCATACTTCTTTCCATTTCGGCGCTGATGCTCTTGGGAGCAGGAATGCCCACCCCGCACCCAGCCTGAAAGGCCCCAAAGTTTCTATCTTCGCTGAGCCTTCGGCAGTACCAATAATGGAGTAAAGATGATTCATCTTCGAGGTTGTGGAAATTATCGCGGAGTCTGTTGCCCTGCACGCACGTCCTGCATGTTTCGGTGATAATCTGAAAGGTTGGACTCCAAGTCGGCAGGGCTGGTTATGGCTGCACTTCTTCTGTTCAACGTCGTTAAGGTGACCGCACCTAATCGAGCCTTGGGTGATAATATGTGATGCCATCGTTTTATTGCAGGTAGTTTGACAACGCCTGTTTGGGCTGCAGAAGACTTGTATTGGTTATGAGTGTGTTTATATGTGGGTCATTCAATGCCTAATATGTGAGAGATCCAGCTTCATAGCTGCCGGCACTCTTTCTGAGCCTACGATTTTAAGAGCTAATACTTCACCTAGAAGCTGTCGTAAGACTTGAAGTCTCATTACTATGCTATGTCGTTGGCGGTATCACCTGCGGCACCCATGCAAGGTGCAGTGCAAGCTTGGTAAGAGGTCAATCTGGTAAGTTTCGGCTGCTGCAGAGAGCTACTGCATTGACCCACAACGAATGGTTATAATGACTTGAGCTGGCCTCCGCGGTGTGTGTACCTCAGGGGTAAGATATTAGTCCGCGGCGTTGGTGTAGGAATGTGGCTCCCACACCAAGGGGTGCAGAGCCAACGTATAGAACGTACGCCAAGAAGGGTCACGACGCGGCACAAGTCACTTTACGGTGACGCGTAACAGACCCCTACGCGCTTTGTAAACAAAAGGGGTTTCCTAGCCCGCACCGGTACCTACTTAGGATGAGCTTTCAATACACACCACAAGACTCCTAATGTGCGCATCCACATAACTGTGACAGCCTCCCAGCGCTGAGGCGGGACATAACATCCCGCTGTCATATTAACAGGCATTCATTCAGCCCGAAGGGCCTTTATACCTCATCGCAGTCCTTTTATTCATGTTGGGATGCACTTGAAGATCGCTCAACGCACTTACCGACCACCATCCAGGCCCCAAACGCTGTGAAATGTTACATTAATACAAAGAGTAGGTGAAGAGGTGAAAACAAGAAGTGCGCGAACATGGATCACTACATGTGGTGAGTCCCCTCATCTTAGAGAGCAGGGATCACGGCTTGTGGACGCCGTGGCCCTTGCTCGGGTAACAAAGGATGCTCGTGCAACGATTATGGCAGGGATCACAGCCTGTGGTATATTTATTGATAACACGTCATCCCCCTCGTACTGTATCTGGCCAATCAATCATCTGATGAGGGACGTACGAGTAAGCTTTCCATGGACTTAATTGAGGCTGAGCGTCCAAGTCGCCGTGACTTCATCCTGAGAGAATGAAACGAACTCGTCCTTCAACCGGCCAAGATCTGTCAGTCAATCGCCCGTGAAATTGAAAGAGTGAGTCGCAAAGACATCAGCCATTCTACTACCTATTAGATGACCAGCGACGAATCAACCCCGCCCTTGGAGCCTAGCGTTCTCCCCACCGCACGTAGGGCAAGTATTTCCTTTGACCTTGCCCGTGTCGCGGCAAGTTTCGCAATCGTACATATTTCCGTATCGGCAAGTGAAGGGCAGAGTGTGTAGTCGTCAATATGATAAAAATCAGGTCAGAGACAGTGTAAAAGATGCTATGCGGAATAACATTCTCAACTATCTGTCGCGATGAAGTCGCCTGTTTATTGATTCCAAATGGACACGTCACGTTAGCCCCTCATGTGATCATTCTGCCTTCTGGGCAGCAGCTTTTTGGTTCGTCACAATGAAACTTTCACGTGACAATAAGCCCCACATCCCATCCACTTGTCCGTTCTACTAGATTCTCTTAGCTTCCAGCCATGGCACGTTAATAGCCCCGTCGACAGCATGGCAAAAGAGATCCGTCAGCACCCAAAGTGTACTTGCTCCGCTTTCTTTCTAACGAGCGACGGGTTGAATGCTCATCTAGAGGAGAACCGAGTATGTGGCCTACAGCTAGTCGGTGCCTTGCTAACTTTTCTCCAGTCGCTGGCAGGTTACTTGTCTGCTCGTCTCGAAATATGCAGAAGTCATGCTAAGGCATCCGACGGCGACGATTCACCGACCGGGGACGACGACGAGTTTGGGATAGACAAGGGCAATACGGACAAGCAGCACCGTTGCCCCGTGAGGGGGTGCGATCGCAGAGTCACCCCATTCGCGTCGCGGCAAAGGCTCCGGCGCCATTTCCAACAACGTAAGTGCTCGCTTTCTTTCTATCCGGCGACCAGATTTTTAACACTGTATCCCAGATGTCAAGTGTGACGAGATATGTGTGTGTTGCCATCAGGTGTTGAAACGTGCAAGGGACTATATACGGCATGTCCAACGACACCAGGACCCGAACAAAACGAAGCTTACCTGCCACCGAGACGCGCACGAAAATACCAAGCTTGCATACATAAATCAGATGTGTGACGAGCTGCGTGATCGGGCGGATAAAGAGCTGGAATCTGCAGAGAACAGTTACCATTCGGCCGGCGAAAAATTGACTAAGAAGAGAGCGAGCGACATGGCTGGTCTCGACATCCAAGCCAGAGGATCCCAAATACCCCGGCACAACATCGCTGAAATGATACCCCAGAATCACTCGCAATTTCCATGTGCCAATGGTATTTGCCCTGCCAATCCTTTTCAACTGAGCTGACATAGTGCAAGGTATTCCCACCATCCACGAGCAGCCGTCTGATTCCACTCAACTATCAACAAGCACGATACATCTTGCACCAGGTGCCGAGCCTGTGACAGGTTACTTCGCAACATTAACAGATACACATCTCGCCAAGTCTGTTGAAGGATCAGCCACAATACTGGACGACTTGATATTCGATGCTCCGGTAAATTGTATTGTAAATTTCCCGACTTCATGGAACCATGGGCTGGATTGGCTCAGCAATAGTTTAGGATCCGTGGTACTGGCAGAAGCAGGAGGTCATGGGTCCGAACTTCGGGAGGGTCCTCGAACTCAAAGTTGATTCGAATATTGGAACTCTGCATCCCGGCCACCTTCTCTGCCAAACCAGGAGTATTTGGAAGAGTCATTTTAGTCCAACGCTCGAGTATGTCGACTGTCGCAAACTCGAATGTAATCGCATAGCCTCTCTTAATCTCAAAGCCGATCCGCCCATCGAGGACTGCTCTTTGCAATCCATCAGCATGTGTGGTTGCAACATTGGGAGGTTACTCACATGCCGCCGCTTGGGAACTCTTCCACTTTGCATCTGCAACCCACCTCAACAAGCGCAGATTCCGATAACTCATGCAATAGCCTCTTCCCTTCCGTTGTTGGCAACTCATGTTCGTGCGAATGACTCCAGTAGCCAACTTGGGTTCCTTTGGCTAGCAGATGGACCAACAGACGGCGACGACCAGCTTTCGGGCCCCCACTTCTAAAGCACACAATATGGCCTGGATACGCTTTGTATCTCAGCCAGTGTGCAAGGATGCAGGCCTCATCGCCAAAGAATGTTTCGACAATCGAGCGAATGCGCTGGTACGATTAGATACATCTCATTGCACAGGTTATCCTACTCACCTCATTCAAAACGTGTTGCTCGCAAAAGTCGAGACCGTATTCCGAGTTGTACGGGAAACCCCTCCTTTGCATCTCCGAAATGGCCTCCCCTAGAGCCGGATCCTGTACATAAGAGAAACCCTCTTCCATGAGGGATTTCTTCGCGACCTCCGGCGAGATTCTGGTCGAGGCCATAGACAAATGTAGAAATTCTTGATCAAAAGGGTTGTCGATGATCGGTCGAAAGGCAAAATCGCTTAGTGCAGCCCAGTTGGTAAGCGGGAACCGGCGACCCGACCAGGAAAAGCTGTTTTTCCCATCGCCGTCAGCCCACAGTTAACACCAGTGAGTGTTTAGCCTAACCTGGCAGGGACCACAAGTCGTGGTTATGTACATCCAACAAAGTGGGGCGTGGCACGCGGGTGGGGATTTGTTTTCCGACTCTCGTTGGCCCAAGGATTTCACCGAGTCTCTTGGCTGCGAAGGTTTTAAAACCATTTTTCCCTTCCTTCCACTCCAACCGATCCAAATGCGCCGTGACGCCCGCGACGCCCGCGACCCGCTTGTCCTACCTCGACCACCACCTGGCAAGGACGAGGCTAGTCGTCATGGCGGACCCAAATTGCTCAAATATCATAAAGGACTACCCCATTGCAAATGGCCTCGACGCTTTCCGTGCTTCGTTTAGTTCGATCTGCGAAGCCAGGCATGTCCCGAGGTCCAGACGCGCTAGAGCGTCTTGGTCAAGAAGGTACCTCCCCCGGCTTTTGTTTTCGCTGCAAGGTCTGTCTAACTGCCATATAGACCTCCAGAATATTGTTCTCGACCTTCTCTCTACGTTACAGATTCATCCAGCTGCTCGACTGCTCCGTTCTACCGGAGATGGTAAAAACCTCTTCGGCGATTTGTTGCAACTCAATTCCGCTGTCAACTCTGGCGAGTTCGACTTCGACCGTATCAAGCCGCTTGTTAAATCGGCCCTCGCCGACATTCCTGATGACATACTCATCTGGATTCATGTCTATCGTGCCGTCACCGAATCTACCCCGCCTCCCCGACCTATATCTTCGTCTATCCAACAAACACCGTGGAGCCAGAATACAAGCGGCTTCGTGAACTCGTCGGAATTCCGCCAGAATGTGGACCCGATCCTCAAGTTGGAGCTCGAACGTCTCTATGTCGGACTTCCCAAGTTCCACCAAACCTTCTTTGCAGACGTGCCAGACCTAGACATGGTTTCTGAGGCCGTCTTCCGCAGGTGTATTGAAGGCGATAATCCACTCTTTAAAGAGGGATGGAGTGGATGGCCTGCAGGCGCCAGAGAAAACGACGTACTGTCTTGGTTTGGCAGCTTAATCCCGAAGCTGGAAGCGTTCGCCAGCAATCGCACTCCGACTCCGGCGCCACGGCGAAAGCTGTTGGCACAGCCGAGGACACCACTGCAGGGCTCCACAGGCAAACGCAGCCTTGATATCGGCTTTGTCAATAGCGACATCACGTACAAGCCTGACTCTGAGGATTCGAGATATCGTTGGTCTCACATCCTTGTTGCTGGCGAACTGAAAAGCAACCCGAAGGCCGACACATCATCAATTGCGTGGATTGATCTCGCAAGGTATGCGAGAGAGGTACTCGCCGCTCAAGACACCCGTCGCTTCGTCTTGGGCTTTACTCTCTGCGGATCTCATATGAGGGTCTGGGAGTTCGACCGACTTGGGGGAATCGCCTCCGAACAATTCGACATCAACAAGAAGGATGGTGGGTTACAGTTTGTGACCGCAATCCTCGGGTTTCTACGGATGAATGATGAGGTGCTTGGGTTTGACCCTACCATTGTCATGTCCAACGGCGAACGGTATATTGAGATTGAACGTGATGGCCAAACAGCGCGTCTCATCATTGACAAGGTCATGAAGCGTTCCTCCTGCATTGTTGGTCGAGCAACAACGTGTTGGAAAGCCCATTGGGAAGAAGACCCCTGGACGCCGCTCGTTATCAAGGACTCCTGGCAGTACACGGACCGAGACGAAGAGGGTATACTTGTCCAAGAAGCGACTGAGAAAGGCGTCATCAATATTGCCCGATACTACCATCACGAGACCGTTCGCGTCCACGGTGCGGATGATGACGTCCAAAACAATGTTCGAAAGGGATTGGACATCACCAAAGCCACGAATTATCGACCAGGACGTGCGATGTTGCCGGCGGCGAGCGCGTCCATTGTGTCGCGCAAACAGTTAAGCAGCGGCGCCGGCGTGAAGCGACCGTCCAGCGAAACTGACGCCGCTCTGCCGCCGAGCAAACGATCCGTTTCAACATCTCCGGTCAAGGCAAGCGTCAAAGCCCTGTCAAACCGTGTACACCGGCGGGTCATTCTTCGTGACTATGGAAAACCGATATACAATGCAAGTTCACCCGTGGCGCTACTTGCAGCGCTGGAGGGCTGCATAAAAGGTCACCAATCCTTGTATAAAGCGGGCTTTCTTCATAGAGACATCTCCATCAACAATCTCATGATCAATGAGGACGATGAAAACCCCTCCCGGCGAGCTTTCCTGATCGACCTTGACCTCGCCATCAAAACTCAACGAGAAGGTGCTTCGGGAGCAAAAGGAAGGACGGGTACAAGGGCATTCATGGCCATCGGAGCACTGCTGGGCAACGAGCAGCACTCTTTCATGCACGATCTTGAATCATTCTTCTGGGTCCTGTTCTGGATATGCATTCACTATGACGGCCCGAATAAAGATGTCGGATCAACTGAGTTTGACGATTGGAATTACCAGAACGACAAGCAGCTGGTTCGTTCCAAAAAGGGCGTAATTGATGACGAAGACGATTTTCTCAAAACTGCGGAGGAAGTTTTCACACCATACTACCATCCGTTAGTTCCATGGGTTAATAGATTGAGGAGGAAGGTGTTTCCAAACGGTGAAAGGTGGAAGAAACCGGCGCCGGAGCTGTATCAAACAATGCGGGACATTCTTCGTGAAGCACAGAAGGATAGGGGGGTGACGGGCACGTATCCTGGAGCCACAGACGAACGATAGACATTTGTGCTCGCGATTGGCAAACAATGTCAACGACAGGTACTGGGTGGTGATCGGTGAGCTTAGCCTTCCTTAGTTACCTCAATTCCTGTTTATTATATCACGCCCATAGCTCAACGATGGAAGAGGGCCAACGTCCTGTCTATTTTAAGGGAGGGTTAACCATCCACCACTTTCTACTATTCATCCACCAACAAGGGACGTATATGTGTGGCTGATCGCCGTAGAGTGTACACCACCAATTTGTATGTATGCGCTCCCGACTTCCATCTCTGAGCGCATAAGCAAGGTTGGCTACCTGCAAATTCAGCTGATACTGTCCACTAGGGTCGACTCGGTGATGGAGAGGCTGGCTGCTGCGTGCGTCTTTTGGGGGGGGGTAGGGGGGCGCTTTAGCTACGCGGGGGGTAGAGTAGAAGGTGCTTGCTCTTCCGCGAGTCGCCTCGGTGATGGATTGGTTGGCAGTTGCGAGTGTGCGGTATATTGGTATTGGGTTTCACGGCGGCGGGTTCGGTCTTCACCGCGCTGGCGGTCCGTATCGTGCAAGACACGGAGGATCTCGTGGTGGGGAACTCTGACAAGCTGAACGGTGCCGATGGGACCTCTCCGATTCGAGATCCCCCAAGGTTCGCCGAACCTCTTCGGGTGAGACCGTGACTGGGTGTTCTCGCGGCATTCTGTACGGGGATGGCCAAGAGTGCGCAGCCCTCGAGCAGTGCGCAAACTGCCTCGGGCCACATTGCGCTGATGACCCTAAATGCCCTGCCCGCCCCAAGCGCGTTCATGGCATTGTACGGCGCCTGACGAAAGAGGAGAAGGGTCTGGTGAGGCAGGCGGGAGCTCAGCTCTTCGCGCAGCAGAAAAGACAGACACCAAACCACAACGTGCCCGAGCAGTCTTGTCAGAGCCCTGATTCGAGTCAGTTACGTTCTTCGGAGTCGCAGGCAGCTGGAGAGGATGGAAGCTCCGGCAGAAGCGCCACTCCAGAGCGAGCCGCTTCCTCACCCCCTTGCATTGTCGTGGCCACGACGCCGCCGCACGCTAGCGATGACAACCAGTTCACCCCTGTCGTCCCGTCGAAGAAACGACGCACTAGCCCTGTGACGCTGCCCTAATGCATCACCATCATCCCAACAATCGAAGCGACAGGAGGGCCTTGCGAGTCTTCCAAGCCAACGTGGGCAAGATCCCTCCGGCGCATGACACTGCGCTCGCGCTGGCTGATTCGGAGCGATACGACATTATCCTGCTGCAGGAACCATGGACAGGACTTAAAGACGGCCGATGCCTCACCAAGACGCATCCGGCCTACGACACATTCTCACCCGTCACCGACTGGGACGGCCGCGACACTCGTCCGAGAGTCATGACATACGTCCGGCGCTCCGCAGGCCTCGTCACTGATCAAAGGAGACCTACGGCGACCCGTGACATTCTTTGGCTCACTGTGAGCGGTATCACTATAGTCAATTTCTATCGGCAGCCGAACTACGACGAGGCCCTAGAAACGCTGCTTCGGTGGACCGCGCCGGACAAGTGTCTTGTTGTTGCGGGTGATTTCAATGCCAAGCATCCCAGCTGGCAGGCCGGTCGTCGAGAGGACCGCGGCGAAGATATAGCGTTTTGGGCATTGGATAATCGACTCAGCTTACTGAATCCTGTCGATGTCCCGACCAACGCGCACGGCAACACGGTCGATCTCGCCTTCTCGAATATACCCCTGGCCGACGCTGTTGTCGAGGACCATTTAGCAACGAGTTCCGACCATTTCACCCTTGGCATCACACTGCCAAAGCATGTTCCGGCACCTCTTCCGATAGGGAAGATCCGTCTCAGCTCCGATGAGGAATTGAAGCGGTTCGTCGAGTTAGTAGAGGTCGGCGCCGCCGCCATCCCAGTCACCACCGCATCTCCATCAGAGCTCGACGACCTTGCGTCGGCGCTTGTGAACCTTCTCGGGTGTGCAGCCAGAGCTGCTGGTCGACCTGCTCGCAAGACTACGCATGGCGCGCTGTGGTGGACCGAAGAATGCGCAAAGGCGGCGGCCAGTTACCGCGCATGGAGGAGAGTTTACCCTCTCGGCTTCGACCGAGAAGTGCAGCTAGCCAAGAGGGAGTTTCATAAGGTGGTGCGCCGGGCAAAACGCCTTTACTGGCGCGACTTGATCGACAACTTCACCGACAGCGCCTCCGTGTTTAGGGCGGTCCGCTGGCTGAAATCTCCAGGCTCGTTTCAAGCGCCTCCCCTGCAAGTAGATGGACGAGTGTATGAGACGCAGCTGGAAAAGGCCACCGCCTTACGACAGGCCACTCTGGAACGGCGCACAGCGAACGACGACATCCCAGACCCGTGGGTTCCCGTGAAAGCAGGGACGACGATACCGTTCGCCGATCGGGTCTCTGTTGAGGAGACCCGCGATGCCATCTTACGCACCGGGAACACATCTCCAGGCTCTGACAACATCACGGTGCGGATGCTACGCGCCGTCTGGCATGCAATCGGCAGCCTCGTCCACCAGCTGTATCAAGGCTGCCTCAGCATTGGCCACCATCCGAAGCCCTTCCGAGGAGCAGAAGTGGTCATGATTGCCAAGCCGGGGCGCAGGGATCTCTCTACACCCCGCGCCTGGCGCCCCATCTCCCTTTTGTCCTGTCTCGGCAAGGGTCTCGAACGGCTCATCGCACGGCGCCTAGCGTGGGCCTCGGTCCATTTCGGCGTGTTGCACCCTCAACAAGCCGGCGCGCTTCCGAAGAGGTCGGCTGTGGATCTTGTGGCTGCCTTGGTTCACGACATCGAGGAGGCGTTCGCTCGCAAGCAAGTCGCGACATTGGTGACCTTGGATATACAAGGCGCCTTTGACACAGTCCTACGCAACAGATTGATCCTTCGCTTACGGGAGCAAGGCTGGCCACCAAACCTCGCGCGCTGGGTCGGCTCGTTTATGCAAGACAGGTCGGCACGCATCCGCTACCAGGATATCGTAACGGATTCATCGCCACTCCAGTGCGGTCTGCCACAGGGATCGCCAGTCTCTCCGATCCTCTTCCTACTGTATACGGAACCAATCTACCGCCAGGGCAGCTCAAAAGGGCGTTTCGGCTATGCGGACGACACTGCCATTCTCTGCGTCGGCAATAGCCTAGACGAGACGTCCGCCGAAGCATCTCACCTCGTGGGTGAGCTTGTATCGTGGGGCGCCGCCAACGGGATCTCCTTCGACCCTGAGAAGACAGAAGTGATGCACTTCTCTCGAACGACGCCCAAGACGGCGCCGTCAGTGCTCCATGGCGAATTTGAGAAACGGCCAGACCGAGCGATGCGCTGGCTCGGCGTCTGGCTCGACAGCACACTGTCTTTCAAGATTCATGTCGAGAAATGGACGGCCAAGGCACAAGCAGTCGCCTTCCATCTCAGGAGACTGACAAACACCAAGCATGGTCCTCTACCGAGTGACTCGAAGCTATCACGTCGCTCGATTTCCCACGTCAGGGCAAAGGGATGAACACGGCCGACCATAAAGAACCACTGCTCGGTCCATTCCGAGGGGATTATCTGTTGGTTGTATATGGAAATATTAAGGCTCAAGAAGATGCAGGTCGATGGATTGTCAGGATCTGACCGGATTGCTGCATACTCTGGAGTCGACAGCCATGAGGGCGTTGGAAGGAAGACCCTCGCTAGGGTTTCTGCGTTGAGCCCTTTGACACGATGCTCATTCTGGTAGGCGAACCTAGACGGGCAGCCGGGCTGGACAAAGGCCATCATGGACATGTCGGCGCCAGCATTTTTCTGGCTGTCAAGAGGTTGCCGCGGGGAGGACGAGGTATCGACGTTGAGCTGGGAGGCCGACATCGTGAGAACATGGCAGATGTGGTCACCGTGGAAGTGTAAAGGAGGGGTTAGGCAGAGTAGAGGTAGGCATCCTATAAAGCAGGTTTTCTTGCTGCTCGAAAGAGGGCTCGTGGCTCGGGTCGGGGAGACTTGAGAGTCAGTGAATGCTACCTAGGTGATAGATCAGAAGCGGGGGTATGCGGGAATGAGCTGGCGAGGTTCTCGAGCAGTCTCGACCATCTGGTTCTGTGGTCGTGAGTGAAGTAGGAGCCGGGGTTGGAAGTTGAGTAGGGGTGATGGCTATGTTGCGAGAAGTTGGAGGTCGGCGAACGGTAAGGTTAGTGTGGGTAAGACTGCGGAGAAAGAAAGTCCAGTAGTCCCCTTCGGTGTCATCGTTGCATGGAGTAGATAGCAAAGGGGGCAATAACGAATGAGAGTGAAGGAAAGAAAGAGGTTATGGTAGTATTGCAGGACTCCTTTTGACGGTCGTCGGTAGTTGGATGGGCATTGCGTGCGGCTGAGCGAGGCGGGTGCCGACCGTGTCGAGTCTACTATTGGGACACGGTGAAGTCGGATATATGGGTCGACCTGAGGAGGAGGATGCGAGTTGGTCACGAGACTTTTCCAGAGGGGTTGCAAGTCGAGACTCCGGGGGGTAGCGACTACAAGAGGACAGGCAGGGGTCCTGGCTATCGCTTTAGCATTAAGGCCGTTGATGCGACATTGGTGCTGGCGAGGGAGCAAATCTAGAAGGGTAGTCCGGCTGCATGAGGGACGTCATGGACATGTTATCGCCGGCAGCCTTGTGGCTGTTGCTCGACGAGGCGGATTGGCGGGTATTGATGGTGAACTGATGCGCAAGGTTGGTAGGATGGTGTTGGAAGGGCTGAAGAGTATGGTTTGAAGTGTGCGGCAGGCGGTTGTCGCGGCCATCTCCATGTGCCGGAGGTCGGCAGTGGCCAGGGATTCGCTGGAGTGCGCAAAGAGAGCACGGCGATGGAAGGGTCGCTTTGGCAAAGCTGGGGTAGCAGGTCGCACGTGGAGACCAGGCGAGGCCGGGACGGTGGACGCACATAGATAGGCATGGTAACGGGGAATATAGAGGGTAGTATTGCATCGCCTCGGTACCATAGGAAGCATTTTATAGGAAGCTATAAGGGAAGAAACGCCACGGCCATGAGGAAGTGATGGTTAGGAGCTTCCCATTCGGGAGAAGTAGCGTCGTCAACAAGCGAGACTGTCCAAGTGGAGGTGCTCCGGAGCCAAAGCTTTATAGCCTGTTGCCAATTTACGGCAGTCGACGTCGAGGAGGCAGCAGCATGGCGGACAGTCCTGCAGTGAAGCTAAGCGAGGCGGTTGCTCACCCTGAAGCCTGTTCGTTGTCAGTCGGGGATGGAGAAGAGGGTGAGAACGTGAGCGGGTCGGGTTCGGGGCTCGGAGATGGTGCGACAGGAGCCGGTGTAGATGTGGTGGCAGCTTCTGAGAGGGCCGCAGAGCACGGGGAGAGCCTGGGACGGTTACGAAGATACGAATCACGGGCGAATGCGGCATCAACGTTCCGGCCGATTCAGCCTAGGAAACCTGTGGTTGAAGACACCGCATGGAGACAGCACGCAGAAGCAATTGCGAGGTCGTTGCCGAGAAGACCGCCGCGAGGCGGTTTGCGGTCAAACAGAGCACGGAAGTTCCATAATATGGTTAGCAGCGGAAGTTCCGCGCAACATCAGTCACCGGGTCAGCTTCCGAGGCCCCTGTTGCCTAGGGAACGTGGAGATATGGGGTAGCGGACTCTGATCGTCCGCTCCTCATCGGCACTTTCTGCCTCAGGAGGAGATCCTGAAGATGAGGAGCAACGTGTTACGGCGGCGGCGGGCGATGTCCCGAGTGTTCATTCGAAGGAGGTACCGAAGCTTCGATCCATCCAGCCTAGGGAACCGGTATTCGACAACTTAAGAGAAAACGGGCAATTAGCAGCAGCGATTGCGTCTGGTTTGCCCAAGCGCCGTCGGGGACGGAGTTGGCGGGTAAAGGGTACCAGGCCGCAGGGGTGTCTCCAACGCAGCAGGTACGGCGCAGCATCCGGGGCCGTCTCCTGTGGGGTGGGCGACGCCGCGGCAGAGCCAGCGGACGCTTCGCTGAGCGGGCGGAGGCTGCAACAAAGGGAGGTGGGCGGCTCATCGCGGGTGGCGGCTGGGAGCCCGTGCAGTTTGATCGGCAGCAAGAACGAGGAGAGTGCTGGAAAGGGCAAGGACTGAGGTCAAGGTTCGGCATGGAAAACGTTCGCCAGCACGGCCCGGTGCCTGTCCAGTGCAAAGGGCCGGATGGCGTGTCAGGATGCGCACGTAGTCGGGCAGTCGTCGCCAAAGCTGCCGCATCCGACGGCTTGCGAAGAAGCGAATCAGCCACGGAGAGAAGAAATCATGGATCGGAGGCGGCCCGGAGGCGGCCCCGGAGGCGGGAGAAGAGAAAACGTCTTCCTGGTCCGGACGAGCGCCCGAGAAAACAGATTCGGAGTGGAATCGGAAGGCAGAGGAGTCGGGAGCTGCGGGCCGAAGACCTGGCGAGTGTGCTGCGTTTTTTGGAGGAAGACTTCGCCATGAAGGAGAGGCTGTCTAACGATCAGACGTGGTGTACGCCAATACCGCACGACAGGAAGGTGTCGACGGTGCGGGATTTTATCAGGCGTTCCACGATGCGAGCACGTTGCCGATACGGACCTGCATGATGTGCTACCGCAAGCGTACGAGAAAAGAGCTGAGGAGATCAGATGGGATCAATGGCTGTCAAGCTGCGTGCCAGAGGGCGGCCGCTCACCATTTTCATGCCGGAGCTGCTTTCCCGAAGGCGAGCCCGTGTCGGTCGTGTGCGAGTGTGCCCGATGCCTGGCGCGCGGGAGTCTGTCGCCGGCGGTCCATCTTCACACTCGCCTTGGCTATGAGCACATGTTCCCTGACGAGCTCAAGGGACTCACGCTGGTCGAAGAGAAGCTCGTCTCGCTCAACTCCTGCTATGGGTTTGTCACGAGATATAGCATTCCGGGCGGGCAGAGGCAGGCCGTGAGGTATCCGAGGCACGTCAAGGGCCACATCACAGTGTTTCCCAACAACGTGCAGGAGCTGGCGACCAAGGTGCTCCCGCACCCCCTTTTGCAAGCACTGGACGAGATCCACGTTTCGTGGCAGGGCGTGGAGAAGCCGGCACCGAGCGACCTGTCGAGTCTCTTGTCGGTGAGGCGGCGGGTCGTCGAGAGGGCTCTTGTTTGGCTGAAGAGGAGCAACCCCCACTACGCCGAGATCGAGATCGACGTGGCGGAGATGGAGAGTTGGGGAGACCCGATAGACGGGGTGCCGGCCTTGGTGTATGATCGCATGGAGCGGAACGAGCCGTCCGCATGGGAGAAAACGCGGACGGCGCACGTTGTGCCGCCCACGGAGCGCGCCATGGACGACGAGGGGTCGGTGGAGATCGAGGAACTCTTCGCTCTGCTCAAGCAAAGGCAGGAAACGGGAGGCGAGGCTGAAGGGCACGGGCCCAACGAAGAAGGCGCGGGTCGTGATGGAGTTGGTGCTAGCCCCGATCAGAACGTTCGACCAATCAACGAGGTGACGTCTTCCGGCATGTTTGGGCTGGACGGACCGCCAGACGTGGCGGATGTCGAGAAGCTGCGGTTTGCCTGTGACGCTGTTGGCGCAGGTGCCGACGACGGCCGCGCGGGCCCGAGAACGTGGGTCGGATCCTCGGTGGGGGGGGCTCGAGGGCGTGGCGACGATGGCAGTGAGCCATACATTCGAGTCTCGCGGGGGGATGAGTTTGCCGACTCCTTTGAGACGTCCTTCTTCGCCAGAACGTTCCCGACCCTGTTCCCATTTGGCGTTGGGGGACCAAGGCTGGCCGAAGAGGCCATAGCCGAGGCGGGGAAGGCCCTTACCAACTTGCGAGGCACCGGTAGAGCTGTTGAGGCAGGGGCGGCTGCGGGAGACATCATATCCTCCCGAAGCTTGAACCTCCGGATTTGGGCCGACATCGTGCTCCGGCGCCATGGTGGCCGGTTTGCGTTGCACCACATATTTGCATTTCTCGTCTTCAACATGGGGGTGCGGTCGAGGAACCGCCGCGTCAGCATGCTGAGTGTGGCGAGGAAGGACTTCGGCAAGGTCGAGCGCGTTGCCCGCTCGATGACCGCGCAAAGGTTAGCGGCGGCGAGGGTCGAGTTGGAGAGCTCGGGCAAGACGACCGATGAGGGCGTGAAGGAGCTTCTCAGGAGCCTCTCGCTGTACGGCCACCGGCAACCCATGTCGAGAGAAGTTCGGCTCAATATGCGGCGGAAAATCCAGTCGCTCATCGTTGGCTACGGCGTTCCGGCCATCTGGTTCACCATCAACCCAAACGACATTACGAACCCGGTGAAGCTGCGACTGGCGGCATATCGGACACGCGATCCCGGCGCGGCCGAGGAGTTCCTAGAAGGCCTTGGGAGTGCGTACAAGCGGACAAGGCTGGCCATGTCCGATCCGATGAGCGCCGCCGTATTCTTCCACCGGGAGATGAAGCTGTTCTTCGATCATTACGTGAAGGTCGGAGAAGAGTCGGTATTCGGGCGCATCGGCAAGTACTATGGCGCTGTGGAGACCAACGAACGAGGGCGCTTCATGTTCACGGCTTGCTCTGGTTGCACGGAAACGCGCATCTCAGCTCGATGCTTGCCGACATCCACGGGGAGGATCAGGCGGCGTATCGCGAGCGAATCATACGATACGTCGATAGTGTCTTCTCCGAGGTAAGAATAGCTAAGACGTGTCACTGAGAACCTGAATTGCTCGTTCGATGGACAAACGGGGCCAGGCTGACGTGCAAGATAGGATCTGGATCAGGAAGGGTTCTGCGCCGTGCAAGCGGAGCGATCTGTGACGTCCGATATTTCCTCCATGCTGGACAACACCGAGCAGTTTTCGGCCGCATTTGACGAGGAGGCCAACTTCTGTGCCGGCGCTACACAGGTTCACACGCATAGCCCGACCTGTGTCAAGTATTCCTTGGGCAAAGGAGCGCGGAAAGGGAATCTATGCCGGTTTAAGTCTCCATGGAGGTTGGTCGACAAGACCGCCATCACGGCAGACGGGGTGTTGCAGATCCGGAGGACTCACAGCATGGTCAATCGATGGAACAAGGCTATCGCTGTTGGGCTCCGGCACAACCACGACATTTCCTTCATTGCGACGCAGCGCAAGACCATGGCCCTTATGTATTATGTCACGAACTACGCGACGAAGGTGGAGGACCCGGTGTGGAAGCGTGTGGCGGCCGCGGCCGATCTCCTGGCCGCCTCAACGGGTGATGGCACGGCCAACGGAGGACAGGACGACGGTGGAGGTGCTGTTGGCGATGACGCCGCCAAGGGAACAGGACGCGACAGTTCTTGATGAGGTGGCGAATCGTGTGTTCACGGAGCGTCCGCTGTCTCAGGTCGAGGTCATTGCTCATCTTCTGGGATATCCGGCCGAGTTCACCAACAGCAGCGCCTGGGCGTACCTGAACACATCTCTGCTGTACTGGGAAGTCTTTCGACGGTGGCCGTATCTCCGACGAGCAAATGGCGCGGCGGCCATAGATGATGCTCTGAATGAGTCGGTCGTTGTCGAAGAAGCAGGCCTGAGGATCTCCCACGTTGAGGCGTACCAGCACCGGGAGAGCTCCTGCGAGGGCTATGCTTATACGACTACATATCGCTCGTTAGACTAAAACGCACCAGTAAGGATGAGAGCTGTGCGGCCTGGGGAGGTGCCCTTCGAGGATGGATGGGCGCCAGGGACGCTGGGTCCAGGTGCTCAGGCGGCCGGGCAAGCATGCTACCGTCTGCCTCGATGGCTACCTGAGCAAGGACTTCGGCCACAACGACGACGAGGAGTCGTGCCACCGGAGGTGTGTATAGCAACCGCCCTGCCGGCAGGCATCATCAGAGTGGCTAACCTCCCCACCCCTTAAAGGGCAGCCGTGCAGCATCTTGCGCTATTTGTGCCGTGGGAGTCCTTTCTGTGCGAAGAAACAGGTGAGATCAATAGCATCTGGGAGCGGGCGCGAGAGGCGCTGGCCCCGAGAATATCATGTCTCGTCGACAACGTGCAGCTGCTTCGACGATCAGCCGAAGACGCAAAGCGCGACGCCAAGCAATGGGCGGCCTCATCCGGCGATGGCGATTCCACGGTCGCCCACGTCGAGGAGGGCGAGACAGGCGAGGCGGGCGCAGAATTTGCAGCGACATATCGGTCCAACAACATCGGAGACGCAACGCGCCTGATCGACGTCGTCCGAGGCGCAGTGGGCACGAATCAGGTGACGGCCAAGTCGCCGGAGCTCATGGCAATGATGCGGCAGCTCTGTCGATTCCAGCAATCGGCGCTCTGCTCAACGGCCGAGCTCGAGGCCATCGCGATTCCCGAACAAGGGTTGAGGTGCATAAGCATGCCAGGGCGGGTATTTTCCGGGGCCGCACTACCGCCGCAGGATCAGGTCAAGGCTATCAAGTCGCAGCAGATAAGTGCGTCGAGGAAAGGAGAGAATGATCCAAGGCGTACAAACCACAATCGCAGTCCGGGAAAGCGATCGCCGAGCTGCGTTGCGGAGGGTGACCGGCTTCGGGAGGACGACGTCGAATGACGACAGCCGACTCCGACGAGACGGCTAGCGACGCAGAAGCGGGAATGCGCGTCCAGTTTGGCCCATCGACCTCCTTCTTCGCGGCGGGCAAGGAGTTGTCAACACGGCTAACGCTGAACAAGAGGCAGTCGATCGCTTTCCTAATAATATGCCGCCAGCTCGATTTGATGCGACAAACGAATAGGGCGATGCCGGCCAGCTCTGCCAGTTCGTCGGCGGCGAGGGGGGCACCGGCAAGTCGCGGATCATTGGGGCACTCGTCGAGCTGTTCAGTGGGAAGAGCCTTTCGAATCGTCTGCTGATCACGGCGACGTCAGGGACTGCCGCGGCGCAGATCAACGGCATCACGATCCACTCCGCCTGCGGGTTCACTAAAGACCAAGGGGCGGGCGGCGCGAACACAGCCAAGGACCTTGACGGGGTGCGGCTGACAAAACGGGCGGAGCGGTTCATCCACGGCCAGTCTCGGATGGACTGGCAGGAGAAGGACGTGCTTGTCATCGACGAGGTGAGCATGCTCGGAGCGCGGACGCTGCACGCCATAAACGAGCGACTCTGTCGGCTTCGCGGATCGCAGAAAGATTTCGGGGATCCCCATCGTCCTCTTCTGCGGAGACTTTCAGCAGTTCCGGCCGGTCCAAGAGAGGTCGATCGTCCTGCCGAGCGCGGCCATCTCGTGGGACGTAGACAACTCGTTCAAGGCCGAGCAGCGGCACCAGCACGACAAAGCGCACGCGCTGTGGAAGAGATTCACGACGGTCGTCATGTTGAACGAGCAAATGCGCGCCGCCGGTGATCCGGAATTGCAGGGGCTGCTGAAGCGGATCCGGCAGGGTGTGCAGGACCGCACGGATCTGGACCTCCTCAACTCAGGTGCTACCGCGAGGGCAGGCGGATCCCTTGGGAGACTGGCATCACCGTGGTGACGCCGCTGAACAGGAATCGGTGGAACCTAAACATGGAGGCAAGCTTGGCGTTCCGGGTCCAGCAGCGGTCGACGATGCGCATCTTCATCTCCGAGCACAAGTGGAAGGAGGGCCTGCCGACCGAGGAAGAAGCGATCATGGTACTCAATCAAGGCGACGATAGCGCGATCCCCGTGCCGGCCGTCTTCATGTTCGTGGCCGGGATGCCGGTCGTCGTGAACCACAACACCCATCAGGGGCTGAAGCTGGTGAACGGCGCCGGCTACTCGGCGGTGGAGGTCATTGTCGACAAGGCGTCCCCAGGGCATCGAATCTCGTCCGACATGACGATCCACTTCGGGCCGCCGGAGGATATTACTGGAATCGGCGACGACAAAGGACCTCCACTTCGTCGGGATGCCGCCGGGCACGATCTTGTTAACGCCGATGAGCGTCAGGATACACTGCCAACGAAAGCGGCCGTGGCAGCAGAACGACGTCAGCCGGAAGGGATTGCCGTGCGCAGCAGCCTTCGCCTGCACGGACTACAAGGTGCAGGGCAGAACGCCAGAGCGCGTGGCCCTGGAGCTGCGGGGACACGGACGACGAAAGTCGATGGAAGGGCCGTGCCCTCGCAATGCGACCCGTACAGCTTATATGTGCAGCTATCGCGCTGTCGAACGCTAGACGGCATCACGCTCGTGTCCAAGGTGCGAGAGAGACTTGGTGGGCAACCGAGTCCCCGAAGATATGACCGCCGCGCAGGCCAGGCTGGAGGTGCTAAGCGAGAGGACTGTCGAGGAAGCTTTGCGTCGGTCGGATGGCGACGCTGAAGAGTCAAGGAGAGTTGTCAGGGTGAGGTGACGAGGGGGAGAAGACGGAGGAGCGCGCCGGCGGGCAAGAAGACAAGGGCACTGGGCAGCAGCGATCAACGAGGGCGACTTTTAGACTTGAAGGAAGAACCCGCTAGAAAGGCATGAACGAAAGGGCAAAGACAAAAGACGCAAGTTTTAGACACAATAAGAAAACCGGCGGACGAAAGGAAAAAGGTTGGCATTGGCATTGGCAAGGGGGTAAACAGGAGTAATATAACGGGGGGGAAACAGGGCAAGGCATGAGAGGGGCAAGAGAAGGCGGCAGCGACCAATGACGAGGGAGGGACGGAAGGGTCGGCGACCAATCACACGGGATCTTTTATTCCGAAAGAGGAAATAAATCAGCCACAGCCAATCAGAGGCGGAGGATGTGGGGGTGAAGCAGTTTGGGGCCTTTTTTCCCCGCGCGCTAAGAAGTCCTTTCGTTCCTCACAGGTAAGGGATTTTCCGATGATCTGCCGGATCTGGTGATCTGCCGGATTGCGGCGACTTCGCACGCTCAACATCAATCGACAATAGCTCAACAACAACGGTGCCAATTGACGTATCCTTTGATTTCCTGAATCATCAGAAGCAGTGAAAGTCTGGCATATATTTAGAACTTTTATCTAGGGGCAATGCGCTGCGGTGCTGACATCAAACCAAGCAACGGCCAAAATAGGATGCCGACAGATTGTGTAAGTCATTTCAGCCAATACAGCAAAACAGAACATTATTGGCTTTCATCGTAGGCTTTAATCATGTGGGATTCTCCCATTCTATCCATAGTGCAGAACTTGGCTCAGGATACTGCAAAAAATGGGGGTTGGAAGGGCGAGCTGGATAACTTCATTCTACGCACCCGTAATGAGCCAGATTGAACGTGATTCGACGGTACAAGCATCTTCTGAAAAGAACCTATCTATGCATCTGAATGTAAGGTTTATTTTTAGCTTGAAATTCAGTGCGCGAGGCTCCGCTTTCACACCTGACAAGGAAAGACGTGCACGAAAATTGAGAAATTCGACACCCTACCCTAAAACACGTATAACATGGATGAAATGGGCTTTCTATTCCTTATGAGCATTTGAACGAACAGGGTATTCCTCTTATTATAAGAAAACAAGGCAAAATTGCTCGGCGTATTAAAAAATGGCAACCCATCCTCCCTTACGTTCAAGATGTGCGTCAGTCAAGAGATGGCATCGCTGCCCCATTTCTCATCCACCAAGACAAGCCAGCACAAACTCTGGACTTTGGTTCGTGAAACGTGAATCAAGTCGTCAATAAATATTTTAACACGTCAAAAACGAGGTGGACGAATCACAATATTGAAATGAGCAGCTCACCGGTACGTTCGACCGGTTTACCAGGGTGAAAGCTCGAAACGGTTGTGCTTATCGCCTTTGGTTCCCGATGGCCACTTAACCATTTTAGTATCGAATTTATGGAGTGGTGTGACCGGCACCGAGTGATCGTTGTGGTGTTTCCCCTCAATCCATTCATCGGCTGCAACCCTTGATGTATCGTTATTCAGACTCTCAACAGCGTATACGCATGATCTTATCCAGTACACAGACAAATCAAAAAGGTTCATTGGATTGCTGAAATCGAAGATCTAGACTGTGTTTTGGAACGCATTTCAGGAAGTAGTCGAGAAGTCCTCTGTTGATGCTGGCCGCAACAGCCGAAGGCTGAGCAGCACCCTCGGGAGCCCTCAATATGAGTTTTAAGTGCTTGATATGAGAGTTAAAGTATGCAGAGAACAAGTAGTCACAAGAACCAGCGCAGGCAGACCGGTAAGGCTTCAAAAGATGATCTCTTCTGCTGTACAGATTCTAGTGCAGACGAGGTGTTTAGCTCTAAAATTGTGGCTCAAGCTCGCCAAAAAATGACAGTGAAAGGACTCCAAAGAAAGAGGCTCTGAAGAAGGAGGCCCGAAAGCTTCAGCGACAGCAGAAGGCAGCGGAGCAAAAGCTCGCTCTAGAAGAGGAAGCAATGAGAGGCGGAAATTGGGAGAAAACGACGGATGACGGAGGCCGTGAAGCAAAATAAGGAGATAAATTGGCATTATTAACAAGAGCTGAAGATTTTGAAAGTGGAAAAGCCACAGAAAATGCAGAATGAGCGACGGTGTGGCTTCTGAGGGTCGCGAGAGGAGTCAGGATGTTCACGCTGCAAAAATTGTCACTCTTCCGTTCACACCAGAGCGGGCCATAGCATTGCAGGTACCAAACACACTATATAATAACGCAAATAATAAGGCAATGATAACTTCAAACGACATATCCTGTCCTCAAAGGCCCTCTTTAGCTGTTGATAGTGATCGGGAGGCAATGGGTGCATTTCGGGGACTTGCGCGATCGGAGAGTAACAGAAGACGACCTCGATGGCTGGATGACTTCAAAAAAGATTGAGTGGCATCTTTGAGCATTATTAACTGCTCTTATAAGATTTTAGAACAATTCAAATAGTATTCGTGAAGTTATTCTCAGTTCTTTGCTGGAATGCAATGAGCCCAAAATCCGGCGAATCGCCAGATCCGGCAGATCACCGGAAAATCCCTTAAGGCAACCCCTCATGGGTTGCGCAAAAAGCCTTGAGGAACGAAGACTGAGGATTGAGACACGGGAGAGGCAACCCAACAGGGGTTGCGCAAAGAGCCTTGAGGAACGAAAGTCTACACAAGGGGCAGATGTACAGGGGGAGATGTACAGGGGCAGATGTACAGAGGCAGAAAGGTAACGGCGACCAACGGGCAGTCAGGCTGGACGAAAAACACTTCCCATTTAAGAAGTTATAGCAGCGTACGCTATTCCATTTCCGTAGCTTTCTTATATAGGTGGCGGTTTCGAAGGGGACGGGCCGGCGAGCCCAAGCCATGGGCGACAATGGAATCGAGGGAAGAGTCCCGTAGGTCAGGACCCGGTTTAGGGTTGTCCGGCTCATGAGCGGCGGAGGCAGCCGAAACAGAGAACGACTGGGTGGCAGAGGAGGCGGGCTTAGGGGAAGACGAGATCACCGGGGCCTTATGCAGCAGACACGGTCGCTTCGTCGCCGTATCGGCAGGCTCAGGGCAATATCGTTTCCCGGGCGGCGTAAGGTGGCCGGTCGAGGCGAAGCCGAAGCCAAAGGTGGAGGACTGGGCGGGAGGGTGCCAGGGGTGATCAAAGACAAATAGGCAGCGCGCATGTCCTGGAAGGCCGCGGAAGCGGAGGAAGCTTGTTGCCTCTGTGGCGTAGAGAGAAGCGGTGCCATCGTGGTGACGGCGGCGGCGGCCTTGTCGAGAAAAGTCCAGGAATCTGGGACGACGATAAAGACGTTGTCCCGGTAAGAGCCCGGGGGGTAGAGCATAACGTCATGCCGGAGCAGGCCAGCGACCTTGCCTGTGCAGGTAAAGGGACGTTAGGCTGAAATTGAGAGTCCTGCCTCTCGGCCATCTTCCTACACAAGACGGCCCAGGGGTTAGCGCGAATAGGGAAGATAACGAAGACCTGGAACGGGTGGAAGCCCTTGAAGGGGACCTTATTGGGCATCCCAGGAGCGACATAGGTAGAAAGGCGGACAAAGCCGCAACAGTTAAGTTGGGCGGCGTCTAGACCGGGCAGTAGGTCCCGCCGCAGCGAGGAGTGGCCGGTGCCGACGACAAGGCCGGTAAAGGAAACAATAGGCGGGATGCAGGGGAAGTCGCCCATAGAGGCAAAGAGCCTAGGAGAACGCTTCAGGCCCATCTTAGCCATATACCGTTCCGTCGGCACTCGCGAAGGGTCAGGGCACGGCTTACGGCTGGTAGCCCTGATCGCGGACGGCAAGGGCGGGCATCGTATAGAGAAGGGTGCGGCCCGTGCCAGACTCCAGGCCGTCGCGTTGCTCAACCTCCCATGCGAGCGCGTAGGGGTGGACGCGGGCATGCATGAAAAACCACTCTTCGGTCCAGTCGGAGGGATCAATAGGCTGGCCGTAGATGGAGAGGTTGAGGCTAAAAAGACGGATGTCGGGAATCAGCGGCATCCGATCGGAGGGGCGCATATTCCGTCGCGAGCAGCCAGGCGGGCGGAGGCAGGAAGACGCGGGCCATGGCCTCGGCGTTAAGACCCTAATGCGGTGGTCGTCCTGGTGGGAAAATCTAGCAGGACAGTCCGGCTGGACAAAAGACATCATAGACATCTCACCGCCAGCGCCCCTTTGGCTATCGAGCGGCTTTCGAAGGTGCGGTGCGGGCATATCGGTAGGAAGTAGAGAGGAAGACATAGTGTATCTGCGCAGGTCGATAGGCCAGTCGCACGCACTAAAAGGACGGGTTCTCGGCGTCAAGAAAGGAGTAGGGAAGAAGTCGAGCGTAAACGCACTTATAGTAGATCAATAGTGGTATGGATTCGCCGGGAAGAGCGAGGAGCCTTGCCGCTGTAAGTAAGCAGACGTCAAAGAGATGCGTCGTGGTGTTGCGGAGCTGGGTACTGATCGGGCACCAAGGGCGACGCGGATTAAGGTGTCCGGCAGGGCTACCGGCATAGGATGCCGAAAACTAGGGCCGTCGGCAGATAGGCCTGTCGATAGGTTCCAAAGGAAGCCCGGCAGGTCCGAGAGAGGAGAGGTCTAATGCAGAAAGGGGATATCAACAAGGAAGGATATAACCGTTAGTAGGAAGAATGCCAACACGGCAGAACGCCATTGCCAGGGAGCGAGACAATTTCGGGGCATATCCCGGGCGAAGGCTTCCCAATCTATCGTTCGTTTGCAGAGCCCTGCCGATAAGACAGCACCATCATGGGGGAGAATCGTAGCCGCGAGGTAAGGTCGGTGGCAGGAGAGTGCGAAACAGGGCAGCAGCAGCGGCCGCTGCCGCGACGAGGAGGATTGCGGCGGCGAGATCGAGCGCAATGGACGAAGGGCCGAAGCGGGCGTCGGGCCACAAAAGTCAAGCAAACGCGGCACCCAGGTTCCGGCCTATTGAGGCCAAGCCGGCCGCCGCGGCCGACGAGGCCTCACGAAGAGAGCAGGCAGAGGCGCTCAAAAGAGCGTTGCCCAAGGGAAGTCGGCGAGGCGGCCGGCCGCGGAGAAGGACGACGCATGTCAATGGTGCCTCCTCAAAGGGGGCGAGCGCGACGCTCAGCATCGACAAACGTGCGGGATATGCCTCTAATCATAGAAGCGGACGCTGTCAGATTAGGGCCGGTAAGTGCTGAGCCGGCCATGGGGGGTTTTGTGCCGTCCGTTGGCGCAGTGTTGGAGGGAGAAGGGGTTGCTCTACAAGCACCATCCGCCCCAGGGGTCTTGGTCAGGCGAAACGAAGGCCTAGGCGTCAGGGGATCTTCCGTTGTGGCCGGAGATGGCCCCGAGACCGTTCGGCCTAGGCAACCTAGCGGTGGCATGCAGCTGACTCTGAAGGGTCTTGTTGAGCGGACAACTGGCGCCGGGGAAACACGGGAGGGAGACCGACAAGTAGAAAGAGGATGAGATATCCGCTGGGAGAGCCAAGTCAGCACTCGCCGCAACCCATCCAGCCCAAAGAGATCAGGGACGCGGCCGGGCACATCCCCCCCTTTGGCGAGGGCGGGTCGTGCGTCGGGGCAGCGGTCGCCGCTACAACGAGTAGTACCGCGGACGCGAGCCGAAGTGCAACGGACGGGGGACCGAAGCGGGTGCTGGGCCACGAAGGTCGAGCGGGCCCGGCACGCAGGTTACGGCCTATCGAGGCGAAGCAGGCGCCGGTGTCCGAGGAGGCCTCACGAAGAGAACAGGCAGAAGCACTCGAAAGAGCGATGCCTCAGGGAAGCCGGCTAGGCAGTCGGCCGCGAGAAAATACGACGCGCGCCAATGGTGCCTCTTCAAATGGAGGGCAAGCGCGATGTTTAACAAGATTTCGGCTAGAGAATGTAAGCCAGCACTCGCCGCAACCCATCCAGCCCAGAGAGATCAGGAAGACGGCTGGACAAGGGTCCTCCTCAGACGAGGGTGGGTCGCATAGAGTCGTTAGGGGGCCCCTCGTCCAGTCAATCCGAGCGAAAGCGATGGAAGACAGAGCAGGAGGTCTGCAGTCATCCGGACGGTTATCACCACGGCCGTCACGCCAGGCAGGACAGGATCGGCCGGCAACGACACTCGGGTTATCCTCCACAGCCGTCAGGGAGCCCCCCGTGCAGGCAATCCAGCCCAAAGAGCCGGGAGATGGAGCAGGAGATACGCAGTCATCCGGACGGTTGCCACCACGTCCACCACGCCAGGCAGCGGTAGGAGGAGGATCGGCCGAGGCGAGTCGAGGCGGCGGCGAGATCTTCGGAGCCCGTGGAACAGAGAAAGAGGATCCGCGAGCCCGACCGAGACCAGCCCCCAACAAAACGTAGTCGACGCGGCCGTCAGAGGCAGAGGAGAAGTGAGCTACAGGTGGAAGACCTAGACAGCGTCTTACGTTATCTTGAGGAGGAATTCGCCGTAAAGGAGAGGCTATCCAACGAGCAAACCTGGTGCATACCAGTACCGCATGAGAGGAAGGTGTCGACGGTACGACGTTTCTATCGGGCGTTCCACGACGTGGACACGCTGCCGATACAGAGGTGCATGCTATGCTACCGGAAGAGCACAAGAAAAGAGCTGAGGAGACGGCATGGGACCGGTGGCTGTCGAGTCCCATTCCCAAGGGTGGGAGCTCGCCGTTTGCGTGCCGAGGCTGCTTCCGCGAGGGCGAGCCCGTCCCGCTCTGCGCGGAGTGTTCTCGACACCTGGCGCGCGGTGCTGTCGCCGGCGGCGCTGCTCCATGGCCGCCTCGGTTGCGAGCACGTCTTCCCGACGAGCTCAGGGCCTAACGCCGGTGGAGGAGAAGCTGATCGCGCTGAACTCATGTTATGGGTTCGTCACAAGGTACAACGTCTCAGGCGGCCAGAAGCAGACGCTAACGTACCCCAAGCACGTCAAGGGCCACATCACGGTGTTCCCGAACAACGTGCAAGAGCTGGCAACGAACGTGCTGCCGCATCCGCTCGTCCGGGTGATGGACGAGATCCACGTCTCGTGGCAGGGGGCGGTAAGGCCGACACCAAGTGACATGTCGAGCCTCCTGTCGGTGAGGCGGCGAGTGGTCGAGAGGGCCCTCATCTGGTTGAAGAGGAACAACCCACACTACGCCGGGATCGAGATCGACGCGGCGGAGATGGAGAGCTGGGGAGACTCGGCCGACGGGGTGCCGCCGTTGGTGTACGAGCGCCTCGAGCGGAACGAGGCGTCGGCGTGGGAGAAGACGCGGACGGCGCACGTCGTGCCGCCCACGGAGCGGGCCATGGACGACGAGGGGGCGGTAGAGATCGAAGAAATCCTCTCTCTGCTCAACCAAGGGGGAAGCACGACGATTCGCGAGGACGACGAGCCAGAGTCAAACGAGGTAGACGAGGCGCGTGGCCAGAGCGGCGGCGAGCCTAATCAAGATGCGAAGACGATCAACGAGGTGACCTCATCCGGAATATTTGCGTTGGACGGGCCGCCCGACGTGGCCGACGTGGACAAATTGCGGTTCGCGTGCGATGTCGTCCGCGAAGGCGCAGGCGACGGCGGCACGGGCCCGAGGACGTGGGTGCAAACCTCGGCAAGGGGGCAGCTAGGGCACGCCGATGGTTCTGAGCCGCACATACGCATTCGCCGCGGGGATGAATTCGCCGACTCGTTCGAAGCCTCCTTTTTCGCAAAGACCTTTCCCACGCTGTTGCCATTTGGCGTCGGAGGGCCGCGACCGGTCGAAGAGGCAACCGTACAGTTGGGCAGAGGCACCGCCAACACGCGCGAGGCGGAAGAGGCCGGGACGCGGGACCTCTTGTCGTCTCGGAACATGAGCCTTCGGACGTGGGCCGACACGGTGTTGCGACGCCACGGCGGCCGGTTCGCGACGCACCACATATTCGCGTTCCTCGTCTTTAACATGGGCGTGCGGTCGAGGAACCGTCGCGTCAGCATGCTGAGCGTGACGAGGAAGAACTTCCGCAAGGTGGAGCGCATCGTACGGTCGCTGACCGCAGACGGATTGGCGGCAGCTAGAGCCGAGCTGGAGAGCACAGGCAAGACGACCGACGACGCCGTAAAGGAGCTCCTCAGGAGCCTTTCGTTGTATGGCTATCGTCAGCCCATGTCCAGAGAGCTCCGTCTCGGGATGCGGCATAGGATCTTGGCGCTCATCGTCCGTTACGGCGTGCCCGCGATCTGGTTCACGATCAACCCAAACGACATCACGAACCCGGTGAAGCTCCGACTGGCAGCGCACCGCGCGCGCGACCCCGAAGCGGCCGAGGAGTTCTGCGGAGCCTCGATAAGTCATTCAAACGGGTGCGGCTATCCGTCTCCGACCCGATGAGCTCAGCCATCTTCTTCCACCGGGAGATGACGCTGTTCTTTGAGCATTACGTCAACATGGGGGGGGAGTCGGTCTTCGGCCGCATCAGCCAGTACTATGGCGCCGTGGAAACCAACGAGCGAGGATCTCTTCATGTCCACGGGCTGCTCTGGCTAGACGGAAACACGCGCCTGAGCTCGATGCTTGCCGACTCAGACGGGGAGGAACAGGCGGCCTACCGCGAGCGAATCGTCCGCTACGTCGATAGTGTCTTTAGCGAGGTAACGGCAGGGCGTCGTAGTCATAGGCCAAGAGGACGCAGGCTGACGCGGAAACTAGGACTTAGACCAGGAAGGGTTCTGCGCCGTCCAGGCGGAGCGTTCGGCGACGTCTGATATATCATCCCTGCTGGACAGTGCCGAGCAGTTCTCGGCCTCATTCGAAGAGGAAGCCAATCTCTGCGCCGGCGCGACGCAGATCCACACCCATAGCCCGACATGCGTCAAGTACTCCCTGGGCAACAAGGGGCGAAAGGGCGACCTCTGTCGCTTCAAGGCGCCATGGAAGCTGGTCGAGGAGACTGCCTTCTCATCGGACGGTGTACTGCGGATCCGCAGGACACACCCCATGGTGAACCGGTGGAACAAGGCCATCGCCGTGGGGCTCCGCCACAACCATGACATTTCCTTCATAGCGACGCAACGGAAGACCATGGCGCTCGTCTACTACGTCACGAACTACGCGACCAAGGTGGAGGACCCGACGTGGAAGCGCGTCGCCGCCGCGGCGGAACTGCTGCCCGTTCTCTCGGCCGGCGGCCAGCCGGTGCCGGGGATGACGCCCGTGGTGGCGTCGTCGGCGACGGCGATGGAACTAAAAACAAGACGCGGCAGTTTCTGATGAGAGTGGCGAATCGGGTATTCACGGAGCGGGCTCTGTCACAAGTCGAGGTCGTCGCCCATCTCCTGGGATACCCGAGCGAGTTCACGGGCAGCAGCGCCTGGGCGTACCTGAACGTGTCGGTGCTCTACTGGCACGTCTCCAGGCGGTGGCGACACCTTCGGCAGGAGAGCGGCACCGCGGTCGCAGACGTGTCCGTGGACGAGTCGGTCGTCGTGGATGAAGCAGGCGAACGGATCAGCTTCGCCGAGGCGTACCATCATCGCGGACACGTCCTACGAGGCTTGTGCCTATATGACTATGTCTCGCTCGTTAGGCTCCAACGCGTCGGCAAGGAAGGGTGCTCCGGTGCCTGGGGAGAGGTGCCGTTCGAGAGCGGCTGGGAGGCCGGTAGGGACTGGGTGCAGGTGTTAAGGCGGCCGGGAAAGCACGCCGTCGTCTGCCTTGACGGCTACCTAAGCAAGGATTTCGAGCAGGACGACGAGGAATCGGGCCATCGCAGGTAAGTTCGGCAAGACGGCGGGGCGAAGAGGGGTCGCGACGCGGGGGGGCTTACTGTGCCGTCGCAGAGCAGCCGTGCAGCATCTTGCCCTGTTTGTGCCGTGGGAGGCCTTTCTCGGCGAAGAGCGAGGCGACATCAATGATATATGGAGGCGGGCGCGAGCAGCTGCCGCCGAGAACTCTCTGCCTCGTCGATAACGTTCAACTGCTCCGGCGGTCCGCCGAGGACGCAAGGCGAGACGCCAAGCAGTGGGCGGCCTCGGGCGGTGACGGGGATCCCGGCGGCGCTCGGCGCGGGGAGGAGGGGGCCAACACCCGGGGGACCACGACGCGGCCTCGGCGTACCAGTCCGACAACGTCGGAAACGCAACGCGACTAATCGACGTCGTCCGAAGCGCGGCCGGAGCGAGCCAGATCACGGCGGGATCGCGCGAGCTTTCGGGAATGATACAGCAGCTGTGCCGCTTCCAGCAATCAGCGCTGGTCTCGACCGCCGAGCTTCAGGCCGCCATCGTGAGGGAACGGGACGGGAGGCACATCGACATGCCGGGGCAGGTGTTTTCCGGGGCTGCGGTGCCGCCGCAGGACCAGGTCAAGGCCATCAAGTCGCAGCAGACATGCGCCTCTAGGGAGAGGGTGAAGATGATCCAGGGCATACAAAGCATGGCCCCGGCCCACGGCACCGATCGTGGTGCAGCGGAGAGGAGCGTGCTGACCGGCTTCGGGGAGGAAGACGTGCAGATGACGCGAGCGGAAGCCGAGGAGACGGCAGGTAACGCGGGGGCTGGAATGGAAGTCCGCCTCGGCCCGTCGACCTCCTTCCTCGAGGCCGGGAAAGGCTTGACGACACGCTTGACGCTGAACAAGAAACAGGCGATCGCCTTCTCCATACTATGCCGCCACCTGGACTCGATGCGGCAAGGAGACGGAGGCGACGTCAGCCAGCTCTGCCAATTCGTCGGCGGCGAGGGCGGCACCGGCAAGTCTCGCGTCATCGGAGCACTCGTGGGCCTTTTCGCCGCGAAGGGCATCTCAAGCCGCCTGCTGATAACGGCGACGTCGGGGACCGCCGCGGCGCGGGTCAATGGCATCACCATCCACTCCGCCTGCGGCTTCACCAAGGACCAAGGGCCGGGCGCGAACACGGCGAGGGACGTCGACGGGGTGCGGTTGCCGAGGCAGGCGGAGCGGTTCGTTAACGGCCAGTCCAGGATGGACTGGCAGGATAAGGACGTGCTCGTCATCGACGAGGTGAGCATGCTCGGCGCGCGGACGCTGCACGCCGTCAACGAGCGGCTCTGCCAGCTGCGGGGATCGAAGCGGGACTTCGGGGGGATCCCCATCGTCCTCTTCTGCGGGGACTTCCACCAGTTCCGCCCCGTCCAGGAGAGGTCGATCCTGTTGCCGAGCGCGGCCGTCTCGTGGGACGAGGACAACTCGTTCAGTGCCGAGCAGCGGCACCAGCACGACAAGGCGCACGCGCTGTGGAAGGGGTTCACGACCGTCGTCATTCTGGACGAGCAGATGCGCGCCGCCGGCGACCCGGAGCTGCGGCGGCTGCTGAAGCGGATCCGACGGGGCGTGCAGGACCACACGGACCTGGATCTCCTCAACTCGAGGTGCCACCGGGAAGGCAGGCGGATCCCGTGGGAGACGGGTATCACGGTGGTGACGCCGCTCAACAGGAACCGGTGGAACCTCAACATGGAGGCGAGCCTGGCGTTCCAGATCCAGCAGCGGTCGACGGTGCGCATCTTCCTCTCCGAGCACAAATGGAAGGACGGCCTGCCGACCGAGGAAGAGGCCATCATGATGTTGAACCAGGGCGACGACAGCGCGATCCCGGTGCCGGCCGTCTTCATGTTCGTGCCGGGGATGCCGGTCGTCGTGAACCACAACACCCACCAGGGGCTAAAGCTGGTGAACGGCGCCGGCTACACGGCGGCGGAGGTCATCGTCGACAAGGCGCACCCGGGGCATCGGCTCTCGGCCGACATGGTGATCCACTTCGGGCCGCCGGCGGCGATCATACTGGGGTCGGAGACGACCAAGGACTTCCGCTTCGTCGGGATGCCGCCTGGCACCATCCTCCTGACGCCCATGAGCGTCAGGATCCAGTGTCACCGGAAGCGACCGTGGCAGCAGAACGACGTCAGCCGCAAGGGCCTGCCGTGCGCCGCCGCCTTCGCATGCACGGATTACAAGGTGCAGGGGGGGACGCTCGAGCGCGTCGCGCTCGAGCTGCGAGGGGACGAGGACGATAAACGTCGGCGGACGTGCCGTCCCCTCGCAGTGCGACCCGTATAGCCTGTACGTGCAGCTGTCGCGGTGCCCGACGCTGGACGGCATCATGCTCGTGTCGAAGGTGCGAGAGAGGGACCTGGTGGGAAACCGGGTCCCCCGGGAGATGACGGCCGCACAAGCGAGGCTAGAGGAACTGAGCGACAGAACCGTCCGGGAGGCGCTGTGCTGGCTCGGCGACGACTTCGAATTGAATTCGCGCAGAAACAGAGAAGCCCTGGACAGGCATGAATTGCATGAATGACGTCGGACGCGGGGAAACGGCCAACGTATAAGCAAGAGACTTAAGGCAAATGGACGTAACTGCCAGGCCAATCGGAGGCCAACCGGAAAGCGGAATTTGGGAATTTGAGCGGGAACGGCAACGGCTTTTCACACCCAACAGGAAGGCGGGATTCGCACAAAGGGCAAAGGGACAAGACGAAAGAGGGCAAACCTTTAGGCCAACCGGAAAGCAACCATTTTAAGACGAAACATGTGGGAATGGTACTCATCCTTTGTATGCATCCGTCTCTGATCACATGATCGGCACATGACCCTTATGGTCACGTGTACGGCTGAGGACAGCGTGCCCCCTTTTCTCCACGCTGGCCTCGCCTCCCTAGATAGAGAGACAATCCTCATAGCATAATACGACACACCGGTTGAACGACGTTCCCAGTTTGTCTCATGCTCGAGCCCTGCCAACACTGATCAGTGATTGCAGTGACAATCACAGACAGCTAGGACAGAAGAGACAAATCGCTAACCTTCAAGATCGGCTGCAAGGCATCGGTTAAGGAAGGTTATTTGTGCTAAGTGGCTATCTCAGACTGCAAGGCATCTGGGAGAACCTACCAAGCTATTAATCGGCTGCAAGGCATCGATTAGTAGTGCGACCACATCGCCTAGCGACTTCTATTATCGGCTGCAAGGCATCGATCAACAGTTGTTACTAGACCCGACAAAGACGTATTTCGACAGCCAGATACGACTCCATCGTCTCATTCACTTGATCAACGATGACCCCGACCGACCGAGCTACGACTCCGAACGAGAGCGCCCAGCTCGAACAATTGAGCGAACGGATGCAAGGACTAGCTATCCAGACATCCGTATACGATAAAGTTGATGTTACCCTTTGGGGACAAGACATCAAACCTGACGAGGAAGATGAGATCGCAGTTACGACGTACGCCGCTAGGTTCATGTCCAATGCCCAATTCGAACGCCTAGAAGGAGACGACATCCTTGACCATTTTCAACAACACTTCGAAGGCTGGAACCAAGACATATGGAACCGGGTACATATGGACTACAAGAGAGCCCTTAGATTACTTCTAAGGAGACGTGGCATCTATACAGGACGGAAAAATGGCCCTTTGCACCCCAATTCATCATGTTGCAAACTGCGGAGGACCGACCTGCATGGCCAGAACGAGTACATGGAGACCGATTTTGACATTGGGACAACCGCTCATAAGTTACGAGCAGCAGGATCAAAGGCTCTAACTTCTCCCCGAGGACCCCAATCGCCGCCGGTAGCAACATCTCGTTACGATCTTAACGAACAACAGCCCATTAAGACCTTAACGAAGCCACCTGCCCAGGAACCCATCACTGAGGCACTACCGATAACAACATCACCTCCCACGACTTCCGCTTCCCTCGAGGCATACACAAAACTCCCACCGGATGATATCCCGAACGCCACCGTCGATGGCGACACACAGCAGAAATTCATGAAACTCTGGGACAAAGACAAGAACTACACAGGAGAACCGTACGACCTCCTCGATGACAAGATCCGAATCTTTATGAGTATCTGCTACAACATCCAAGTGAAACCGTCACAATTTCACGCCCTTTTCCCCCGAATCCTCGCCGGAAGAGCACAAACGTTCTACATTGACAAGATCGAATGGACTACCACGTTTAGGAAGGCATACGACAGCATCAAACAACACTTTGACACGGAAGTTAACCACGTCCATTACTATACAGATTGGACCACAACCACTTTCAACTCGATTCGTGCCCAAGATGCTTCCAAATCCTCCATGAAGTCCTTCAACTACTCTTCGATAAGCTACAACTCTGTCAGAGAGCCCTTGGCCCTGACTACGCAGGAAACATTCCACTGCGTACTACGCTTATCATCGCATGCCGTGGTGTACCCGAACTTGAACACGCCCTCTTCAAACCTGCAGCAAAGATCGAGACCCTCTTTGCAGATCTACGATCTTCCGTTGAGACCCACCTTGCCCGACAGACAAACCCTCAGTACTTGCAAAGCCCTGACGGATCATTTGGACCAACGAATCCGAACAATCAGTACTACCTCGATCGCCGATACCATAACAACCGCGTACGAGGAAGATACGGATACTCAGGACAACGACCCAATCGCGGATATGGACAAGGCTACAACCGTGGAAGCTATAGGCCCTCAAGCCATAGCAACTACACCCCTAGCCACACCAATCGCAATTGGACCAAGAAGTGCTTTGTTTGTGGACAAGAAGGTTGCTGGTCAACCAAACACTCTGCAGAGGAACGACAAGAGGCCAAGGACCAATATGTCGCACGTTGTCAATTCACAGGCATACAACCTCCAAACTTCATAGCCTATCTTATAGACTCGAAGGTCATGAGCTTGATGAACTCACTACCGACGACATATGGGAAGAACCTGACAATAGCACCAACAATCACCCTAGACAATGGAGAAGTCTGCCAGACAGATCAAACCATTGTTCCCGCCTAGCAATTCGTCATTGAAGATCGATATTCAGTGGACAATTTCCCAGGCATCATGATTGACACAGGTGCAGCAAGAGTCTTTACAGATGGCTATTCTCAGTACATTGCTCTACAATGAGAAGACCCCTCCGTACCCCTGGACAACTCATCCTCAGGCCAGGCTACCATCAAATTCGGTAACGGCGACGCAATTCATTTAACCGATTTCATCACCCTTGCCACACCAATCGGAAGGATCACATTCTCTATCCTTCAGACTCCCACCCCTTTCTTGCTTTCTCTAGCCGATATGAACCGTCTTAAAGTTTACTTTAACAACATTACGGACACATTTAACCACATCAATCGGTATACGGCATCTCGTTACTGTCTTAACGAACAACCAGTCATTAAGACCTTAACGGGGTATCGGTTAAAAACCTACACATTCCTTCCACTCTCTTCACATTCGTTTCAACCATAAAGAAAAGTTGCCAGTGTGGGTATCCCCTCATTTGAACACACGCAAGTTGTTGCTGTGCTTCTCACAGCAAAAGAAAAGTTGCCAGTGTGGGAATGGTACTCATCCTTTGTATGCATCCGTCTCTGATCACATGATCGGCACATGACCCTTATGGTCACGTGTACGGCTGAGGACAGCGTGCCCCCTTTTCTCCACGCTGGCCTCGCCTCCCTAGATAGAGAGACAATCCTCATAGCATAATACGACACACCGGTTGAACGACGTTCCCAGTTTGTCTCATGCTCGAGCCCTGCCAACAGAAATCGTATAACCTGGAAAATGGTTCCATGGGAAGATGCTCCATTCGTCTTGCAAAGCATCCATGTTAACAAACGACTTGCTGGATGAGCCTCCGTCTGAAGCACGCTGGGGCTTAGTAGGAACGTCGGTTTCCATTTGGCCGCAGGAAGGGGATGCATTCGTTTGGGGAAGGTTTCTCTGCGACGTGACTCGGGGAACTTCAGCCCAAACGCGTTCAATCGCCCAGGTACTTATACATTCGTTACATCTGAAAACAGTATGGAATGGAAGTACTACAACACTCAATACGGTAACTAAGGCTAACCTTGAGGGTGATCACGCGAATCACGCGCGTCAGACGCGACTCGATTAGGTACCTAAGTGTAGATGCTACCTAGATCACCTCCTGCTTCAACGGCTTCAACGCGTGGTCAACGTTCGAGGCGGAGGCGTGGATTGAAGCTCTCAATGTGCAGGTGATATTGAATTGATTGAATTGAAACACGTGACTTCCACTTCAATATTATTGAAGACGTGGAGGTGGAGGTGGAATTGATCGCCACCCTGCTTCGAACTGTCATCGAAGCCAATGGGGTCGTCTCAGAGGATATCTGGAATATGGACGAAACCGGATTCCAGATCGGTGTCGGCAAAGACCAACTTGTGGTCACAAGGAGGAGGCGGGCTCAGTACTTCGGTTTACCTGTGAATCGAGAGTCTGCGACGGCGATTGAGGCTGTCTCGGCCGGAGGGAAGGTCATACCGCTTTTCCTGATCTTATCTGGACAAATGCACATGAGTCAGTGGTACCAGGTTAAAGAGCTTGAAGGAGATACGGTGATTGGGACGTCGCCCACCGGCTACTCCAACGATCGTCACAGTTTGAGCTGGCTCAAGCACTTTGATCACCACTCGAGGAAAGAGACAGTCGGATCGAAGAGGCTACTATTGATGGATGGCTACAGCTCGCACACGACCAAGGAGTTCATTCAGTATTGTGATGATCACGATATCATCCCTTTCGGCTATCCTCCTCACTCAACGCATCTTGTTCAGCCGCTGGATGTTGTGGTCTTTCAGCCTTACAAACATTACCATGCGAAGCACTAGATCTCGTCGTGCGAGATGGAGTCACGAACATCACCAAGCTTGAGTTCTTGGCATTGATACAGGGGGTCCGCAGCCTGACGTTCACAAAAACCACTATTCAAGCCGCTTTTCGGGAGACTGGTATCTTTCCGTTCAACCCACGAAAGGTTCTCGACAAAGTCGCTCGCCGTCGACAGTTAACACCACCCAACCCTGCTCCAAACGGACCACATTCGTCGCCGTTCCGCACACCTGTCACCTTGAGACAAATGAACAAGGTAGCGTCGGAAATCAAGGACCAAATGAACTCGTTTCCCAACTTGAATGATGAGTTCAAGGACAATATCGACAGATTTCTCAGCGGAGCCTTGGTTCAGGGAACAGAACTCGTCCACACTCTGAGGGACCTGGGGCGCACACGATTGGCCGAGCAAACCGCTCAACGCCGTCGGAGCATGAAGAATAAGCAGCTGCAGTCGGGAGGAGTGCTCACAGTGGCCCAAGCGCGTGGCATGGTGCAAGAAATGAGGAATGACGAGTTAGCGAGGGCTCGGCGAGTGGTTGAGCGGGCGGAGAAACAGCACCAGAACGGGTGCAAGAAGTGGTTTTCGGAGGCCGCAAAATTATCGAGAAAATGGAGAATTGAAGGCAGACTACAGCCAATGTATGTAATTGACAATCCTGGCTCTGGGCGTTTACTGCGTCGAGCTTGAACATCAAAGACTCAACAATCTGTTCATTCGGATGCTCTGTTCATTTGGGTGATCAGCACCCACTTTTTTTTTTTTTTTGGTTGTATTACGCCCGGAGGGTTCCCCCATAGAGCCACTACGCTAGCCTGTCTACCTTCTGTACATTGTTCCATCTCACCCAAAGCCCCACGCTTCTTTTCATCTGTTTCCAGCCTCGTTCGCTATGACATGACAGGCCTGCTTGAAGGTCAGTTTCTCCAAGTGTTCAGCGTCCTACCTTCAGCGACTGAAGCGCGGTCTGCCAAGTTGAAGGCTGTTGTGTTAGTACGATTGTCCTTGATCAGCACATGGCCCGTTGCCGGTCCATGCTAAAACGTTTCGTTGCCAATGCGAACTGTATTGTCGCCCGCACAGCCCCATATCAGGCTGCCACTTGTCGTCGTCTGACTCTGCCTTGCCACCTAGGAAGAAGGACAAGTCTCCCATCTTCCCGCCTGCATATCGACTCATGATTTCTCGTTGTACCGTCCATTTTCTGCATCGAAAGAGGAAATGTTCCACCGTTTCCGCCGACTGTCCACGTGCATCCATCCGATTCTACTGCCCCGATTTTGCAAAGATAGCTATTCAGCCGCGATTTGCCAGTTCGAAGCTGTACCAACACTTCCGATTCCTTTCTTTTCAGCTCGTCGTACAGCTTGCGGGTGTGCTTGCCCGGCAAAGCCTTATCGATGCGCTTCGAGTAGTTTCCAACTCCTTCTGGAATCTGACGGACTCGAGTGTGTCCGTTGAGCAGCAAACGTAACGTGGTTGATCTTGCTTGGAACGTTGCTGGTTCGGCGACGCATTCATCTCCCGTCGCCCTTTTCGCTTGCCTTAGGCCAGTGGCCCGAGTGAACTCCTCATTCTTTGCAGGCACCCAACGAAGTCTGACTCTACAGCCTCTTCTCGCCAGAAACTCAACAGATCCGTATATCGCCCGTATCGTGCACTGGCCAGACTGCTGCCGTGGCCGCCCGATGACTTGCAGGACAGAGCGGTTGCTTGTCACAACTGTGAGGTCTCGGTCACGAAGGCCTAGGGGAACACACCTCAGGGCCGTGGCGATTGCCTCGAGTCCTGCTGTGTAGGCATTCTGCTCATCACTGGAGCCGAGAGTGACGGAATAGCTGGCCAGCACCTCGTCTGCGCTGTTGAGGAGAGCGTCTCGAACGACGCCTCCCAACCCGACCTTGCCTTTCCTTTGAGAGCTGGATGTCGCGATAGTGATGTCCTCCGGGTCATCCGACTTCAGCACCTCCACTCGGTTCGTCTCATATGTTACCTGCACTCGGTCGTCCCACGGCGCCAGTGCGAACTCGTGGATGGTTTCCAGGCGTTTGGTATCTAGTCTTTCCATCGCCGAGGCAAGCTTCTGCATTGGCGAGGCATACCTTCTGTTCAGCTTCAGCTTCAAGGATGTCAGGGATGCGTCCTCGGCAGCGTCTGCGTTCTGATCCAGAATCTCGACGCCGCTTGAGCATGGCGTTCTCGAAATGATTGCACGCTGGCCTCGGCCTCGGCCACAGCCGTCGCGACCGTACGGAACCCTCCCGTGATCGCCTGGGCTCCGACTCGCTGGGCCCTCTCGATCCACGTTGCTTCTTTCGCCTTGCATGCATGCGACCAAACGTTGGAGGCATAATCCATGGTCGGCGCTACGGTCGCAGTGAACAGTTGCCTTGCCGTTCGTGGTGAGGCCATCTTCAGTCGTTTCAGGCACATGGCAGCGGTCAGCCCCTTGGCGGCTACTCCGGCGATATGCTCCTTGAAGCGAAGTGCTTGATCCATGATGACTCCCAGCAGCTTCACATTGTCCTTCGGCTTGACATCATTCCCTCTGATGGTGAAAGGCGAGTCGCTGTCGCGTTCTGCGATGCGTGTGAAGTGAATGACGGACGTCTTGTCCACTTCAAACGTGGCGCCGCTGCGCTTCTCCCACTCGAGCGCATCATCGATAATCGACTGAATACCATCTCTGTTCGACTCGGCCGTTGGTCCAGTGACCCAGGCAGAGTAGTCGTCCACGAAGGCGATGGAGCCGCTGCTGTTACTGATTCGCCTCTGCACCAGGTCCGCATTGAAGAACAGAAATGCCACCGGTGATAGTGGAGATCCTTGGGGTAAGCCGGCCTGCGCCAGGGCTTGCTGCTCGGATGTGTGCCCGTTGACAACCACCGATGCGGTCCGTTCCGAGCAGAATGCGTCTACCCACTTGACCAGGCGACTCGGGATGCCTCGAGCTTTCATCCTCTCAAGCAGCCGCTCTTTGCAAACTCCATTGTACGCCCCTTTGACGTCGAAGCTGACGAGACTCAAAACCCTGCCCATTCTCCAAGCCTTATATATCCGCTCCTGCAGAAGCACGAGTGCTTGGTCTGCCGACCTGCGTTTCCGTGCACCAAAGTGGTTCGCGGGCAACAGCCCATGAGCTTCGACTGCATAGCTGATGCGTTCTGCAACGACTGCTTCGAGGATCTTGCCAAGGGTTGACAGCAGTGAGATCGGTCGCCACGCCTTGGCCAGAGTGTAATCGTCCTTACCCGGCTTCTTCAGCGGGATGATCTTGGCCGTCCGCCATTGATGGGGCACCACGCCCTCTCGAAGCGATGAGTCGAAGAGCGTCCACACCCGATGCTTGACCACGTGCCAGAGCTTCTTCCACACAATCACAGGGAGGCCGTCCTCCCCCGGCGCTTTCCAAGACTTGGCCGCCATCACCTTTTCCTCAATCTCTTGCAAGGTGAGGTCGGGCATGGTTATCGCTTCTCTTTGCGGACGCTCACCCTCCGGTTCGATCATGGTTGGCAGAGGCGGGAAGAAGGTGCTCAGGAGCTCCTCACCTTGCTCTCCTTTGCCTTTGGTGATCGAGCCGTCGGCTCTCCTCAACGGCGGCACCTTGTCATCGAACACATTCACGCCGGGTTTCAGATACTTGACCACTTTCCAGATGTTGTTCTCGTCGGTGACGAAGTCGTCCCAATGGGACTTCTTCTGTTTCCGCACGTTGTCGTGGTACTCCTTGGCAGCGTCCTTGGCGCGTTGCTCCAGATCCGGCTGCGGTTGACCGGCTCTTCGCTGCGCCCTTGCTTGATTGCGCCAATACGTGTACGTTTGCCGCAGTCGCGTCAGGTCCTTTGTCCACCATCGCTTCGCGTATGGCGGCGGCTGTGCCCGAGGTGTCAGATCATGAAGCACCTTGGTGACCACCCTCATGAGCTGATCCGCCTGCGTCTGTACCCCACACTCCACGGAAGAGGCCGAAGCTCGTCCTCGACCCTGGTTGCGATGGCGATCCACGGCGCGTTCTTGAGCATCAGGCGCTGTGGAAACGTTCTCTCCGGTACTTGAATGTCGAAGGCCGTCTGGATCGCTCTGTGGTCTGACCCGTGATCTGTCGGGTGAGTCATGCAGGATATCACCTCGTCTGCCAGTTCTGCCGATGCCAGCACCAAGTCGATGGTGCTCTCCTCGTCCGCCCTTTGCCACGTTTTCGTCCCTCTCGGCAGGAGGCTGCTGAGACCAAAGTCGTTCATCAGGTCGATGATGGGCTGGCCCTCCCCCTGTCTGCTCGCTGACACTTCATCTCCGCCCCAGAGGAGATCGTGGCGGTTGAAGTCTCCCGCCAGAACCACATCTGTGCGGTTTCCTGTCCCATCACGGAAGCGATCGATCAGGTCGCGCAGCGCTCCATCGCGCTCGTCAGCGCCTCGTCGTTCTTTCCTTGCACGTACACTGATACCACCATCACTTCCTCCTCGAGTCGGAGCACCACTGCTGTGAGATCGGCCGACGGCACAGGCACTTGCTCCGCCTCAAGGTCACTTCGGATCCAAAGCATGCTACGGATCGGCCACAGGCCGTCACGAGCACACGTCGGTATCATCTTTGTCCAGTTATGGTGTCCCATAGGGCTCGTCACCACCTCTCCGTCGATAACACGCGCATACGGCTCAGAAAGAGCCAGCACAGCAAAGTCCTTGAGGCCTGCGTCGTTCATCAGGCTTTGCTGCACCACATCACTCTTGTGCGCATTCAGCTGTAGGATGCGGAGGGACTCAAGCATCACTGTTCGGGTTCCTCATCCTACACTTCCAGCTGAACGACTCGTGCGGTCCGCCACACGGGACGCATTTTGGCTCAATTGCTGTGCACTCTCTGTGGTGATGCCCAACCTTTGCGCACTTGCCGCATGTCCGCTGCTTCTTGCATGCATATGCTTTGTGACCGATCTCCTGGCAGTTGAAGCATTGGATTGGTCCCGTTCTTGGCTCGAATACATAGGTGGTGGCTGACTCTCCCGCTAGGTCAAAGTAGTGCCCTTCTAGAAGCCTTTCTGCGTCGCTTTTCTTGGTGACATACACCACCATGGACCCGTACGCTTTGCCAGACTCTCGTTTGCTCAACCAGGAAATCTTGCCAATGGTCACTCTGTTTTCGGCACTCAAGGCCTCGATCGCTCCAGGCAGAACGTTGCCTTCCGCGTCAAGGATTGCTGTGCGGTTGGCGTTGTCGACTCGGACCGGGTACAGCTGGTCTCGCATAACTCGTGAACCTTCCACGGCTGTCTTCTGCGCAGCCTCTTTGACCATCTGAAGCTCGGCTTCGTCTCTGCAGACGATCTTGACTCGGTCGGCATTCCGGGACTCTCTCACGACTGCTGCGCACCTCCAGGTCTCTTGTCCGTTCATCGCTCTCATCTCAGTCTCGATGGCCTGGCGAATTGATCCGATTTGCGCTTTGTTCTTGTTCGACTCGCTGACGCGAGATGTGTCGATGGTACAATGGAGAGGATCGCTGGCTGTCTGCTGCTTTCTTGGGACAGCTACGCTGGATAGACTCGTCGGCGGGCTCGCTGGCAGTGTGCGCGCAATATCGGCAAACGTTGCTCGAGCGCCGCTTGACAGAGTCACCTCACCCGAAGCATTCAGCTTCTGCGTAAGCTGGGCCAATTGCTCTTTTAAAGCGGCGACTTCTCTCTGAAGATCCTGGTGTCCCCGTTTTAATTCCGCGTCGTGCTCATCGCTCTTGCGTCGAAACTCTTCCTTGGATTCCTGGACTTGGACCTCCAAGCCTCGGATCAGATCTTCCTGTCCTTGAATGATGGTGCTTTGCTTGTAAACCGTGGCGCTCAGCTTCCTGATCGTGTCGCTTTGCTCGGATACTCTATGTTTCAGGTCCACCATCTCGTTCCCCATCTTCGCCAGCATCTCTAGAACCTCTGCATCATCGATTTGGCGGTCTCCACACTGCTGCGTGACTTCACCTCGTCAACTCTTTCGCCTTCATTGCCGACCGATGAGACCCGCGTCGTTCGGGCCGTGACTCGCTTCGGAGCCCTTGCGGATGCATTTTCCAGTGATCGCAACGTATCTTGCACGCGTCCGCTGGGCGTCATCCCTCGCGTCGGACGCGTCGATGGCGTCGGGCTACCCGTTGATCTTGGTGTGGGGCCACAGCAGCCCAACTAAGTGTCTTCGCCACTTAGTTGGCCCAAAAAATCCGGCACAGCCCAAAAAATCCGGCACAGCAGGGTCCTCAATTTGGGGTGCAAAATCAAGGGAAATTCTACGCTTCGCTTCATGGTGCCGTCAATGCGACTTCAAATAGCTAAAATATACATGTGATCAATAGCTGCGGATCACCTAAAGACGCAAGTAACAACGAAAAGTGAAAAATCACGTCTTTGGGCCTATTTAGAGCTGCCGCCTTCCAGTCGAAGAGATAGGAAGACCGCGTTTGTGAGTCCAAATAGACGTATTATGTAGTAATTTCGCCTGTTGTGCGTCTCTGAGAGCTATTTTATCCATACCTGTGTTCCTGGAGCGTCTGCTGTATCTTGTTGGACGATCGGGTGCGCGGTCGAGGGCATGGTGTATCGACTACCGCTTCAACCGCTGCTAACGGCGGCGATGAGGGTATATTCTCTTGCGTGTCGAGTAAATTGTCCTCGTCTTCATCGTCGGCGCCATCCTCACTATGTTTGTCAAGATCGAGGCCTGTGAAATAGACGGTATCGTCACTGCCGGGCAACGACGACATATCTGTAAGTGGGCGAGGTCGGGTCGCTGCGCGCGCCCTGACATCTCTGGCGGAGTTATTTCTCTTCGTGGTATCATAGAAAAGGATTCCTTGGATGGCTCTTTGAGCTCCCGCATGAGGGTATCGCAACTTTGCTCCAGAGTGTAGAACTCAACGTCTCGTCCCGTAAACTCTAGCCAGGGCTTAAAGTTCAATGTCTTGACTCTGCCATTGACTAACTGCTTCTTCCCGACTTTATAGTCTTCTCGGATCTTCTGCATCTCTCCACGAACTCGTTTAAGATGCATCCTTATCTCCTGGCGCGTTTGAAGCCGGGTTTGCTTTGCCTGGAGCTCCTCATACTCCCGGGTGATGTCGGCCATGCTGGAGCTCGTGATAAACTCTCCGCGCGGCCTGACAATCTTGCCTCTCTTCATTCGATTCGCATACGCCTGGGTTCGGCTATTCTTATCGCTGACTATGCCCTGGGAATGTGACGCCATCGCGATAGACTCGGTGTTCACTTTCGCAAGAACCCGCAAGTTTTCTCGTGATGGCGAGCTCATGAGGGCCCATACCGTTGCCGGATATCATTGAGGGCATCCGCGGCGACTTGGAAACGCGTCTCCGAGGGTAGGAGCGAGGCGTATGCAGGATTGATCGGCTGCTGTTGTCGTAGCTGCTCGTGGAGGATCTGAAAATAGCAATGATGATATCAAACTTGATACAATACTCAGCAAAGTCAAGGGTGGTATGCCCTGTAAAGCCATCCACAACAAGCAATCGGTAGATCTTCTCGTCGTCAGGCCGTTGGTTTGGCGGCGCCTCCACGCGACTCATCCCCATGTTGGGGCGCCGAAGATGCTCGTCACAGCCGAACCACTCTTCCAGCGAATTTCCTGACTGTTTTGCTTGCGCTGACGATGCCCAAGACCAGCAGTTGAAATGCCTTGCCCACTCAAGGTGTATCTCTGCGTTGGAAAAGCCAGTTGGCGACTGGGCAAACCGTACGCCTGTCATGATGTCGATGCCGGCCCAGTTGGTGGTAGGGTAATGTTGGAAAACAAGCCAGGGTGGAAGAGAGTCCCCCACTGCGTTAACTGAGGCAATTACCGTGCAGGATTCTCGGTTTGCTGGGTCTAAAACTCGGGGCCGGGTGCTCTTGACTCTAGTGGTGCGCGTGATGAGAACTTGGATGCGTTCTCGCAGGCACCCAATGCGTATTCCGGCCTCGTCTTCATTCCAGATCTCTGAACTGCCAATACGGTAGCTGGTGATGATTTCTCGAAGCTTTGAGTAGAAAAATTCGACTTCTTCTACCCGTGGGCTTCAAAGGACTTCCGGGCTCGTTCAACTGCTTTGAGATACGTCTTCGCGATCGCAGGATGACTTCCACGCCAATTGTCAAGCCAACTTGACGAGACCGGGCGGGCATTGGGATCTCGACGCATTCTTATTGCATTTGCAACAGCTTCAAGTTGCTCTCGTGGCGGGCATGCCGGTGCGTTCCATCCACTGTACATACGCAACCAGGGCGTCGTCTTCGTCCTCCGTCAGCGCCAATGGACGCCCTGGAGCACGGGAAAGGGGTTTCTTATGAAATTAATGGCTCTCTGTACGGATGAGCTCTTCACATTGTAACGGATGGCCGCATCTCGCACGGAAAGAGGCGTTCTTTTGGTGTTGTTGAGCGACGAACATCGGCTCTGGGGTCGCGACGAGACGCCAGAACGGCTTTGCTGCCTCCAGGGTAGCCATGTTATCTGTCATAATGTATTCCGGCAAAAGATACGTAAATAAAGTCAAGTTGCGCGAGAAAACGCGGTTGAGATGCATAGGGTTGACGTTTTGGAGGTGGGCTGCTGTGCCGGATTTTTTGGGCTGTGCCGGATTTTTTGGGCCAACTAAGTGGCGAAGACACTTAGTTGGGCTGCTGTGGCCCCACACCAAGATCAACGGGTAGTTGGATCTAGCCCCGCCCCCACGTCCGCCAGGACCGCCACTTCAGGCTCTGCCATGATGGCAAGCAAGAGCCACACCTATCCCAGAGTAAAGAAGGATGAAGAACTATCTACGACGAGGAACTGACGCAATCCTCGGATTTCGCTTTCCCTGCGGTTCTCCAACGTGCAGTGGTTCACCTGTCTACCCACTTTTTTTTTTTTTTTTTTTGTATATTCCGCCATTGACGATAGTCAGAGGCACTGCGTCAGACTCGCTAAGCCTAATCTAGAGTTGTCCAATACTCGGTTCCGAGCCCAAGGAATTCGTCCCGCTCTAATGCCTAAATTTCTCTTACATCCTTCAATCCGTCTCTTGCTCATTTGACCTGTCCCTTTCCAATTCTGGAGCCTGTCTGATGAGGTACAGACCACTCTCCTCCGCCGCAATTGACGAAGAGTCCACCTGCCTTTAGCCGTCCGGTGTAGCTAACCTACCAGCTGTGGGGCAACCACAGGTATAGGTAGAGGGTTTGTGCTGAAAAGAAAGGTTAAGACAGAGGATGTATGTTAGTAGGGCGACGGTCGTAACTTGGCGAGTTCCCGGCGATATACCGGGCACCCAGGATCTGTAGCCTTGTGTGCTCCTTTTCCACCGCACGCTGCACACTTAAAAACGTCCGAGGTGCAAGTCGACGCAGAATGGCCCGGTTGGGCGCACTGTCCACAGATCGGAGCTGGGGCCTTGCAGCGATAATGCAAGTGTCCGTAGAGGTGGCAACGGTAGCATCTCGCTGGTTGAAGTCCCTGAACAAATGGTTGCGTGTATGCACACTCGCCATTCGCCATCTCAACCGTTCGTTGTGCAAGCAACCTGTCCACCTCCTCTTTCTTATCCAGGTGTACCACCAGAGAGCGGTATTCCTTGTCGACAGACACTGTCCCGAGCCATCGCATCTTGTGCACTTTCACCCCGTTCATCCGCTCAAACACGGCGCATCCGATATCATCCGTCGCAACCCCACGATGGGCTCTATCAACCCGTAGAGGGTACCACTGTTCCCCATATAGCGTTCCCTTGTCGAAGTGTGTCTTTATCCAGGTGTCGTTCTGCCGTACTTTATCGACGTCCGTCTCTCGAAAGAGAAGCCGAAAACGCCCGTTTCCCTTAGAATTGACGCCCAGACAGGTCACCCAACTTCTCGAGGGCAGCGTTCGCGCGCCGACGAATAGTGCCGGCATTGCCTTCCTTTATGTCGCTGTCTAGGACCCGACTCACGTCCAAGCCAATGCCAGGCAGTGGCCCTGGGACCGGAGAGGGTGGTGGCGAAAGTGGCAGGTGCTGTTGCTGTTGCTGATGAGGCGCACTTGGAGTGGCGGACTCCGGAGGGCTAGCAACGCGTGGGAAGAGCTCGTTTCGAATGAACTCTTCCAGAGACTCGACGCGTTTCTCCGCCCTTTCGGCCCGCTCCTCGACGCGTTTCAGGAGAGCTTCGATTCGCGCCAGTGAATCCTCGTTGGCATTGGGGTCGGCATTCGTCGGTTTCGCTTTCGGGACGGCGGATTTCTTTCGTGATGGGCGCGGTTCAGGGTCGAATTGCAGCGTCGGTTTCAGAGGGCGACCGCGGGCGCTGGTCCTTGTCGCGTCGGCCGCGCTTGTCGAATTGGCCACGATGCTACAGGCCACATTGTCGTTCGTACCGTCTTCCTCGTCATCGAGCAACTCGAATTGGTTCGAGTTGCGCTTGGTGCTGTTCTTGCTCTTCCGCGGCATTGTTCTTTTCGGCATCCTGTCTACCCACTTTAGTGGGTGAGCCAAAGCGAATCCCAATAAAGTGGGGGCGGGCACGATTATTGCCTGCAGCTCGTTGCTGGACTGAAGGGGAGAATGCTGAAGTGGACCGCGTTCAGGCGATGCTCTCTCTCGCCTATACTTGGAAAGGGGAAGCCAACGCACATCATTGAATCTCCCTTTGACAAAACATTCGAGAAAGAAAAGGCTGCTTTTCGCCGCTTTGCATTGACAAAGCCGTCATTTCCGCATAGCCAGTAGGATCGAACCCCGTTTGTTTTGGTTTGTGGGTTAATCGTCGGCCTCCCGCCCGTTCATCAGTTGCTCATGGTAATGCGCGTTCCGACGATCCGTGTTTCCGATCAGCAGATCGTCTCTTTAGATGGATTGGCAGATGCGTGTGTGCTTACGTACGAATTGTGCATTCTTCTGACTACTCGTGCCACGCCCCACTTTTCTGGATTCCGGTTCACCTTCACCTGGTGGCTGATCAACTCTCCCCTGTAAAAATTCTTCTCTTCTGCGGGCTGTTAGCAGCCTGTTAGTGGATAATTATTTTCAGGTCACCCGACCATGCTTCTGCCTCTCTAGCCCTAACGGGGCTCTAGCAAGCACCAAAAGGCAGACTTTGGAGAGTTCGTCTCCTCTTGGGAAGCTGGTCTCGAATAACGGCATGCCTCGCGCTGCCTCGCCTTCTGCCGCCTCGCGGCATCGCCTTCTTCTGCCGCCTCGCGGCATCGCCTTCTTCTGCCGCCTTTACTGGCTGGCCTCGACTTCTGCCGCCTCGCGGCCCCGACCTCTTCTGCCGCCTCGCGGCCCGACTTCTTCTCGCCCTTCCTGGCACGCCTCGCGCTGCCTCGCACCCTCTGCCGCCTTTACTGGCTGGCCTCGCCTTCTGCCGCCTTGCGGCTCTGCCTCCTTCTGCCGTCTCGCGGCTCCGAACTTTGCCGCCTTGCGGCCCTTTCTGCCGCCCAGCGGCCACGACTTCCTCTGGACTGGTGGGCCGCGGGGCCCCGAGGAGCTACAGAGCCTAGAGCTCAAGGCCTCACCCGGGTGTCCCCGGGCTGCACACCAATCGACAACACCTCCACCACCTGCTTGCTACGAGGAGCAGGCACGGGGACTTCGCCGACTGTCATAACCACGAAGTGGCCCGGATCGAACGCTCCTGCGAAGAAGACAATCGCCATCGGGGCGAATCCCCGACTAACATTGCTACACTCTCTGCTTCCTTTTTTTTCTTTTCTTTCTGCCCCGTAGGCCCTCCTCGAGGGGCTTGCGGCCGGCCCATGACTTCGTGGGCTTTCTCAGTCACCCGGCCTCGGCCAAAGACTGACTACTATTACGGCTTCACTGCCGTGCCTGGAACCCGCTGACGGGAAGGGCCCCGAATTTCCGACCGGCCTCAGAGCCTCAGAATTGCTAGATGGAGTGGTTAGGTGCTACACACGGTCCTTAGTCCAGGTACTCGGGATATTCTATGTATCTAGTCTTCTCTAGCCTAGCACGTCTTTTGCCCTTATAGGGATGTCCCAGACGGTAATCAATACTACTACTACTACTACCTGGTGGCTGATGGCGCCGCGGTCCGTCTACGCTCCCTCGATGAGCGGCACCCCTTGACACCCCGTATGAGCATCCTCCCAACGCCTGGCCGGGAGCTAATGAAGAGGCACGGTATGCGGGCCCCTCGCGCGGCCCGGAAGCAGCACGCCTCGAGACTCCTGCGTCTTCACCAAATGACGGCCCATGCTCCGAGGCCCCGACTTCTCCCCCCAGCACCCCCTCAGCCCGACCCGACAGGGGGCGTAGACAAAACGCAGGCGGCCCGAGACTTCCACTCGTGGCTCCGGGTATGCCCTGAAGATACCCTCATCGTCTACACTGACGGCTCGCAGAGCGAAGACGGCGCCTGCGGGTATGGGTACTCGGTGTGGCTAGGCCCTACCTGTTACGGCCAGGCACATACGAGCCTTGACGGCTATAAAGATGTATTGGCACTATGAACAAAGACTCAAAGCTAAGGAGCAAGAAAGGAAGACTAGACTACACGACCGAGCGGGCCCTTATATAGACACGAGGTCGCGCGTGGGCACGTGATGCTGCTTGGGCACGTGACACTGGTGAGGTGCTGCGCTGGCGGCTCTACGCTGGCGCCCAGGGTCGTGACACTGCCCCCCGTCTAAGGCCTTGATATGCGTATCAAGGTAGTCAGTCGTGGCGGCGGCTTCTTGGTTTCACGGCTTTCTCTGCTGTGTCGTCATCGTCTCGTTCCTCGCAGCCCTCCTCCGCTGCAGCACATTCGATCCAGTATTGCAGGTTGACGGGCGGCCAGCTGAGCCGTCACTTGGGCCATCGTTGGCGGGTCTTCGATTGAGGCCGACGTCTCCTCTTGCAGCTGGAGAATCGGGGTCGAGTCTTGGTCTTGGTCTTGGGTCGAGGGCCTTGATCAGGCACTTGCGATGCCGTACGGACTGACTTCCTTGTCGGGGGTCCGTAGTCGAGTTTCTTCGGCATCACCTAGTCAAGGGCGAGTCGGGGTCGAATCCAACACGAAGCGAATCGGTGGGCCAAACCTCCTGATCACACACAGGAGGGTCAAGTCGACAGGCGGAGGTTGTTCCTTTCCAGTCTTTAGGAAGAGGAACGGGTCGATGCGCTGCACAGTCCTTAGTGCGTGCGCGGGTCAAGGCCGAGCCGAGCTGCACACGCAGACGAGTCGACAGGTGCCTCCAGTGCCTTCGGAGGCTTGGTCGAGTGTCCTCACGGACAGTCAACCCTCTGATCACATACAGAGGGGTCGGAAGTGATTCGCAACGCAGTCCTTAACGAAGCGAATCGGTCGGGCTCCTGATCACACACAGGAGGGTCGGTCGGTGTTGAGTCGGGGCACAGTCCTTAGTGCAACGGGTCAACGGTCGGTCGGAGTGCACGAGTTTTCAGTCCAGCGCGAAGGACCAGGTTGTGGGTGCCTATTTGTTTATCGCGGGGCACGCGAAGGTTGCCTATATTTGTTTCGCGGGGCACGCGAAGATTGAGCTTTGAGTAGTGTTACGGCCAGGCACATACGAGCCTTGACGGCTATAAAGATGTATTGGCACTATGAACAAAGACTCAAAGCTAAGGAGCAAGAAAGGAAGACTAGACTACACGACCGAGCGGGCCCTTATATAGACACGAGGTCGCGCGTGGGCACGTGATGCTGCTTGGGCACGTGACACTGGTGAGGTGCTGCGCTGGCGGCTCTACGCTGGCGCCCAGGGTCGTGACACTACCGAAGTGACCTACGGCAGCGGTCGGGTCCTACTCGCTGAGGTCTACGACGCAGAGGTGGAAGGCGCCCTCGAGGGGCTTCGAGCGGCACTCACGTGGTCCCCCAGGACCCCGGACCAGCAGTGCCGGATAGTCGTCTGCCTTGATAACTCTGCGGCTATAAGAGCCATACGAGGCAGCCCATCGATCTCGTCGCAAGCGGCGGCGGAGAAGTTCGCTGAGGCCGCGGCTCGGCACGGAGACGTCAGGACGCGCTGGTGCCCCGGCCATACGGGGATCGCCGGCAACGAGCGGGCCGATCAGCTAGCAAAGGAGGGCTGCCGGGCCCTAGGCCCGGACAGGCCGCCGACATACGCGAACATCAAGAGACAGGCCAAGGCTGCGGCCAGGCGCGACTTCCAGGACTGGTGGGCCGCGGGGGCCCCGAGCAGCTACAAGAGCCTAGGGCTCAAGGCCTCGCTCGGGTGCCCCGGAGCTGCACACCAAACGACAGCACCTCCATCACCTGCTCGCTGCGAGGAGCGGGCACGGGGACTTCGCCGACTACCACGAAAGGTTTAACCACGAAGAGGCCCGGATCGCATGCTCCTGCGGAAGGAGAAAATCACCGACACACCCCTTCTACTGCCGGAAGGTAGGTACTCGACACCGCCTAAGGCTAGCCCCACGGCGGGCAAGGCTATCAACCAGGCAATGGGAGGGGATTTGACCGGTTCCTCGGGCTAGTAACGGAGGCAGGATTCTTTGATCGGATTTGCCACCGCCACTAGCTCGAGGCAACCCCCTAACCTAATATGTACAATTCTCTCTTTTCTATGTTTTCTGCCCGTAGGCTCCCCGTGGGCCTACGGCCCAGCTGACTGCGTGGGCTTTCTCAGTCACCCGGCTCTGACCGAAGACTGACTAATATTACGGCTTTACCGCCGTGCCCGGAACCCGCTGACGGGGGAAGGGACCTGAGAATCCGAGCGGCCACAGAGCCCAAGAATTGCTAGATAGGGGGGTAGAAGTAAGGAAGGCGCGACGGGTTTCCGGCGAGCACCCTCATCTTGTACTATACCTAGCCTAGCACGTCTTTTGCCCTTATAGGGATGTCCCAGACGGTAATCAATACTACTACTACTACTACTACTACCTGGTGGCTGGTGAAGGGAACCGGAATCCAGAAAAGTGGGGCGTGGCACGAGTATATCGGGCGTGCGCCTTCTTGGACACCAGGTCCTGATCCAAGATGACGGGCTTGATCGTTCCCGTTGATCCTTTTTTGGCGGACAGACATCACATCTCGTTGGTTTGCAAGCGAGCAAGCTACTCTTTGCCTGTGACTTGTCCTAGAGCAAGGGGAAACTTTCTCATGGAAGGCGTGCTTGCTTTCCGCTGTGCCTGTGGTCCGAAACAAGGCTCTAACAAAAGCCCTGACTAGAACCGGGTTCGCGCGCGGGAGCGGCAACACGTTCGCAGGAACATGTTTCTTTCCCGTTTCGGGCAAGCACGTGATCTCTCTTCTTCTCGCTCACTTACACTCTCTTTCTTTTTTTCTATGCAGTGTCCCAACGGCGCTGCGAGGTTGGCCCAAGCCCCTGAGTTCCCCCTTTTAACCCGAAAACTCCAAAACACGCTCGTCCAGCGCAGCCTCACCACGACTCAAGCCTCATCATCTTGTCGAAAAAGGAAGTCATAACCGAAGCAACGGCACACCAGAACCGACACGACGTCCTGCTAGGCAAGAAGTAGGCGTTTCCTTACTATCCGCCCAGCTTGGCGTGTTTCGAAAAGGGGGCTCTACTCATGCACGTCGTGATGGCCAGTTCAGTCTGGGGCTCAGCTCTCTTCCATCCGCCACCGCCGTATCGATCACCGGCTGTCTAGCCGTGACTAAGTCGTCGTCGCAAAATGAAACAGCACAACTACTCAAGGCGGTCCACTCACTCACTCTCTCCTCACCCACTCTCTCCTCACCCACTCTCTCCTCATCCACTCACCCACCTCCTGTCAAGCTCAAACCCCTTTGTCACTTCCGTGACATGACTTTTATCTTTTCTTCTAGCTTCTCCCATGACCACGGGGAGGGGCCCTGTGGTCGTCGGCCGACGTCAAGGGTGCCCTGTGCTGTCAGCCCGTCTCCTCCTCGAGAGGAATTCGCCCCAGGCCCGCCTGACTCCCAAGTCTGGTAGGAGGAAGCTTCCCTGAGGAAACATGACTCTCTTTCACTCTCCGTGGCGGACTCGTGCAAGACGCATCGCGTGTAACAGGCCGTTCTCCACCACTTGAGACTGGTGAGGCAACGGTGAAGCGGCTCTGTCGTCCGACGTTCCAACGTTCCGTACCTTGTCATCTGGTATAAGTAAGAGCCCTCCCTCGGCCTCAAGTTGGATTCGAGACTTGGAGAGAACATTGCAATTTTATCTCGTGCTCTCTCCACTCCCGTACTACTTCGCGGCCTGGTGCCAGTCCTCTTTGCATTTTATACTTCTTTCTTTCCATCAAGGAAACGCCTGGGGCGTCGACTTCTCTTCCGGCTTGCACCTTGTACCTATCTCTCTCTCTCAAGACTTGACCACGACGGCAAGCTTGCTATAGTCCCACCCCAGGCACCATGGTCCGTCTATCTATCGCTTCCACGGTGGCTTGTGAGTAACCCTAAATCCCCTCCCCTCGGGAATGTTCATCCGAGAACTTCGGGCTAACTTGTCAATCACAGTGGCCTTGACCGCGTATGCCGCCGCGCCTGTCTTCACCGACCAAAAGGCTCTGGGCGCGCAGAAACAAGACCAGGTCGACAAGTCAGAGTGCAAGCTAGACAATGATTGCCAGTCCAAGTGCTGCGCCGTCCAATCCGACGGCAATAATAACATCTGCTCCACACGAGCGGATGCCGAGTCCAAAAAGGACGGGAAGATAGGATGCGAGGGCACTCTAGAGCAGAATGGCGGCGGCGGCGGGACAGGCGCCCAGGGCCAGGGCACCGGCCAGCAGAAGAACAAGAACGGCGGCAACGGCGACGGCGGCAACGGCAAAGCCGCCACAGGCAACGGCAACGGCGGCAACGGCAACGGCGCCACCGGCAAAGCCGCCACAGGCAACGGCAACGGCGCCACCGGCAAAGCCGCCACCGGCAACGGCAACGGCGCCACCGGCAAAGCCGCCACAGGCAACGGCAACGGCGGCAACGGCAACGGCGGCAACGGCAACGGCGGCAACGGCAACGGCGGCAACGGCAACGGCGGCAACGGCAACGGCGGCAACGGCAACGGCGGCAACGGCAACGGCGGCAACGGCAACGGCAACGGCGCCACCGGCAAAGCCGCCACCGGCAACGGCAACGGCGCCACCGGCAAAGCCGCCACCGGCAACGGCAACGGCAACGCCGCCACCGCCAAAGCCGCCACAGGCAACGGCAACGGCAACGCCGCCAAAGCCGCCACAGGCAACGGCAACGGCAACGGCGCCACCGCCAAAGCCGCCACAGGCAACGGCAACGGCGGCAACGGCAAAGCCGCCACCGGCAACGGCAACGGCGCCACCGCCAAAGCCGCCACAGGCAACGGCAACGGCAACGGCGCCACCGCCAAAGCCGCCACAGGCAACGGCAACGGCAACGGCAACGGCGGCAACGGCAACGGCGCCACCGGCAAAGCCGCCACAGGCAACGGCAACGGCGCCACCGGCAAAGCCGCCACAGGCAACGGCAACGGCAACGGCGCCACCGGCAAAGCCGCCACCGGCAACGGCAACGGCAACGGCGCCACCGGCAAAGCCGCCACAGGCAACGGCAACGGCGGCGGCAACGGCAACGGCGGCAACGGCAAAGCCGCCACCGGCAACGGCAACGGCAACGGCGCCACCGGCAAAGCCGCCACCGGCAACGGCAACGGCAACGGCGCCACCGGCAAAGCCGCCACAGGCAACGGCAACGGCGGCAACGGCAACGGCGGCAACGGCAAAGCCGCCACCGGCAACGGCAACGGCAACGGCGCCACCGGCAAAGCCGCCACCGGCAACGGCAACGGCGCCACCGGCAAAGCCGCCACCGGCAACGGCAACGGCAACGGCAACGGCGCCAACGGCAAAGCCGCCACCGCCAAAGCCGCCACAGGCAACGGCAACGGCAACGGCGCCAAAGCCGCCACCGGCAACGGCAACGGCGCCAAAGCCGCAGCCGCCACAGGCAACGGCAACGGCGGCAACGGCAAAGCCGCCACCGGCAAAGCCGCCACAGGCAACGGCAACGGCGCCACCGCCAAAGCCGCCACAGGCAACGGCAACGGCGCCAACGGCAACGGCGCCAACGGCAAAGCCGCCACAGGCAACGGCAACGGCAACGGCAACGGCGCCAACGGCAAAGCCGCCACCGGCAAAGCCGCCACAGGCAACGGCAACGGCAACGGCGCCAAAGCCGCCACCGGCAACGGCAACGGCGCCAAAGCCGCAGCCGCCACAGGCAACGGCAACGGCGGCAACGGCAAAGCCGCCACCGCCAAAGCCGCCACAGGCAACGGCAACGGCAACGGCGCCACCGGCAAAGCCGCCACAGGCAACGGCAACGGCAACGGCGCCAAAGCCGCCACAGGCAACGGCAACGGCGCCGGCGGCGTTCCCTGATATCGAAGTACCAGTGAACCGCTTTAGGCGTGAAAGCGTTGAGCCTGTTAGCTTCCTGACGTCTTTCACGCTTGTTATTGATCTCCGGGTGGCGATTGATGAATTTGGTGGACCGGTTGCGGCCCAATGTCTGCTTGTTGTACCTAGTCAGGGTTCAAAGCCACTCCACGAATATCCACATATGGACTCACATGTGGATCCACATCAAATCCACTTCACTCCACAAGACCCTGGCCACATGTGGAAACCGTGGAAATCGTGGAAATTGCGGATACCCTTCAAATAGAGCTGAGGTTACTAAGCAGCCTCCACCATTAAGTTAGTGGAGTGGAGTGGCTTTGAACCCTGGTTGTTAAGCAAGGGACTGGATACTCGGGAGCCAATAGAGGCGCGGACCCCCGCGCCTTTAAAGTCGGCGCGGACGTCCGCGCCTGTTATGTAAGCCCAGGCGGAAGATAGTCGGGCCGCCCCCTGACCTGTACTCTCCTTTTTAAGCAAAGCTGTAAATTTGTGCTACGAAGTGACGAAGTACACGCAGTGCGAAAATTCAGCGGAGCTTCTTTACTGAGCAAAAAGTGCGAAACTTTTATTAAGCAAAGCTGTAAATTTGTGCTACGAAGTGACGAAGTACACGCAGTGCGAAAATTCAGCGGAGCTTCTTTACTGAGCAAAAAGTGCGAAACTTTTAGACCCACTTTGCTAACAGTTGCATTTTGATTGGAGCCCACTTCGAATACGTCTAGGTGATTGGTCAGATTTACCCAGACTTTACCCGTGAACTTTGTTGTGATTGGTTAGAGCCTATGTATACTGTCTGCAGTAGAAATTATTCACACCGTAAAAGACGCCTCTGATTGGTCTAAAGGTTTACCCGCACCTTTGCCATAGAACGTAGGGGCGCCCGGAGGACCTAATTTCCTCTTGAAAACCTCGATTCCTATCCTTTGACATTGATCTTCTGATATGACATCTACATGCCGTCTCCTCATCCTCCTACGTGGGGTCCTCCTACGGGGGAGCCTCCTTCGGGGGAGCTTCTTCCCGATCGTCTTTGCATTCAATGCAACCAGTTCAAGCAAGACGATCAATTCATTCACCTGATTGACCCATCTAAGCGCACTAGAAAATGTCTCCCCTGTCGTCGGGTTCATAATCGTCCTGTGTGTGTCTCTTCTTGCCTCTCAATTCGTTCGTCTGTTGATCTTCACTTAGGCTCAACGCATCCCAACAATCCATAAGCGACACGCAAGCCTAGATATCCAGAGTCCAACGGCGCGTAGGCCTACCGCACCCCAGACATCGTCTTCGGCTTCGCCTGCTCTGCCTCCTCTGCAGCCTCGTCCTTCGTTTTCTCCTGGCGTGCCTCCGCTACGCTTACCTCCACTACAGCATCGCCCTCGGTTCTTTCGTCGGGGCATTCGGCCAGAAGATAGTCCAGGCCATGCAACGGCACACGCCCGCCAGGTTACTATCAGTCGACGTCATCGTATGGAGAGACGGCAAGGCCATGAGCCATCCGCAACGCCAGGCACCTCCCAGTTGCTTTCTATGCAGCCGGCCCCGTCGTCTCCTGCTCTCTCTATCCCGCGGTTAGCAACACATTCTCATATCTCTTATCCGATGTCAAGCAGCCCTTCCAACGTGTCGTCTCCAGCCTCTTCTGCTTTCACAGCAGGCGATTTGAATCTGCATCCGGTTCCTCGCATTGGCCTTTCTGCTCCTGCAAGCCTACAATCTATCCAATGCGACGAGGCCGATGAAGACGTTCCTCCTTTGGACATCGTTGGACCGTTTGCCGGCGATCTCAACGCACAGGCCATTTCTCAGAGTGATCAGGACCTCCTCAATCTGTGGAACGACAAGCTTGACTCTGAGTCTCTTGAGTACTGCAGTCGATGCAAGGAGTCCTGGTTCAACATGGTCCTTGTAAATGATGTCTGTTCTGCCTGCCGTCGTCGTGACGCCGATGGGAAAAGGCAGCCTCACGAACCTTTCCTCTTCTCCGAAGAAAATAACCTGGATCTCGGCAGCGTTCCCAACGAGCTCCCAGAGCTATCCCAAGTCGAGGAGATGCTCATTGCGCGGGTGCATGTCCACATCCAGGTTTTCCAGTACCGTGGCCAGCAGTATAAGTATCGTGGTCATGTCATTAACTTCTTACGGGATATTGGCCACGTCTATACGCAGCTTCCTCTTCTGCCGCGCGAATTGGACATCATCATAATACGCCCACGGGATTCAACGAACCAGCCACACGTCGTCCGGCAGTTTCGACGTCAATTCCGTGTTAGGCAAGGTCACATTCGCGTCTGGCTTGAACACCTTCAACTCAACCACCCTGGCTATCGAGATATCATCATTGACGCTGAGCGCCTAAGTCAGCTACCAAACGACGGTGATGTGGTTGATCAAATGCTTGCCGAGGAAGTCGATGTGCCTGAGGGCGTGCAAGCAGAGCAACATCCTATAGAGCACCCTGACCCTGAGGCCGTTGAGGATGCCGATGCAGCTGGCATTGATGACTACGATGCAGCAGCAATCCCAAACTTCATTGCAGCGCAGGCTGACCTTGAGCGTCTCCGGGCTCAGCTTGAGGATCACGAACCCGTACCGCCCGAGCAGATCCCTCTGCGCCAGGCCCACATCGAGATGCCTAATATCCGGTCTACACCTCTCAATGAGTTCAATCGTTCCCAGCCTCTGCTGTCTCTCGCCTTTCCTACCCTCTACCCTACTGGGCAGGCAGACTTCGTGGCGCCTCGTCAGAGGACAATTCGGTACGATGAGTATATCGCACACGCCGTGAGATACCATGATGGCCGTTTTGCTACGCATCCACGCTTTCGATATGTTGCTTTTAACACACTCATGCGCCAACAAGTTAACTCTCGCAGTTCCTTCTTTCTGAAGAGGCCTGGCCTGCAGCAGCAAGTTGACATGGATGAACTACGCAATGCCTTTGAGGAAGATACCCCAGAATCTCGCGCACTGTTGAGCTCTATTGTGCGCTTCTCAAGCAGCTTGAAAGGCACACGAGCTTACTGGGGCGGCCAGAGACATCAGCTTGAGGCCATCGTCCACGGCCTTACCTGTCCTGGTGTCTTCCTCACCTTCTCAGCTGCTGACCTTCACTGGGATAGCCTCCAGAGACACATGCCGTCATATGTTGAATGGCGTGAGGCTGATGGCCGTGGTAAGGGTGCTATTGCGTTCCGGAATCTCCTTGAAAACCCTCATATCGCAGCATATCACTTTCACAGCCGTTTTACTAGCTTCCTTAAGATAGTATCGATGCCAAAGTTCAACATTACCGACTATTGGTTTCGCTACGAATGGCAGGCCCGTGGCAGCACGCATGTGCACGGCCTTTATTGGGTTAGGGATACACCAAAGCCTGATATGTCTACTCTCGAAGGCAAAGCTGAGTTTGCCCGGTTCTGGGCCCCTTATGTCTCTGCCATTAACCCAGAGCCCCTTCGTGTGATGCAGCAAGGCGACGCAAATCCATTGGTACTAGTCCGACCGCCGCGTACTTTCCAGTTCCTCGCTGAGGTTGTTAATCGCGTACAACGCCATCGTTGTTCTGAGCTCTATTGCTTGCGACACCGCCGACTGCCTGACAACTCTCTGTCAAGGGAAAAGCTATGTCGATTCCACTTCCCTCGCGCCTCCCATGCCGAGGCCCACGTCACACATGGCCTTAACCCGACATTCCTTGTGTATGATGGCGCACGCAACGACCCTCTGCTTAACAACTTCAATCCCCTTTTGGCTATTGGCTGGCTTGCAAATCATGACATTTCCCCCTGCACCTCCTTTCATGCAGTTGTTAACTATCTCGGCAAGTACTGCTCTAAAGCTGAGAAGCAGACGGAGAGCTACCGCGACGTCGCCAGGGCCATCTTGCCTAGAGTCAATGCACGACAGGGTCTCGTCAGCTTCGTCGCCAAGTTCATGAACAAGCTTACGGCTGAGCGTGACTGGTCTGCTATGGAGATTAACCACCTGCTGCTCAGCCTACCACTCCAGCAAAGCACGAGGACTGTACGATCGGTTGACTGCCGCCCCCCTCAAGAGCAATGGCAGGCAGCTATTGTAGATGAAGCTGCTGATGGTATTCGGGCCTCAAGGAATATATATCAGAAATACCTCGCTCGCAACGATCAATGGGCGCAGTTGACCTACTTTGAGCTTCTCACCAAAGTTGACTTTACACGCCCGGCAGCCTGGCACCACTACAGCCGAGCCCCTGACCGTGTGTTGAGCTATTTCCCTCGGTACAAGGCCCTCCGCGGTAACGAGCAGTACGAGGACTTTTGTCGTGTCAAGTTAACCTCCACCATCCTCATCGCGACCCTCAGGAACTCAAAGAGGTAGATGGCGCCCTTTTCGACACCTTCTCTGGGGCATACGACCATTGCTCTGCTGTCCACGACGTTCATCCAGACGACTACTACGGGGACCTCCTCCTCCAGTCGAAGAGGAATTCCAGGAAGAACCGCGTAACGAGGAAGATGTTGCGGCTGAGGGTTGGGAAGAGCTTGCTGCAGTGCTTCCAAATCGTGGTCCAGATGAAGATGACATTGACTTACTGGGAATCGCGATTTTGACCTTGCTCACGATTGGCAGCCCTACATTGGCAAGTATCCGGATTTAGCCATTCTGGGGCATGACTATTGGAAGGAGCTTAAAGCTTCACACCCCCTAGGCAACAACCAAGATGATGTCCCTGATGGCCTCTTTGATCAGCTTAACGTCGAGCAGCGCACTGTGTTTGACCTATTTACTCGACATCTTGAGAAGGCTCTCGACCCTCAACAGCCAAACCCGGCACCGCTCCTTGTGCAGGTAGACGGAGAAGGCGGCACAGGTAAATCCTTTATGATCAGAGCGCTCTGTGCACGTCTTGGGCAGCTATCTCCAACCTGCTTCGCTCGGGCTGCCCCTACCGGTGTGGCTGCTAATGCAATTGGCGGCGTTACACTACACTCCTTCTACGACTCCCTCTTACCAAGTCTTCAACGGAGCTGCCGTTGCTAGGCCCTACAGACATTGCCAACCTACAGTCAAAGCTACGCAACCTCCGCTACCTCATTATCGACGAGAAGTCAATGATTGGCTTGCGTACTTTTGGCTACATTGATAGCCGCCTCCGACAAATATTTCCCGAATATCAAGACACCTTTTTCGGCGGCCGTAGCGTTTTGTCGCTCGGCGACTTCTACCAGCTTCCACCTGTTATGGAGAAGCCGCTCTTTACTACGTCTATGCTCACGGCTTTACCTGATATCAATGGCCGCAATGCCTACCTGGCATTCGACAAGACAGTTGTGTTACGACAAGTGTTGCGTCAGCAGGGCGAAGAGCAGGCTCCTTTCGCACTGCTCTTCAGAGCCTACGTATAAATGCTCCTACTGTCCTAGACTGGGAGCTGCTCTGCACCCGCGTCCAGGCCAATCTGACCTTAGCCGAGGTTACGTGCTTTGACGGGGCAGTACGCATCTACACAACGAATGCCCAGGTCCGCGAGTTCAATAGGGATCATATGGAACGCCTAGCTGTGCCTTGCATACAGGTTCGGGCAACAAATGTCGGTCCAAAAGCCGCCGAAGCTGACTCTATGACTGCTGGCAACTTACATAACCAGTTACCCATTTGCATTGGGGCAAGAGTTATGTTGACTGAGAACGTCTGGACTGATGTTAGCCTTGTTAATGGTGCACTGGGGACCATATATGACTTTGCCTATGAGGATCACGTACAGGATCCTCAAGCTCATCATCCCTTTGTCATTATGGTCCGCTTCGATCGCTATACCGGCCCCCCTTATTTCGACGACCCTGAGCTAGCCAACGTCCAGCCTATCTTTCGCTCCTGGCGGGACTTCATCAAGGGTAGTATGCCCTGCTCTCGCACTCAGTTTCCCTTGACAATTGCATATAGCATCACTGTGCACAAGGCACAGGGTGCTACGCTTGAATGGGTTGTTGCCGATATATCCCATCGCGATTTCCAGTCTGGCCTCACCTACGTCGCCGTCTCGCGCGCCAAGACGTTGAATGGCATCATGTTTGATGCGTCCTTTGATCTCAATGATATCCGGCGTCGCACGGATGGCTCTATGGCTGCTCGGGCTGCTGACGCTGCCCGGCGTGCTGGCCAGGTTGTGACTGCCCAGGAAGCATTGAATTGACTGGTCATACATTCGCCTGCTTGCAGCAACTCTCAATGTGACAATTTGGCTCTCTTATGGGTCAGCAACAACGGGGATGGGGTTTTCTCTAACTGAGAGTCTGAGCCATTTGATCATATGCACAGGAGCGAACAGGAGCCTTTTGGATGACGATTAATAAGGGGAATTGCTGGCTTGCTTGCAATCCTCTCCAAGCACAGCCTTCGTAGCACATAAATTTACAGCTTTGCTTACTCCTGTGACGGCGTATTCGGCGGCAACCCAGGTATCTTCTATTGCATGTGGCAAACTGTCGCACAGAGAGCCAGCCTCATATAGCATACCATCTGCGCTCAGAGTAGTTGTCCGCGGAAGCGATGCTATAATCCGCATATTAAGGTCGAGCGCCTGCATGCGTGGTGCTTGGACCCCATTGAGGCCAAAGCTCAAACGCAGGCTGCATTAAACCTCGCAGGCGGCCTCGGTTACAAGGGTTCTGCACCACAAAGCAGGAGTTTCCTTTCCTTTGTGTATAAAGAGCTGCTCACTGTCGTGCACTACAGCTAGCTCTTCAAGATAATTCCAATATGGGGCTTACTGAATTCCCTGACGATTGCCTTCCTCCTGAGGGCCAATTCGACTCGCGAGAGTCTCTTCTTGCCTCAATTAATGCGTGGGCGGCTCCAAGAGGCTATGCCTTCACCACAGGCAAGTCCACGAGAGACCCGCGGTCCGGAAGACGCACAGTCATATTTGCCTGCGATCGTGGAGGTAGACTTGGGGCTCATACAAGCAAGGACCAGAAGCCAGCTGATCGGCAACGGTCTACAAGCTCCCGTATCACTGGATGCCAGTTTTCCATCAATGCGAAAGAGAGCCTTGATAAGTCGTACTGGTATGTCAGGCATCGCCCAGGCGAGGAGAAGTCGGTCCACAACCATGAGCCCAGTCTGCATATTACAGCACATCCAGCTCATCGTGCCCTCTCCTCAACTGACCAGTCAGCTATTGGGAACCTCTCAAGCGCTGGCATAGCACCAAAGGATATCCGGACATATATGCGCCAGAGCTCTCAGACTGCCCAAGGAGCGACACAGCAAGACATATATAACTGTATCGCACAGCGCAGACGAGAGCTCCTTGCTGGCCAGAGCACAATGCATGCCCTTGCCAATGAGCTTGACAACGAGGGGTTCCAGAGCCGCATACAGCTTGATCATGATGGCCGAGTCACAGCAGTCTTATTCGCACACCCAGCGTCTCTAGGATACCTCAACGCATACCCAGAATTACTACTGCTAGACTGCACATACAAGACGAACAAATAAAATACCTGGGTTGCCGCCGAATACGCCGTCACAGGAGTAAGCAAAGCTGTAAATTCTGTGCTACGAAGATGCAACAATTAGGGCTGATATTTGAAGATTTTGAAGTCGAATCGGCCTCGGGACCCTTGAATTGAATGAAGCCGAATCGGGTAAGGTCTTCAAATTCGATGAATCAAAAATCAGGAGTCTTCATTCAATTCATTCATCAAAATCTTGAATGAATGGCGATATGGTCGAAATATACGGTGAAAAAAAAAGGATAACCCCGCTTCGCAGCTGCCACTGGTAAAATACCTGGGTTGCCGCCGAATACGCCGTCACAGGAGTAAGCAAAGCTGTAAATATCTGTGCTACGAAGATGCAACAATGCATTGATGTAATGCGCGCTGTGAGGTTCTGTTGCGGCAAAGGTGGGGGTAAACTTCCCTATGGCAAAGCAACGGGTAAACCTTTTGGGCCAATCAGAAGCGTTTCGTACGGTACGAATAATTCTACGGCGTACAGTATACATTTGGCTCTGACCAATCATAACGTAGTCACGGGTGATCCACGGTTAAATCTGACCAATGATGGTTCTGTAAATTAATAGTAAGGCCAATTAAAACGCTGTGCTAGGAAAAAGTGGTCCCCCAGAAAACCTGCTTAAAGAAGCTCCGCTGAATTGCGCACTGCGTGTACTTCGTCACTTTGTAGCACAATTTACAGCTTCGCTTAAAAATCCCAGTGGATTGGGAGTGGGGTAGTTAGTGTCACGACCCTGGGCGCCAGCGTAGAGCCGCCAGCGCAGCACCTCACCAGTGTCACGTGCCCAAGCAGCATCACGTGCCCACGCGCGACCTCGTGTCTATATAAGGGCCCGCTCGGTCGTGTAGTCTAGTCTTCCTTTCTTGCTCCTTAGCTTTGAGTCTTCGTTCATAGTGCCAATACATCTTTATAGCCGTCAAGGCTCGTATGTGCCTGGCCGTAACAGTTAGGGTGTCCATATATGTTGGTATAAAGACCCTAACACCCACCGTTTCAGCAATCTTGCCACCCTATACGGAGTATCAAAAACACCATAAAGGTCATGAACAGTGCCTTTTTTATAATGCACACCATTTAAATGTAGTGCCACTCGAATGTTCTGGATTTTCTCGTTCGGGTGGTATAACTCTCGATATCTGTGCTTATCATTTGCTCAATAAATGCCACATCATCCTGAAGGCAATCAATAGATCAGTCATTTTCTAGTTGCAAAACTACATTTCAAGCACATACTAAGCTCGGCAGTCCATATTTTTGAAATATAATACAGGACTTATACCCTTAAACAGCCTCCGGCAAGCTGATTCAAAAAACGCGTTCAGGTCCCTCAACATCTCAATATTGCGCGAACAATTGGAGGTGACACGAATCGCGTCATCTCGCGATTTAGAGGCTGTTAGGGACTTATCTACTCCTCGAGCCCAATATGACTGCTACCTGCTTGTCCACACAAATTAGCCCGATCAAAAAGTACCGAAACACCTGCATGATAAGGATATATTGTGCCAACTAGCCGCGTTTCGACGCGTTATTCGTGCTCAGTCGACCACTTATTAATTCTACTGCTGTCGGCAAGACACGGTCGTCAAGCCCTTCCCACTTTTTGCCTGCATGCGCAACGGTCTTCGCGACAACTGCCGCATTATTTTGCGACGACCTCGCCTAATTCCTGCCTCGCTATTTCCGACAGCAGCTTCGGGTCGGCCCCCGAATCAACGTCCTGCCCGACGACCTATCCTGCCCGTTCAACCTCGAATCCCTTACATTTTATTGTGGGTTATTTGGTGTCGTTCCGACTACCTGTGTCGCGCCCATTCTCGAGCCCTTGAGCCAAGATCAGGTGAAACTCCAACCTACCCCTCCTTATTTAATTACTTTACGAGTGGATAGCTAATTATAACGTGATACATAAGATAGTATGGCCCCTGCCGAATCAAAAACATATGCCGCAGCGAACTTCTTCGCCCCTAGGACCCGGCGTAAATTGCCAATGCAGAATTATGCCAGCATTGAGCGTCCTCAATTCAACCCTCAGAACCCCCCCCGCGCGCGCCCTGATCGTAGCACAACTCCGGCTCCTTCGTCTCCTCTTTCAACTGGCGAAGATACAATTGTCTGCGCGCCCCCGGGCCATCCTGACTGTGAGTCAGATGATGACATGCCCGACACGGATACACCGGAGCCGCCATTGGACAATAGCCATATGACGCTCGCAGAGAAAGCCGGACTTATCAAGAAGTGGGCCGACAACAAACAGAAGCATGTTCGCAAGAAGAGAGACAAGAACAGCCACGTTTATTGGTACATGCAGAGGAAGCTATAGACAGAAGCTTTTACTCGAGTACAGGGATGGACCGAAGATCTTCCAAGAGTTCCGGTGGACTTGTATAGAATGCCTTCAAAATCCCTCTACTCTTCGGAAGGTATTCCAGGTCCTTGAATCGAACCGCCGAGGGGTTACCTCTGGCATGGGAGACCATTTAAAAACGCACAGTATTACGAAGGAGTCTCACCACGCTCGAATCAATGGATACGGCCGCGCCATTGGTGGAGGAGATTATACAGAGGCAGATGCATGGAGCGGTCGACCTAGGCAAAGAGCAAGGCTCACAGCAAAGGAGTCTATCCGCCGGTGGTTTGTAAAACACCGACAACCCTTCTCTGTTGTCGAGACTCCTGCTTTCCAAGAGATGTTCTTGGCTCACAATACAACCTGTGTGTACAGGAGTCGTATAACGTTACGCAATCATCTACACAGACTTTGTCGAACGCAGGGAGAAGCTGAAGATTGAGCTTGAGTACAATTGTGATACCATCTCGTTCACCCTCGATATCTGGACAGCACCGAACCGGGTGCCTATTTTCGCTATTATTGCGCACTGGATTACGCCGGAGTTTGAGGAGAGAGGAGGTTATTGAGTTTATCGAGCTCAAAGGATCTCACACTGGCAAACAACTAGCTGAGATAGTTGAGAAGACACTTGAGGAGCTCAGGCTCAAGCCCAAGCTTCTCGCCATTACGGGAGACAACGCCGCTAATAACGGGACGCTCTGTCAGTCTCTGTACGATTCTCTCAAGACCAAATTCGACGACAAGGTGAGTCCAATAGGGAGGCCCCGCATGCGCTTCCACGGCAAGAAGAGTTGGATCCGCTGTCTAGCTCATATTACCTCACTCATTTGTGATGGCGTCTTGCAAGATCTCAAGGCAGGCACAGCGAAGGAAGCCAAGAAGATGCTTGATAAGTGGGACGAAGAGAATAAAAGCAACAACTACACCATTCCGGGAGACTCTAGTCGGAGTGGGATTGCCAAAATTCGCCTCCTCAATCTGTGGATGTTGAGATCCGGGCCTAGAGAGCAAGACTTCAAATGCATGCCCCGCACGCACTATCGGAAGCCAACCTACGATGTCGACACTCGCTGGAATTCGACCTACGACATGATTGACCAATTCCTTGAGCTTGAGGCAGAGTATACCGAGTTCGTTGATACTCACCCGCAAGTCAAGTGCCTCCTGCCCTTATCGGGAGAGATTGTCGCTCTCTACCAACTACGGAAGGTTCTGAAGCCGTTTAAAGAACACACTCTGAAAGTCTCCGAAGTTATGCCGTCGATCTCACAAAGTCTCGATATCTATTGGGATTTGGAAGCTCTCCTGATGATGTAGTCGAAGGAGTTGGCGAATTTTCAGACCTTGATGTGTCCATTCGAAACGCCTTCTCGAAGGGCAAAACAAAACACGCTACATATATGAAGAAGCTTGACGATCAAATGATGCTATTCGCAGCTCACATCCTGGATCCGCGTTATAAAACTCACCAACTAGAAATGATGATACCGGATCAATACTCTGAGATTATAGCTAAAGTCAAGAAGTATTTCAGAACGGAGTGGCCGGAGCTAGCAACATTGGATGCCACAAACTCATCTATGAGCCAATCCAGACCAGCTGAGCGTCCTCAAGGAGTCTCCATTGCGCAGTGGAGAGCCATCCAAATGAAGAAGGCGAAGGAGGCGGAGGCCGGCGCGGCGATCCCTATTTCGGAGCTTGAACGGTGGTTTGCAACTCCTCGAACAGAGTTCGACGAGTCTATTGCAAAGTCTCCAGACTTCTTACGGAAGTGGTGGAAAGAACACAAGGACGAGTGGCCACTTTTGGCTACGGCGGCGCGTGATATTCTCTCTGTCTCTGGCTCTGAAGTTGACGTGGAACGCCTCTTCAGTGGTTGTAGAGACGAATTCGGGATCCGCCGTCACGCTTTGAAGGCAGATACAGCGCGAGTACTAACGCTTTTACGGAGTTCTTATACTCAGGAAGATAAGATCGATCAGGCGTTGATCAAGGCGGCCATGGAGTATGACATCCTGCCATTTGCCAATAGTATTATTTGGAGACCAGACCACATTCCGGGCAAGCTGGTAGATGGTATGAATATACCCTCATTGTATGTGTATATGCTAATCTGCGTTCAGACGAGAATCTTCCTTCTCAACCCCCTGCTCCTGCGGAAGTTCCCACCGAGGCTGAGGCTCCCAACGAACCTCCTACCCCAAACCTCCTGCCCCCAAGCCGATGAATCTGCGATATCAACCCCCCGCCCAGATACAATGGAGGCTTCGGAGGCTTGAGGCTCTACGAGTGTGTAGCCGTGTACAATGGCGGATTCGAACGCGCTGTACCGACGTATTTTGAGGATTCGGCAAAGCTTTTGAAAAGTGCTTATTTTCGGTCTATTTTCCTAGGACATGCGGATCAGTATTTATGTAAGTTAATTTTTGTAGTATTCTTTTTGTAGTATTCTGGATTATCGAAAGGTTTCTCAGAAGGCTATAAAACTATATACTACTTATTGGCGGTTCTGAGGTATCTTTGCGATCGCTTAGGTACGCACCAAATTCACTTCGTTTAGGGGATCCCTTCAAACCATTCATGAATGGCCTGAATTGGCCCGAACCCAACTTGAATCGCGAAAATTGGAGCTTGAAGATTTTGAATCAAGATCCAAAAAATTCAATTCATTTGATTCATCCTTCATTCAAAATCTTCAAAAAATTCACCTTCATCTATCACCCCTAGCTCGACTTTGGCCCCGTACCGACCCGATTGCCCGAGCTCACACCTACCGAAGAGGCATTGATTGCTCGTGTCCATGTCCACGTGAACATTATGCTTGTGCGGGGGCAGCAGTACAAGTATCGAGGGCACGTCGTTCACTTTCTCCGCGAGGTTGGCTTGGTGTACAACCAGCTCCCTCCTGCCGCGGGAGTTGAACACGGTGTTGCTGCGTCCTGCCAACACGTCGTCACACGCTAATCTCAGCCGGCAATTCACCCGCCAGTTCCGCGTGCGTCGCCAGGCGGTTATGATATGGCTAGACTACCTGCGCCATCATCATCCTGGCTATCGATCCATCGCGATCGACGACGAGCGACTGAGCCAACTGCCCGAGGACGGCAATGTGGTGGACGCCATCCCCCAAAGTCAGGTGGAGGCTGCCGATGTGGGACCGGAGGAAGATCAGGAGGCAGAGCCTGACCTAGAGGATGCGGCTGCGGTGCCTGACCTGTTGGCCAAGGACACGGAGCTGGATGCTCTGCGGTCTATTCTCGCGGGTGAATCCGAAGCGGATGCGGGCAACCCCCTTGCCACAGGCTCTCCAGGGCAGGCGAGGCACGAGCTCCAGCTTCCCAACATACGGCACACGCCGATCAATGAGTTCAATCACTCTCATGCCCTGCTCTCCTTGGCATTCCCTGCCTGTTTCCAGACGGCAGAGCCGACTTTGTGGAGCCTCGCTTGCGGTCCATTGAGTACAAGGATTACATCGAGCACGCGATGCGGTGGCACGACGGCCGTTTTGCGCGCCATCCAACCTTCCGCTTTGTCGCATTCAACACCCTGATGCGGTCCCAAGCACGTGCGAGGTCCAAATTCTTCGTGAAGCAACACGATGGCACCCGTGAGCCGCTCACGCGAGCAGCTTATTCAGGCGCTCGAACACGCTGAGGATCCACGGGCGCAGGCGCTGATCAACTCGATCACAAGGCATGCGGTGTCGATTCGCGGTACGCGACCCTTTGGAATAGAAAGAGGCAGGACCTCGAGGCGTATGCCTACAGCTTGGGTTGTCCTGGCGCATTCATCACATTTAGCCCGGCTGATTTACACTGGCGGAGCCTCTACCAACACATGCCCCGATATGAAGAATGGCTGGGCGCGTCCGAGCCGGAAAGGATGGCATTGTCGCGGTACTTGTTGCGGCAGAACCCTCACATTGCTGCTTTCCACTTTCACCGCCGATACTGTCTCTTTCGGGATATCGTGTTGAGAACGAAGTTTAACGTGACGGATTACTGGGGCCGGTATGAATGGCAAGGGCGTGGGAGTCCACACAACCACGGTCTGTACTGGATGGAGAATGGCCCGGTAGCCGACATGAGGGATGAAACCGCTCGCGACCTTTTGCACGCACGTGGGATTCCACATCACTGCCATTAACCCGGAGCCGAACAGGACAATGCCCCAGGGTGAAGGGAATCCCTGAGTGTGGATCCGCTGGGCGTAGAGATGACATTCCTGCGGCTCTCGCAAATCGTCAACCGCTGCCAGCGCCACAGATGCAATACCGCGTACTGCTTGCGGGTCCGAAAGAGAAGTGGGGACCTGGCGAACGATATGCAAGGGCTGCAGCCGATATCGAGGCGGCCAATGTCGCCGATCCGGAGAGGGAGTGTCGTTTCAACTTCCCCCGTGCCTTGCGGGAGCTAGCCGCAGTCATCAGGAAAGAAGGTAAGTCATATTACATCTTCGAGGCAGCCCGCAACGACAGCCTCATGAACCACTTCAATCCTGCCATCATTCTGGGCTGGCTGGCCAATATCGACATATCGCCCTGCACCAGCTTACAGGCAGTCATTACGTATGCTGCCAAGTATTGCAGCAAATCGGAGAAGAAGACGGAGCCTTACTGCAAGCTCGCAGATCAGGTTTTGCCGCATACAGCACACCACCAGCCCCTGTTGTCCTTCTCCTCTCGCCTTATGAATAAGTTGATTGCCGAGAGAGATTATTCAGCGCAGGAAATTTCCCACTTGCTGCTCAACATCCTCTGCAGGAAGGCACTCGGATGGTTGTGTACGTCGACTGCCGTCCGTTGGAGCAGCATGTGCGGTCGTTCCGCGTCGACGAGGATGTCAGTGAGGCTGTCGGCAGCTACCGGAAATATCTGCAGAGAAATGACCAACATGAGAGTATAACCTATCTCGAGTACCTGCAGTCCTACAATCTCAAGACGTGGAGGAGACTCGGTGCGAACGCGAAGAAGAGGGTCCTGTCCTACTTCCCTCGGCACAGGTCAGCGGAGGCATCACCCCAGTTTCATGACTTCTGCCGTGTCAAGTTGATGATGGCCCATCCGCATCGCTCTCCGGAGGAGCTGCTTGCTGTGGACGGGCAGCCGTTTGAGTCCTTTGCGGCGGCGTACCAGTGCTGCCGGCAGCGACACCATTTCCATGAGGACGACCATTACGGCGAGGTGGGAGCAAATGAGCTGCAGGCAGAGGACGATGAGTTTCAGCGGGAGGAGCACGAAGAGCCTGTCGTGGAGGAAGATTGGCATGAACTCGCCCGTATGCTGCCAGACCATCCGCTGGAGGAGGAGGATATCGACGTGCTGGGCCGGCGAGATGTCGACGTGAATTATGACTGGACTCCCACGTTGGACGGTATACCGATGACGGCATTCTCCAGGGCGACTTCTGGAAGCAACGCAAAGCCGAAAATCCCCTTCACCTTGATGTGGATCATCAGCCGCTGGAGGCTCGCGATTCCCTGAATCCGGAGCAGCGCCTAGTGTACGATACGGTGATGGGCCACTTTCTGACCCAGGCCTGTTCCCAGTTGTTACTCCATGTGGACGGCGGCGGTGGCACGGGCAAATCATACCTCATCAATCTGCTTTCGGCGCACCTCCAAGCCGCCTCGGGCGGAAGAGGACGCCTGTTTGGCGTGCCGCGCCCACGGGCGTTGCGGGAAATCAGATATCGGGCACTACCTTGCACTCCCTGCTGCACCTCCCCATCAACAAGGACTTCAAGCCCCTGTCAGCGATCGACAAAGCTCAGCTCCAGAAGAAGCTAAAGGATGTCAAGTACCTGATCGTCGATGAGAAGAGCATGCTGGGTCTGCGACAGCTGTCATGGATTGATGACCGTCTCCGTGAGGCGTTCCCGAATAGAAATGAGGAGTTCTTTGGTGGTCTTAATATCCTCCTGGTTGGCGACTTCTTTCAGCTTCCCCCTGTACTGCAGAAGCCTCTTTATTACGACAAGGAGGTGCAGGGGGTAGAGATCAAGGGCAGGAACGCATATCGGCGCTTCGACAAGACGGTTTTCTTGAAGGTTGCCCAGCGTCAGCGCGGCGACGATCAGGCAGCGTTTCGCTCAGCTCTTGAGGAATTGCGGCTGCTCCAACTCTCTATGGAGTCCTGGAAGCTCCTCTCCAGCCGTGTTCAGGCGAAGCTGGACGATCAGGAGGTTGCCAAGTTCGTCAATTCCCTACGAGTATACGCCACGAAAGACAGGGTGAACGAATATAACCACTACCACCTCGACCGCCTAGGCCGGCCTGTCATCCAGGTCATGGCTAAGAACGTTGGCCCCGGTGCTGCTGCTGCTCCTGACGACAAGGCAGGCAACCTTGCGAAGCAGATTCCCGTATGCATTGGCGCCCGTCTGATGCTGACGTCCAACCTTTGGCAGCCGGTTGGCCTCTGCAACGGTGCACGTGGTACAGTATACGATATCGCGTGGGCGCCTGGAGCTGACCCCATGCGAGACCCTCCCTGCGTGATCATGATGGAGTTTGACAAGTACCGGTACACGGGGCCGGTATTCCTGACCACCACAGATGGCAGGAAGATTGTCCCGATTCTGCCAGTAGACAGGACTTCCTCGTCGGAGCCACACTCTGCACTCGTACGCAGTTTCCCCTGATCGTGTGCTACGCCATTACAGTTCACAAGTCGCAGAGCATCACCGAAGACATGATCGTGACGGATCTGTCGTGCCGTGACTTTCAGACCGGTTTGAGCTACGTGGCCGTCTCGCGTGTGAAAACGCTGCAGGGTCTGATGCTGGATGCCCCGTTTGACCGCAATCACCTGACTTATGCGTCGCCGCCGGAAGGAATTAAGATGAAAATGAAGGATCAACAACTTCGCAAACGACAGGTTCTTACCCAGAATCCGTATAAGATAGGCGACGGGTCTACGTAACTCCACTTGATGCTACCGGCGACAAGATCGACATTTTCAAGGCACAGATGAATGTATGATTGTAGATACTGTACTGATTGTTCAGTGACTGACTGCTTGACTGGTAGCCAGACTCGCAGCCTTCGGCTGATTGTACGCCTTGCACCACAGCCCTAAAGACTAAAGTGCAAGGCGTGGCGCAGTATTTTACTTAATCCAGATTTTCGTACAAAGTACATCCAAAGCAACTGGAAAGCATCCTGGCAAAAGAAAGCGATTAGCAACGTCAGGGAGCTTTGGCGGAGCTATCGGGATAGCAATCTTGGTGCTATGCCATCGTACGAAGCCGAAGCCAGTCCAGAGACCCGAGAGCCAGTATCCGCATTCAACAGGATCGCGCGAGGCCTAAAGGATTACTGTCGGCCACGAAGCCAGGATGAGTTCGATGATTATTGCAACCAAGAACCGCACGGGCTCGGCAAGATGACTGCTATTGAGTGGTGGCTACAAGACCAACAAAGAACACGCTTTCCACGGCTTTCGATCATGGCAATTGATGTCCTCTCAATTCCAGCAATGAGTGACGAGGCAGAGCGAGTTTTTTCAGGAGCGCGTCGTACAATCTCGTGGGATAGAGCGCAGTTATCGGCAGAAACCATTGAAATGCTAGAATGTATGAAGAGTTGGCATCGAAGTCCTTGTATTAGACTTTGAAGACGACAGTACGGAGTAGTTAATCAAGCATCCTTCTAAATACTGCGCTGTGGCGCTCCTTCACCTAGTTGTCCCGCCAAAATGGATTGTTAAATTGGTGGCGCCTCCATGGCAGTTGTGGCACCACATGGATTGACAAGATTGACAATCTTACTGGTTAATTCAATCAATCCGTCAATATCGATTGATCAGGATTGACTGGATCGAAAACCACACTGTCTGGGCCCATCGGGTGGTTTTCTAGATCCTGGTAGCGTTTAGGGAGTCGTACAAGGTCATCGCGGTGAAATCGATGATCTCGTGCCGTCTTAGAGACTGCGGCAAGAAAGACACTATGAAATGTTTCGAGGTTTCCTCTGGATGTTGATCCGCTGGAAGCAGGGCCGTGAAAACGCTGTTGACGTAATCATCGTGCTTCCTCTTTGGCTTTGGTGTCCGGTCACTCTTGCGAGTTGGCTGGTCACCGTAAATCTCCTGTTGACTGCGGCGGGTGCGCGTTTTGCCGCGTGGTTCTTCAGGAATTGGTTGGTCACCTGACGGCTGCTTGTCCGGTTGCATGCTATTGCCTTCTGAGGAAGGTCGCCGGCGTGGTGGCAGCGGTTGAACTACGATCGTGTCCCGGGTGACTCCTTCAGGACTTGGATCGCTTGAATCAGTCGACCTTTGGCTATCATAGTGTCACGGGCTGTGCCCGGCTTGGTGGACCCGGTTGTACCGGGTCCGGTGGGTCGTGCTCGGGTGGCAGTACCGGCCCCGCTCCGCGGACCCAGAAGCTGCGAGAACATTCTGTGAAGGGCAATATAAGCTCGCACTCGAGGCGTAGCCTCGAGTTCGGCTTCCTTTCCTCCTTAGCTCTAGATAGACAACACATAGGCACCTGCTAGTTGAACAAACTCCGGGCCAGCCTCTTACACTGAGGTCAAGAAGACTTACTTGAAGGCCGTCGAGAGAGCACGGAAGTCTTTTGAAGCGCAGAGTGTTGAGGAAGTGAATGACTTCTTCTCTAACCTCGACGAGATTATCAAAGAAGTTTCGCATTGGGGCATCGGAGATTTGGAATGAAGATGAAGTCGGCATTCGGATCGGCTGCTTGCGAGAACGCGTACCCGTTCTCGTGACCCGCACCACACGCGTGAAGAGTCGGGTGGAAGTTCTCGATCCGGCGAATCGAGAATCCTGCACAGTTATTGGCACGATCAATGCTGCAGGGACTCTCTTCCTCCTGGATCATCTTCGCGCATTTCCTACCACGAATTGGGCCGGTATCGCTATTGATAGTGGCGTCCGCTTTGCTCAATCACCAACCGGCTTCAGCAACGCTCAGATACATCTCGAATGGGCGAGGCACTTCAATCGCTGGTCCTGGGCATCCTCAGCGCAAGCACAACGCTCTGGGAAGTCACTAGAACAATGGTTTGGCTGTGATGAGCATCTTCGTGTTCCAAACCTTGGGATGACGACGGTTGAGGCACCTCCGACCCAACGGGACGAGAAAGATAGGATTTTCCGGTTGCTCGTTGTAGATGGCTTCACAGGGCACACGACTCTCGAATTCGCTGAATACTGCATCAAATTTGATATCATCATCGCCATTCTCCCCCCTCATTCCACACACATCATGCAGCCGCTAGATGTTGGTGTTTTCCAACCACTGAAAGCGGCACACCAGAAAGCTCTACGAAAAACACTCGCAGAGGGCCACCTTGCTTTCTCGCGGGTTGACTTCCTCAACGCTTTTCAAAAAGTCTACGAGGCTGGGTTAACTCATTCCAGTTGTCATCACGGGATAGGCACTTAGACGCTTGAGGGCCAACGCACTCCCTAAAACCGTTTTTGACACTTCCATCGGAATCTACACCCTCGATTCGCCCTCGACGCAATGGCGCGCCGCGCTCAGAGCGTCGGAGGGGTGGACGAGGTGCCGATGGTGATCGACGGCGGCAAGAAAGGGTTGGCGCAGAGCATGCACCACCCCAATGCCGGCCAAGGAGCGTTCACAACGGCATCGCGCACTAATCCTGACCCTCCTGCGGACCGAGACCAGCTCGAGGAACACGTACGAGAAGCCTACCGACATATCGCCAGCCTGGTGCACGGGGAGACCTTCCAAGGCGTCTGGGAGGCCATCCAAAAGCTTTTACGCGCCGACCGCGAGGCGCACGCGCCACGCGGCCAAACCTCGGATAAACTCACCACAACGAAAACAGAACTCTCGGCGACAGTCAGGGAAGCAGTCGAAGCAGCTATGGGAGGCAAGACCATGAAGAAGACTTGGGCGGAGATCGCAGCCGGCGCGCAGACTGCCCGCCTACACCCGGCCCCCGCGGAGAAACCGGTCCCTGCTCGCTTCGACAGGGAATTAGTAGTCCGCGGCAGCGGCATCACCCAAGATCTCAGACAACGTCGCCCACCGGAGATAGTTCAGGCTGTCAATCGCGCTTTCGGCGCTACCGTTGCGATCGCGGCCCGAGTGCTTCGAAGCGGAGACACAGTCATTACCTTTGAGAAAGACGCTAAACAGTATCGCATGAGGACGGACTGGCTACGTGACGCCTTCGGACCGCAAGCGACGCTCTCTCAGGGCGGCTACACGCTGATTGTTAAAGGAGTTCCTATCAAGGCACTACAAGACCGAGACAACGAGACCGCGACGAAGGCGATTGCAGCGGAAAATAAGGTCGAAGTCATCCGCCTTAGAGCGCGTAGAGCAAAGGGCGCCGGAGCGACGAAGACGACCCTCATACTCACAGTAGACGGGGTAAATGCGGCGAACAAGATTTGCGATCAGGGACTGCTTCTTCAGTCCGAACTTTTCAACTCAGAACCCTACGACGACTCGCTCGACCCAAAACAGTGCTTCCGCTGCTACCAGATGGGTCACCTCGCCCGCTACTGCGAAGCGAAGCCGACGTGTGGACGGTGCGGCACTGACCCGCACCCAGACAACGAGTGCCCGGCCGCCCTAGGCCAATCTCCCCATAAGTGTCCCCTTTGCGGCGGCGCACACCCAGCGTGGGACCGCCGCTGCAATAAGACTAAAGAGCACTGGGACAGAGCGCGTAAGGCCTACGCCTTTAGAGCGAGGCGGTTCGAAAGCCGCGGCCGCGACCCGACGCCGCGCCCTCGGCCACCCGAGCTCGACAAACCAGCTGACGACTCGCTACTGCCGCCACACCCCAAACGACCTCGACCAGCCTCAGCCGGGCCGGGCCGCCCCTCGACCAAGACCGCACGCGTGCGGGGCCAATCGGCACTCTCGGCGTCTACGGTTAGCCAGCGGGCCGCTGACACGATAAGAGTGTCTCAAGAGAGAGTCGCCGACGTCCTTATGGATAATGCTGAATGTTAATTACAGTGATGTATTGGAATACGAACCGACAACCCACTCTCACGAAGCTTGCGCTCCGAGCCCCGCACGCCGCCGACGTCATTGCAATCCAAGAGCCGGCTAAGAACGCTAAGACTGGCCATCCAATATGCCCGAGCAGGAGCAGCTACCGTCTTGTCTTTACTGCCGGCCGCGCGGCGCTCTACGTCCACAAACGGCACGACACCGGGTCGTGGACCAGCGATGGAGGCGTCGATTGGTGCAGCGTCACCTTCACTAAGCCCAACATCACAATCTTCTCCATCTACTCCCCGATCTATGCTAGGGAGCCTAATAAGAGCCCGCTACCCGCTCTCGCATCGTGCACGCCGTGCTGCAGAGCCGCCTTCGTCGGAGACTTCAACATCCATCACCCGCTCTGGGATATCCATAACCGAACGTCGGACAACTGCGACGACATACTAGGGCTGGCGAGCCGATGGAACCTTGCGCTCGCCACGCCCGAGGGCGAAATCACTCGTCTTGGTGGACCGGGTAAGCGTGACAGCACGATAGACCTCGCCTGGGTCTCGCGGGACCTCTCAGCGACGTACCTCGGCAGAGCAGATATCACAGGCTCAGACCACATCCCGCAACTCCTACAACTCGACGTTGGACCGCCTCCGCCCCGCTTACGGCTCCGGGGACTTCCAATAAACTGGCGCCTACTTGAACCCAAACGCGCCCGCGCGGAGGCGACGGCGCGTTTCAGGCCCTCGATTGCCCCTTCGACACCGCAATCCCCTAAAGAAATTGACGATTATGCCGACTGGCTGGTCAACCAACTGACAGAAATCGCCTATCGCGCTGCGCCCAAGGTCTGCGGTCGAGCTGATGGAGGCAGGGAAGAGTGGTGGACCCGCGATGTTGAAAACGCCACCCGGGCGGCTAAGCAGGCCGAGAGGCTCTACTTAAGAACCAGGAACCCGGCCCACTGGGAAGCGCGACGCGACGCCGTAGCGGCGCAGAATCGAGCCGTACACGAGGCGTGCAGGAGCGCATGGAGGAGACATCTCCACGACGCCTCAAAGACGAAAGGCATCTGGGCCTTGGAGCGATGGGCCAGACTTAGAAGCACCCAACCGCCTGCACCATTACGCCTCCCCGACCTCTCACGAGTAGAAGGCGACCCGACCCCAGCTCGCACGCGCGCCGACAAAACCAGAGTGTTGGCCGAAAGATTCTTCCCGACACCCTCGGCCGCCCATCCCGACGCTACCGGGGGCCCCGCCCGCGAGCCGGTTACGATCAGCAACCACTTCTCCCTCGTGGAGGTCGAGCAGGTCATCAAACGGACGGCACCATGGAAGGCGGCGGGGGAAGATGGTCTGCCCCTGGGGTTAATAAAAGCCTGCGGTAAACCAGTCGCTATCTCTATCCTTACATTGCTAAACTCTAGCTGCGCTCTCGGGTATTTCCCAGAGCGCTTTCGCCGCGCAGACGTGGTGGTTATCCCCAAACCCAACAAGACCCAGGCTCAACTTAACCTAGCAGGCAGCTGGCGCCCAATCTCCCTCCTCAGCACGGTGGGCAAGATAATAGAGGCGACGATCGCACGGCGGCTCGCCGATACTGCGGAGACGCATCTACTGCTCCCCGAGGGACAGATGGGCAATCGGCCTAGACGCTCTACGGAAGTAGCAGTCCATATTGTCGCAGAACTGGCGCGCACGGCGTGGGATCGAGGCGGTGTCGCGTCCCTTCTTCAACTCGATCTCAAGGGTGCTTTTGACAGTGTAGACCACACCTGCCTCCTCCAGGCTTTAAAGGGAGGAATCCCGGAATGGCTCCTAGCTTGGATCCGGAGTTTCGTAAGCAACAGAACAGCTCGCCTACTCTTCGACGGCGACGCGTCGGACCCTCAGCATACACGCAGGCGTCCCCCAAGGATCCCCGCTTTCCCCGATCCTCTTCCTCTTCTATATCGCCCCCCTTTACGACGCTCTCGAAGCAACGGCGGGAACAATACTAGTCGGCTTCGCGGACGACTCGAACATTCTCGCCTTCGGCAGAACCACAGACGAAACCGCCGAAAGGCTCGAAGGAGCATGGTCTGCATGCGAAGGCTGGGCGCGCGCTGTAGGGGCAGCGTTCGAACCGGCGAAAAGCGAATTACTGCACTTCACACGCGCCCACGCCCCGCCCGAGACGTGCGTTCGCCTCGGCAACACCACGATAGCGCCGTCAGAGTCCTCCCGCTTCCTCGGAGTTTGGCTTCACCGCAAGCTCCAATGGGGCCCTCACCTTAAGCAAATCCAGACCAAGTTTCAGCGCCAACGGGTGGCACTTACCGCGCTCGCTGCGTCTGCGTGGGGATGTCGACTCTCGCGCGCACGGGAGATCTACACCAAGGTTATCCGCAGCGCCATCGTCTATGGAGGCCCAGCCTTCCATACGCCTACGCCATCGAACGGACGCCCAAGGGGAGTGGCTCGTGCGCTCTGCAGCTTACAAACGACGTGCCTTCGCACCGTCGCCGGCGCGTATAAAGCCACACCAACCCGCAGCCTAGAAACAGAGACCGAAGTCCCGCCGCTTGACCTCTACCTCAACGAACGGCTAGCGAGATTTCAGAGTCGACTCGAGACCTCGGGGATGGCGGCGCGCCTGCGTCTGGCCTGCGCAAAAGTCAGCAGCGTGCTTCGAAAACGCAAGGGTCCATGGCGCAAACCCGGAAATGACGGCGAGGAGTGGCAACAGCGCTGGTGCATAGGCTCGACGGAGCCTCGTGAAGCTCTATGGCGTGAATGGACGAGAAGGTGGGAAAGAGAGCTGCGAGACGCGAAGGCACGCCATCCTCGTCGCGCCCTCCAACCATCAGACACGGAAACGCCCCCTCCGAAGCCCGGGAGAAGGCTGAAGGCCCACGCCGACCTCTACAAGCACGAGAGTTCCACGCTTATCCAGCTCCGCACGGGGAAGATAGGTCTTAACAGCTTTCTCTATCACAAGAACGTTCCCAGCGCGACGACCCCCCTCTGCCGGTGCGGTGGCGGGGAGGAAACAGTGTTTCACGTCTTCCTCCGCTGCCCCCTACAAGCTGACAACCGCAGGCTCCTCCCAGGCGCCCTCCGCACTGACGCCGACCTCCGCGCGCTTCTTATGCGACCCGACACAGCCCCATACCTCGTCCGATGGTTTCTCAACTTTCGGCCGATACCCCACTACAAGGTAGCAGCAGATCTCGCAAGAAGCTGGACCGCCAGCGCCGCGACAACGACGAGCGGACCGAGAGTAGAAATAGAGAACAAGGTAGCAGCGAAGGTCTTTACTCTTGTCGGCTCCCAATCCCAAACAGCCGCGAAGGGCCTGCACGCACTGCCGGGCCTCGACGACCCCACGGCTCACACTCGGGAGCTTGGCGGGCCGTGGACGACCGACTGAACACCAGCAAGAAATTCCTGAGAAAGGAGGTATAAGCGGGATAGAGTTCTCCGTCGCGCTGCGCGCGCGTTGACGGCTATTCGGGTACAACGCGCCTACGGGACCTGACGCCCCGGCCCAGTTTGGGACGGAGGTCCCCCACCTGCACCAGGCTGGCGGCTGCGACCCAACATGCTCAACATCGCGACGACGGCGGCCCGCGGGCCGAGGCAGATGAGAAGGTTGTATATAGGTTTTCCTCCTGGGCCACCGGGTTTTTCCTATATAGGTAACGCGTAGAGGCTCTAGAGCCTGCAGGCTAGCTAGTGTAATAAACTACAACTACTACTACTACCCACGCTTTTCGGAGCTAGACCTCTTGATAAGAGCAGCGCCGTTATCACGATGAAATCCTTGTATAAAGTCATATAGTTCATCGTATGAGTCATACGCCTGCGAGGGCGGCAGAGGACGAATTTGCCACGATGGGAGGGCCTCTTGGGCCTCATTGTGATCGAGGGCCTCGGCCTCGTTGGCCTTATGGGCCTCGTTGGCTTCGTGGGCCTCGTGGGCTGCGTTGGCCTCGTTGGCCTGGTTGAGGAAGATATTGGTGTAGTCCATTGTAGCAATTGGCAATCGATTGACGATAGCTTCAATTGGGGGTGTGCGTGTATGCGTAAGGCGATGGAAGAATTTTACTACACTATAGAGAGAGGCAGGGCCAGCGATTTAGGCGGTACCGGTACGAGCCATGTGGGCGCACGCGATTTGGGTGACAAGGTGTGGCAGTGTCGGGGGCAGAAAAGTCGGATCCCGGGTACAAATAGGGAAATGTCCGAGTATAAATAGGACTACTCTTAATTTTCGCTCTGGCTTGCCGGTCGGGCAATTTGTTGCATGACGTGGTGCGTTGCATGACTCAGTGAGGTACGTTAATGTGTGGACGCGCCCCGAACCCGTGTACACCCCACCACTCGCGCTTGACGAGTAGTGAATCATGCACGGACGATTTCAAATCATGCACGGAGACTTAAACCCCATTTGGAAATTAGCCGCGCACCCAATTTTTAGTGCGCGTACGGTCGCACATTAAGCAACAAAGGCACGCACCGCAAAAAAGAAATCGCGCTAAACAGCCGCACTGGCACATTTGCACATTTGCGCATTTTTGGCGTCATTGAAGATCAAAGCGAATAAGCGATTCATCCCGCCGATGCAGAGGATTGCCAAGATGATGGCGCTGTCTGACACGGATCGAACGGAGATCATTCGCGAGTACGCTCTGGCACCGTGGAACGACCGTGTCCAGGAAGTGGGCGAGCCGGTACAGGTGGTCCAACCCACTTGATGTGGATTGTGGAAGGCATCATCATTGCCACCTCCAGCTCGCAGAGAAAGGGCGTGGTTGGTATGGGAGGTGTTGTTCACGACACCACCCTCAACAGCGCAGGCGAGGTGCTGGCCAGCTACTCGGTCACACTCGGGTCCAGGGATGAACAGAACCCGTACACAGCAGAACTCGCTGCAGTGGCGATGGCGCTGGAGTTCATACCGGCTGGACTGCGTCGCCGAGATTTCACGAGCATGACGAGCAACCACTCGGCATTGGAAGTTATCAGGTGACCACGCCAACAGTCTGGCCAGTGTACAATCCTACAGATATACTAATACGACCACGTCGAGTATCTCCGGCGAAGAGGGTGCGGCGTTACGCTCTTGTGGGTACCAGCAAAGGATGAAGGCTTTTATTGGGTCCGTTGGCCAATGCCGCAGCACAGGGAGCCACAAGTCATGGACGCACTGCGGAGACAGCGATATATCGAGCAGGTCTACCACACTACGTTTGGCCCTCGCCTCACAGCGACAACGTGGACGACTCCCAGAGGGATCGGTAAATACTCGAAACGTACCGGTATCGACAAGGCGCCGCAGTGGACTCGGATATGTGCAGTTGTGGACAAGCAGTAGAGACGGTGGATCATTTTCTTTTCCGATGTAAGAAGTGGACGACGCGGCGCGAAATTATGGCCGACTGCGCCCGACCGAAGATGGGCAATTTGTCCTTCTTCCTAAGAGGCAAAGCGGCATCGAACGACGACAAGTGGAAACCGAACATGAAGGCAGTGCACGCCACAGTTCAATTCGCGTTGGCAACAAAACGAACGGTTCGACATGGATCAACGGGCAGATACACATTAAGCAGACGAGACGAAACTAACATTCAAGAGCCTCAAATGTGGCAGACCGTGCTCCAGCTGCTGAGGATAGGACGCTGAACACTTGGAGAAATTGGCCTTCAAGCGGGCCTGTCATGGAAGCATCGACCGAGGTTGGATATCGAGCGAAAAGAATCGTGGTGCTCCGGGTAGCATGAAGCAATGTACTGTAACCGTAGATCGCTTAGCGCAGTAGCCCTATAGGGGATTCCTCCGGGCGTAATACAAATAATAATAACATTTGCACGTTCGGATCAATGGCACCTTCATCGCCTTTTGCATTAATTGCACACCTATCGTAGCTCTATCCGACGACCTATAGTGGTGCGAACTGCTTACCACTGTATCCGTAGCTTAGTCTCGTTTTATGAATATTGCGTAGATAACTTAAGTCGGAGTTTTCCGAATCTCTCTCCTTATGAACAATCATTTTGCCCAAGTCACATTCGACCTCGCTTATGCTCCTGTACCGTCGAGGGATGTAGTGCTTAAAGCGACTTAGAGGAAGCTTGTAAGTGTAAGTCACATGATAGAATCCAGGATAAATAGATAATCCGGCAAATTACAAGACAAACAAAGGCCCAAAGCCCCCCCTTTCCACTAAGTTACTGTCGATGGACTGTCATTCTGGTACTCATGAGGTAGGGGCAACACAAGAAGGGATAAAGATGCATGATCTAGCTAGAAAGAAGCGGCCACAGGGCCCTATTTATGCCGTAGTCAGAGGGACCCTCAGGTGACTTACATAGGCACCAAACTGGCCCCATACGTGAGGTCTTTATGGGTCCCCGATACATGGCCTCATAATGATCCTTCAGGTGGCCCTCCCTTGATCCTTCAGGTGACCTACTAACAGCGGTGCCTATACTAGCCGACAGTTACCTACACTATTGCATCGCTCTTTTTTCTCTTCCTTTGCATTGCTTTACCATGTTCTTTTCCCTTCCCTTTGTATAGCTATATTGCGCTCCTTATCGTCTAATACATGCTCCCATGGCGCCTTACTGGGGTGCTGTAAACTGCCCTAAGGCTAAAGTTCTAAACGTCTCCATGGGCAAGTTCGAGAGGAGAACCCAGAGTCTTGCTTCTGCCCCTTCTGCGGGAAACCATGGCCCCAGTCAATCGTTGTATCAGACGCCGACGAACCTCCTGCGGGACCAAATACTCTATCGAGTCAACGTTCCGCCCAGGTTATCGGCCCGGCTCGACCAGCGGCTCGAAAGAGGGATCGAACGCTCAACTTTCGACAACATTGGAAGTCGGCTGCTGAAGAAGCCACTGCGTCCTGTAGGACGAGAGAGAGAGAAGACCCTTACGAACATCCACTCGGGCTGCCAATCCGTATTAACGGTATCCTCTGCCGTGGGGAGCAGTACGCTAGCTTCTTTATTCCGCGGAAGCAGGATGAGATTGGTAAAATACAAGAAAACGCGCCTCCTTCGCTTGGTAACTAACGAGCCAGTATAGGTAGCGTCGATCTCGATCCCCTCCCACACAACGAGTATTCCGATTGTCTCTCAATGACTGTGGATGAATGGGTTAGAAAATACGTCCGACCACAGTTCGAGAGCAACTTCCAGGATAATGTGCGTTGGGAGATTGGGAATAGTTGGCAAAAGCAGAGAGGATTAAGGAGGATCCCACTGGATAATCCTGAAGTTACTATTTACGACCTCTTTTTCCAGCACGCTATAGACTCTCCCAAGGCTCGTAAGAGTTGGTCAGTCGACGAGGGTCATATCGTCGTCTGGATCAGCTTTCAGGTTGAAGACCCTAACCTTCGTGCGGCCTCGAAGTCTATTAGTGATTCGAAACGGAAAACGAAGAACGATACATCTCATAGGGAACAAGATCGCAATGTCCATGCGAGCTCGAAGTCCCGCGGGAAAAGGAAGAGAAATGCGTCTCCTGATGCGATAGACACGCCTCATCGTGTCAAAAAGGAGCGTATCGAGGTTGATCAATTCGAAAGTTCGCCACTGCCGGACCTAAGGGATCTTGCTAGTGACTATCCACTGCCAATCCTCACGCCGCAGCTCGTTCTCCTCTCGCGAGGGCCAAGACGAGGAGCAAGATAGGGAGCAAGACGAGGGGCAGGACGAGGGAGAAGGCGAGGCCTCTACAGATACAGAGGCGGCGAGAGGGCCAGCTTATAACACCAGGCACCTCCAGAAGAGACGACTCTAACTGGTGCCCGGCTCAGGCACATTATCAATGCCTTCCTCTCCAAATAGTTGGAATCGGTGTTGAGCGCTTAGTGGAATAGCATCGCCCTGAAGCTGGGCTTGAGCTCGTCGGAGAGAATGGTTTTGTTCGAGGATTTGGTCTAGTTGTACCTATATTATTTTAATACGCACATGTATTTACACCAAGAGTGAAGTTGCTCACATATCTTGCCAGCCCGCCTCGTGGCGGCTCCATTACTGCAAGAATTGGCTGGTGACCACTTTCATGATGCTGCCGTATTCGACGGCGAAGTTCCATATATTCCTCAAAGAAGGGGTGCTTGTGATCTTGCCTTGAATCAAGCAACCCGTCAAACCCCATCGCTGTCAGCTCTTGCATACACCAGTCTGCTGTCTCTTGTGGCAAGAAGGAATCGATGTCGATATCTTGTATCGGCTCGAGTAAATCCTGCAGAACCTCGCTGGCCATACCCTCATCACCCTCGCTAAGATGCACACCCCAGTTCGGTGCCTGATCCGTATTATAGAGATCTATAGGTCGGCCGCTTATTACATGTTGACGATTTCGTTGTGTGCGGATCTTGTGAGAGTTCCAAAGGTCCACGAAGGTTGCAAATTCGTCCCTGATCATCGGTGTATAGATTGCGTATAGCGCAATCTGGTCACTTAGCATCGACTCAATGAATAAAGCCGAGTGTGCAAGCTCATTGAAGAAAGACTACTCTATAATTAGCGTATATATGTAGTCTAATAGTTCGATTGTGTGAAAGGCTGGCCCGGAGTTTATTCAACAAGCAGGTGCCTAGATGTTGTCTATCTAGAGCTAAGGAGGAAAAGAAGCTGAACTCGAGGCGTAGCCTCGAGTGCGAGCTTATATTGCCCTTCTCGGAATGTTCTCGCAGCTTCTGGGTCCGCGGGCGGCCGGTGTTGCCACCGGGCACGACCCACCGGACCCGGTACAACCGGGTCCACCAGCCGGGCACAGCCCGTGACATTACCCCTTGTCCCCTCCGACCAGGTCGGCGTCTGCGGGGTTCTTGCGTTCCTGCCAGCGTCTCGTACCTCTCCCTAGGGCCATCATTGGTCTTGATTGGCCCGTACTTGTCCTCGAATGCCTTCATCGCAATTGTTCCTTGCAACCACTCAACTGGCTCCCAAGTCGGCTCTGCGTAGCCCGTCCATCGCACTAGTGCTTGCCTGAATTCCCCTCGTCCCCGCTTCTTCCATCTCGCGCAGAGAATCTCGTCGACATCCCACAGATTCGTGCCGGACTCATCTTGTACCGGTGGTGGCTGTGCGTCATCTACCTTTTGGCCAGGAGCCGGATCTTCGTGACTGTGTACTTGTGATGCAGCCAGTCGAGCTTCTTGCACGGTCGTGGCGATCTGTAGTTTGCCATCGAGAGCCACACCTTGTCACCAACTTCAAATCGCTCCGCAGGCTGTCGCTTTGCGTTGGCAGCCTCTTCTTGTTGTTGCTGTGAGGAGGCCATCACTGCTTGCATGTACTCATTGACCTCCTGCAGGCGACTGAGTAGGCTATCAGCTCTGCTTTCCTCTCTATGCCTCGGTGGCTCTTCCGATTCCTCGACGCTGATGGGATCGACGTGGTAACCATGCTCAGCGAAAAGGGGCTGATCTTGGTCGCTGCGGATTCACGATTGTTGAGTGCCAGCTGCGCGGCAGGGAGCAGTTCTCCCAGTCGTCCTGCACGTACGACACGTAGGCTCTCAGGTAGGCCTCGATCTCCTGGTTCATTCTCTCTGGCCCTCCGTCCGTCTGAGGATGATAGGCCGTGCTCAATTTCTGCGTGACACCTGCAAGACGGCAGAACCTCTTCCAGAACCTACTTAGCCAGTTGCTCCGCGGTCGCTGACGATGGACCGTGGCATTCCGTGAAATCGGTAATGACACTGGAGAAAACGGTTTGCACACGGCTCAGCTTCCATGTTGTCCATCACCTCGAGGTCACAGCCTTTGTCAGTCTGTCCACAATCACCCACAGGTACCTTGCCTTGCTCGGTCCAGTAGGCGGCAGATCTGTGATGAAGTCCATGGACAAATGGCTTCGGGGTCGATCTGGAATCGGCAGAGGCTTGAGAAATCCCCTTTTCGACTGGCGCCAGATGTGTGCTCTGCCGCAGGTGTCGCAATTGGCTACGTACCGGCGAACCAGCTGGGACTGCCCAGGCCAGTAGAATCGCCGAGCCACAATAGCCAGCGTACCTTCCCTGCCGGGATGACCGGTCGCAACAGAGTCATGCGACTGCTGCACAATGCGGGTTCTCAACTGGTCTTTCTCAGCTTCCTCCTGGTTACCCTCCTCTCCGGATCCACCCGGCACCCAAATACGGTCTCTGAATGTCAGCCTTTTGCCTGCGTCGATCGCACATTCTGAAATCTGGATCTTCAGGCCCAGCGAGGGCGGGAAGGCACGCTCGCGATCGCGGACTGCCTTATAGGCTGCCCGGAATATCGAGTCCTTCGCCACCGTTTCGTCCCAGAGTTGCTGCAGGTCCGCTACCTCGAAGACCTTCATCTTCGGCAGGGTGGATGCCTCTGAACAGTCAGAACTCATCGCGTTGATACATGCTCTTGTCGATGATGGAATGGCACTATCCGGTATCAACTGTATCATTCTTCCTTGTTCCCGCTCGTCGTCAATGCCCTGTGGCTTGTCTTGTTCACGGCGGGACAACGCATCAGGCACGACAGCCTCGCTTCCCGGTCGATACTCGAGCTTGAAGTCGAACTGGGACAATTCGGCTGCCCAACGGCTCTGCCGTTCCGTGAGCTTCTGGCGTGTCATGAAATACTCCAGGTTGCGGTGATCGGTAAGGATTGTAAATGGGCCGCAGCTCCTAAGTTCGGCGTTCCAGTTGTCGAGACATCTCATGATGGCAAGCATCTCCTTGTCGTGAATGGGATAGTTGTACTCCGCTGGCGAAAGTCGCTTCGAGAAGAAGGCGCATGCGTGTCGACGTCCATCTGGGCCTTCCTGCGACAGGACGCCTCCCAATGCGTAGCCTGAGCAATCCGTCTCCAAAAAGGTCGGGAGGCTCGGGTCCCACTGCTTGAGCACCGGTGACTCGCAAAATCGTCGCTTCAGCTCCTGAAACGCCTCGTTCTCCGCTCGTCCCCAATGAAAGGCAGTTCCTTTCTTAAGCAGGGCATCCAGAGACTGCGTGATCTTGGCATAGTCGGGGATGAAGATCCGGTAATAGTTGGCGAAGCCCAGAAAGCTTCTGACACCCTTCACCGTGGTCAGGGCCTCCCATTCGCGGATGGCGCGCTGCTTTTCGGGGTCGCAGGCGATTCCTTTCCTGCGTTGACGATGAACCCAAGGTATTTGACCTCTTGTACCGAAAACTCGCACTTCGCTGGGTCTAGGTGCAGCCCAGCGTCGGCGAGTGCTTGGAACTCGTCGCACCTTAGCCTCATGATCCGCCTTCGAACCGCTCGAGTAGATCAGTACATCATCCAGGTACGCTGTGACAAAGTCGTCCAGCCATTCGCGCAATACACTGTTCATGTATCGTTGGAATGATGCCGGGGCGCCGCTCAGGCCGAAAGGGCACACGAGCCACTCGTAGAGCCCAAACCTCGTGCGAAATGCAGTCTTTCCCTCATGTCCCGGAGCCATGCGGATCTTATGGAAAGCGGCCACCACGTCCAACTTGGTGAACCACTTAGCCTTGGCCAGATTCTGCAGGGTCTCCGCGATGAGGGCAGTGGGTATCGGTCGCGCTTGGTGATTGCATTCAGCGCTCGGTAGTCGCAACAAAATCGCAGCCCTCCATTCGGCTTCCGCACGAACAGCACCGGCGCGGCAGCCGCTGAGCTACTCGCTCGGATGAATCCTCTGTCCAGCAGGTCTTTCAGGGTCTTTCGCAAGACCAACAGCTCTTCTCGTGACATGTTGTAGAGTGGGCCCCACGGAAGGGGTGGCTCGTTGCCGTTCTTGTCAGGCTGCAGGTTGACTTCATGATCCACACCCGGTCGATGTGGCGGCAGCTTCATTGCCTCTCCTGGTGAGAATAGGTCGCGGAATTCTTTCAGCACTTCTGCCGGGACCTTCTCGCTCGGATCGACTGGCGGCTTCGGCTGAAGCGCCCTCTCTATATCCGACAAACTGATTGCATGAATCGAGATCGCGTTGCACTTCTTGCGTCTCTTTGCGCGTCGACACTCCGCCGTGAATACGGCTGCCGACACGAGTCTTGCGCTTCGAATCGCGCGTATCTTGGCGGGCTCTTCCTGCCCAATGAGGCGTATCGTCACACCTGCCCTCCCATGGTACATTCGCTGCTTGGCAGCATCGTACACGACGTGATTTCTCTCCATCCAAGGCCGGCCGAGGAACATGTCCTGGCCCAGGCTTGGGATCACGTATGCAAAGACACGTTCGTCAAATCCAGCTGTCTCGACCACAACAGCCACGACCCTGGGGATATGACACTCTTCGCTGACTCTGAGAATCCCCAATTTCTCGTGGTTTCGAGTCGACGAAGGGTATCCGCAGCTTCCGAACAAGGGCTTCGTCGATCACGGCATAGCAGTCACATCCACAGTCGACAAGGGCGCGTATTCGATAGCCTCGGTTTACCCGCGCGTTGACTAATACAGTCCGACTATTCATTCGTGGCTTGAACGCTTCCCAGTCCCGGATGTCTGCCTTTGCAGGCCCCGGCGCCCGCTTTCGCCCGGGGCTAGTCTTTCCCGCCGACTCGTCCTCACTGGATGCTGCGGTTGATTCCGAATCATCTGCGGCATCGGGCTTCTTCATGCGCGCAGCTTTAGGTCGCTGTTGCTTCCCTTCGCCAGGAAAGACCACCTGGGCTGGGCAGTCCACGATAAGATGATCCGTCCGACCACAGCGATAGCAGCGGCGCTCATCCTTCGGCTTCTTATCGACATGTCGACGACCCTTCGACTCGTGGCCAATACGGTTGATGTCCGTCATCTTAACATCTCCGTCGGGGTCCTCCGGTTCCTCCTTGGGTCGTTGCCTTGGTAGCTGTTGAGGCGTCCGCTCAGTCGACGTCGGCTGCCTACCGGGTTTCAGTCTCTCCAATCTGCCCGCAATTTCCTGAACTCTCGCAAGCCATCCCTGGTAGTCGTCGGGTAGGACGGCTGTGACCAAACTCTCTTGGAGGCGTGCATTTATTGCGTTCTCTAGAAATACGATCTTTGCACTGTCCGGCCAGTCTGCTCCCCCGGCTTCAGCTAATGCCTGTTCGAATCGGGAAGGAAGGACGCGAGAGGTTGGTCTTCGCGCTGCCGCATAGTTCTCAGCGTGGCAGCAGCGCGGGATTGGATGTTGCTGTCCTGGTAGGTTCGGTCGAGGTATCGCATGAACTCTTGGGGTCGTAGCTACCCCAGGGCCTCCGCGGCGTAAAGGTAGCGACCACTTGCTGTGGTCGCTCGTCCAAACATGAGTTGATGAGGTACCAAAGTTCGCGATTTCCACTGTAGTAGTGTGCATCAAGGTCCAGCTTGTCTCGCATCTGCCTGGCCCAGGAGGAGTAGCTCTTCCGTGAGCCGTCATACTTGGGTGGGTTGGGCAACGGTTTCCGCATTCCAGTACCGCAGGTTTTGGGAGGGCGTGCCCAAGCCAGGCGTGCTCTCGCCCAATCCTCGTGCCACTGGCGGCGATTGCAAGTCGGCGCTCTGCGGCTGCGCTCGCCCGAGTTGCTCCATCAGCAAGGAAAGTTGGTCCTGTAGAGGGCTGAGAGTCGCATTGACCGCTTCTTGAATGCGTTGGTCAATCCATTGCTGCTGGAGACTTGGGCTCTCACTCTGCTGGTCCATCCTGACGAGCAGTCTGCAGCTTGCGGTATTTAGAAGGAGCTCTAGATATGTGAAAGGCTGGCCCGGAGTTTATTCAACAAGCAGGTGCCTAGATGTTGTCTATCTAGAGCTAAGGAGGAAAAGAAGCTGAACTCGAGGCGTAGCCTCGAGTGCGAGCTTATATTGCCCTTCTCGGAATGTTCTCGCAGCTTCTGGGTCCGCGGAGCGGGGCCGGTGTTGCCACCGGAGCACGACCCACCGGACCCGGTACAACCGGGTCCACCAGCCGGGCACAGCCCGTGACAGATTGACTTACAATCCATCGGTCTGACGCTCCAACTCGAAGGCTTCGCCACCATGACTCGATTCGCACATTCCGTGTACTTGGCCCGTACATATGACAAGACTCAATAAGGTCTCCTTGGCGATACATGTGACGCATACCATTTATATCCTCATACGTAAATCGTGCTGACCCAGCTCTTGCAATCGCCGCTTGTGCCGCAACCCAAAGAGGAGTCTCGACGCCGTAGTCACAGCGAGTGAAAAGGGCGCATTCCAGATGCTGTACAGCAACAAGATACTGCTTGAGTGTGCTTAACGCTGTAGTCGCTGACCTTCCCAAGAAGAACCAGACAATACAGCGCGAATATGCATCAATGCAAGCATAGACTTGAAAGCCGAAGCGCTTGAGCTTCTCGTACCCATCGAGGCACCAAAGGAAGTTTGGTCCCGGCACGGTAAAGTCAGTACGATGCTTGAAGTTGCCCTCGCGGCGCCTTTGGACTTCCTCCGGAAAGACTGAACGATAAAATCATAGAGACGGTTTTGCGATACCAAGACGCCACCTTTTAGTCGGACATAGTTGTAGAGATAGCCTCTGCCAAATGAACGAACCGCAGATGTCTCTTGGAGGTCCCTTCCAATGAATTCAATCGCGGCACGAAGAGCTGCTTGCCGTTCGTCGTCCGTGCGATAACGGCGTTTCATTCCATTCTGTAGTCGAGTGCGTACGACTGTGTGAAGGGATACCGTCATTCCATCCTTGGTCCGTAAGTCACGAGCGATTGAAGAGTCACTATACCCGTATGTATAGAAGTAAAAGCGAACTCGTTCAATAAGCTCTTCAGTGATGTGTATATTCTGCCGTGAAAGACCCAGAGTGGCCAGATGGCTCTTTAATGTGCGTAACGAGATCTCTGCCTGCTTCTTGCACGAAGGGTATCATTGACTTGAGCCAGTATACCCGTAAGTGTAAACTTTAACTCATGCATCTCAACGATCTCTTCGAACAAGTCATCAAGCCGTAATTGACGAGATAGTCCCCAGGCGGCAATTTGGGTCTGAAGGGTCCGTAAGCTGATTGTCGGAGAGTCTTGGGCGACGAGCAGGCTGTTCAACGATTGCAGCATTTCCTGTTGCGTAGACCTTGACAGGAAGAGACCATTAATGTGATCCCGGAAGGGCTCAAGATCAACACTGCGTTTAGGCATCGTTGTATCGCAGATATAGCAATGCAGTGGTCTCAATTGGGTTATTTGACGTCGGACGAGGGCTCCATACGGTCTTGTGCCTTGAGGCAGGCGGGGTTGAGGGGTCAGGCGGCGTCGTGGCGGTTTAGCGCGATTTCTTTTTTGCGGTGCGTGCCTTTGTTGCTTAAGGGATTTTCCGGTGATCTGCCGGATCTGGCGATTCGCCGGATTTTGGGCTCATTGCATTCCAGCAAAGAACTGAGAATAACTTCACGAATACTATTTGAATTGTTCTAAAATCTTATAAGAGCAGTTAATAATGCTCAAAGATGCCACTCAATCTTTTTGAAGTCATCCAGCCATCGAGGTCGTCTTCTGTTACTCTCCGATCGCGCAAGTCCCCGAAATGCACCCATTGCCTCCCGATCACTATCAACAGCTAAAGAGGGCCTTTGAGGACAGGATATGTCGTTTGAAGTTATCATTGCCTTATTATTTGCGTTATTATATAGTGTGTTTGGTACCTGCAATGCTATGGCCCGCTCTGGTGTGAACGGAAGAGTGACAATTTTTGCAGCGTGAACATCCTGACTCCTCTCGCGACCCTCAGAAGCCACCCGTCGCTCATTCTGCATTTTCTGTGGCTTTTCCACTTTCAAAATCTTCAGCTCTTGTTAATAATGCCAATTTATCTCCTTATTTTGCTTCACGGCCTCCGTCATCCGTCGTTTTCTCCCAATTTCCGCCTCTCATTGCTTCCTCTTCTCTAGAGCGAGAGCTTTGCTCCGCTGCCTTCTGCTGTCGCTGAAGCTTTCGGGCCTCCTTCTTCAGAGCCTCCTCTTTCTTTGGAGTCCTTTCACTGTCATTTTTGGCGAGCTTGAGCCACAATTTTAGAGCTAAACACCTCGTCTGCACTAGAATCTGTACAGCAGAAGAGATCATCTTTGAAGCCTTACCGGTCTGCCTGCGCTGGTTCTTGTGACTACTTGTTCTCTGCATACTTTAACTCTCATATCAAGCACTTAAAACTCATATTGAGGGCTCCCGAGGTGCTGCTCAGCCTTCGGCTGTTGCGCCAGCATCAACAGAGGACTTCTCGACTACTTCCTGAAATGCGTTCCAAAACACAGTCTAGATCTTCGATTTCAGCAATCCAATGAACCTTTTTGATTTGTCTGTGTACTGGATAAGATCATGCGTATACGCTGTTGAGAGAGGCTGAATAACGATACATCAAGGGTTGCAGCCGATGAATGGATTGAGGGGGAAACACCACAACGATCACTCGGTGCCGGTCACACCACTCCATAAATTCGATACTAAAATGGTTAAGTGGCCATCGGGAACCAAAGGCGATAAGCACAACCGTTTCGAGCTTTCACCTGGTAAACCGGTCGAACGTACCGGTGAGCTGCTCATTTCAATATTGTGATTCGTCCACCTCGTTTTTGACGTGTTAAAAATATTTATTGACGACTTGATTCACGTTTCACGAACCAAAAGTCCAGAGTTTGTGCTGGCTTGTCTTGGTGGATGAGAAATGGGGCAGCGATGCCATCTCTTGACTGACGCACATCTTGAACGTAAGGGAGGATGGGTTGCCATTTTTTAATACGCCGAGCAATTTTGCCTTGTTTTCTTATAATAAGAGGAATACCCTGTTCGTTCAAATGCTCATAAGGAATAGAAAGCCCATTTCATCCATGTTATACGTGTTTTAGGGTAGGGTGTCGAATTTCTCAATTTTCGTGCACGTCTTTCCTTGTCAGGTGTGAAAGCGGAGCCTCGCGCACTGAATTTCAAGCTAAAAATAAACCTTACATTCAGATGCATAGATAGGTTCTTTTCAGAAGATGCTTGTACCGTCGAATCACGTTCAATCTGGCTCATTACGGGTGCGTAGAATGAAGTTATCCAGCTCGCCCTTCCAACCCCATTTTTGCAGTATCCTGAGCCAAGTTCTGCACTATGGATAGAATGGGGAGAATCCCACATGATTAAAGCCTACGATGAAAGCCAATAATGTTCTGTTTTGCTGTATTGGCTGAAATGACTTACACAATCTGTCGGCATCCTATTTTGGCCGTTGCTTGGTTTGATGTCAGCACCGCAGCATTGCCCCTAGATAAAAGTTCTAAATATATGCCAGACTTTCACTGCTTCTGATGATTCAGGAAATCAAAGGATACGTCAATTGGCACCGTTGTTGTTGAGCTATTGTCGATTGATGTTGAGCGTGCGAAGTCGCCGCAATCCGGCAGATCACCAGATCCGGCAGATCATCGGAAAATCCCTTAATGTGCGACCGTAGTCTGCGGTTCTTAGTGGCGCGCCCGGGCGCGCAATTTTATTTGGGCGCCCCTTCCCGGTCAGACCCCCTACTCGGTCAGAAAAATTTCCCACCGCCGCGACCCACACTTATGGCAAGACAAACCGAGCACAATGACGGCGACGGGAGACCAATTGGTTCCACGCGAAGAACGGGTCCTGCTCGCCGTCAGGGCCTATCAGCAGGGCCAATTCGAAAGTACCCGCAAGGCAGCGGCCGCATACGACGTCCTCAATCGACAGTATCTGATCGACTGCGCGGTGTCATTCGCCGACGCGACGCTCAGGTGAACAACCTAAAGTTGACGGCGACGGAAGAGACTGCCCTGGTACAATGGATCTTGTCGATGGACGAGCGAGGATGCCGCCGACAGTGGCTTACACTCGTCGGATGGCCAACTTATTGCTATCCGAGCGAGGCAAAGATCCTGTCGGGAGAACTGGGTGCGGAAGTTTGTTGGCCGCCACGGCGAAATCAAGGCAAAGTACTCTCGCCGATACGATTATCAACGCGCCAAATGCGAAGACCCCAAAGATCCAAGGATGGTACGATCGAGTCGCGGCGACGAAACAGAAATGGGGATTCTTGACGAGGATGTCTATAACTTTGATGAGACGGGGTTTCAAATGGGAGTCGCCGCAACGGCGAGAGTCCTTACCGGTCTGACCGGCGAGGTCGGGCAATACTCACGCAGCCTGGAAATCGCGAATGGGTTACTGTGATCGAGTCTATCAATTGCCAAGGTTGGGCTTTACCGGCGAAGGTTATCTTCCAGGGCAAGTTACACCAAGCAAGCTGGTACGAATCAGGAGTGCCCGATGACTGGCATATCGCCGTTAGTGAGAACGGCTGGACTTCCGACGACCTTGCTTTGAATTGGCTAAAGAAGTCTTTGATCCGAATACACGGCGCCGTACGGTTGGTACGCATCGACTTCTTATTCTCGACGGGCACGGTAGCCACGTCACGCCGGAATTTGACAAGTACTGTACGGCCAATTCCATTGTGGTACTCCAAATGCCTGCACATTCCTCACATCTCTTGCAGCCCCTTGATGTCGGGTGCTTTTCGCCGTTGAAAACAATATATGGCCGGAAGGTTCAAGAGAAAATGCTCGCTGGGATCCATCATATCGACAAGCAGGACTTCCTTCCTATATACTTAGAGGCTCGCCGACAAGCACTTTCGCCGTCGAATATCCGAAGCGGATTTATGGCAACAGGCCTCTTTCCGTTCGACCCAAACAAGGTATTATCGCGGTTACAAGTTCAGGTTGACAAAGTTGGTAACGATCACGGCGACAAGAATACCCCAAGCCCCAACAAGAGCCTGGAAGCAGCCAAGACTCCGTATAACGTCAACCAGCTTATCACTCACGCCGAAAGCCTTCTTCAACGCCGGCCACAAAATCCAGACTCGCCAGTCTCACAATCTATCAACCAGCTTATCAAAGGATGTCAAATGGCCATGCATGGCGCCGCCCTCCTTGCCGACGAAAACCGGCAACTTCGGTCAGAAAACCAGCGGCGAAAGCAGAGAAAAGAAAAGCGCCGTGAATACATTGGCGACGGCGGTACTCTATCGGTTGCAGAGGGCACGGCTAGGATAAAGCGACGGAGAGAAGAAGAAGAAGAGCGGGTTAAGCGACGGAGAGTGGAGGAAGAGGAGAGGACCAAGCGCCGGCGAGAGAAGGACGAGGAGCGGGCCAAGCGACGACAAGAAGAAGAAGAGGGCCGAGCGACGGCGACAAGAGAACGAGGAATGGTTCAAGCTACGGCGAGAAAAGGAAGAGGAGCGGGTCAAGAAACAGAGAGCAAAGGAAGATGAGCGGGCCAAGCGACGGCGGGAAGAAGAGGAGCGGGTCCAACGACAGATAGAAGAGAAGCTAAGTGTCCCAAGACAGCGTGCACCACCACGGTGTAGTAAATGTAGGTCTTTTGAACACACTGCCCGTACGTGTAATAGATAGTCCTAAATCGACTTACTTGTCTCTTGGAGTAAATATGTCGTGGTTATTGTGCTCGGTTTGTCTTGCCATAAGTGTGGGTCGCGGCGGTGGGGAATTTTTCTGACCGAGTAGGGGGTCTGACCGGGAAGGGGGTGGATTACGTTAGTACAGATGTAGCTCCGTAGCTTTGGATCTCGTGACCGGGGGTAGCTCCTGCCTAAGCAAAGGACACTTCGACTCCCTCCATTCAGTTTACCAGAGGCAGCCGAGCAAGACAATGGCATCCATGCCACTACGCTTTTTCCAGGCGCAATGGACGTCATTGTCCGCACAGTTCATACGACTGTGCCGTGCGCCACTTTTCTTTCGTCAAGTCACTGTCCGCACGTTTGGCAAGGCTGTTCCTTGGCCTTCGAGCTCGCGAGTCAGCTGGACTTGACTCCCCGGACAGCCTGCCATCGACTCTGCCATCGACACCACCAAGCCAGGACAAGGAAAACGACCCCGCTGCCACAGACAGTCAGGTATCCAGCGCTCAGATCGAACAAGAAGCTTCAATCTTCTTCCCCCTCACAGAGGAGCAAGTTGAAGCCAAGAACGGTGCATTCATCCAACTAATCGACAAGGATGCCGTCTGCCATGTGGCCTCTAAGTACTGTGGAGGAGGAGCTTGCAGCATCATTGATGAGAATCAAGGCAGCTTTAACATCTGCTTCTTTGTTCGCTTCGAGCCCAACGAAAAGACGTGGGTTTTGAGGATTCCAATCGTGCCTATGGTTCGTGATGCATGGGACAAGCTCTTGAGTAAGGTGGCTACGATGCGGTGAGCTATCTCATCACCTGTTCGATGGAATTCTGGTGACGAAATCACCCACGCAGATATATCGAAAGTAACACTTCGATTCGCATCCCTTGCGTCCACGCATACGGAGAAGACGACACGTTGGTGCAAGGTGCTTTGTCACACATAGGATATCAGCCTCCAACAGTCTGACCCCCTATTCGCACAGTCCGTTTCCACATTTCCCCACAGAAACTTCTAGGAGGCATCATCAACGCATCAGTGGCTTCCAGATGATCCGATCAGATGCTTCCATTCACTACCATTCCCTTCCATTCTCATATTCAGGCAGTCTATAAAGATCTCGCCTCTTTCCCACCTTAGATAGCAGAATCAAGAGTCTTCCAGTCCCTGATCTTTATGCCCACTTGCTCATCCTCCGTGCGATAGTTATGAGCCCGGTCTGCCACTGACTGGGTATCTTATTCTTGTTCACTCCGCTGCGCAGAATAGCTTCCACAATGAGCTCAGCTCTAGATCTTGATGGCTCTTCCAAGGGCACCGTGCTCAACGGCCCTTGCGACTGGAAACAATGGATTTCTATCATCAAGAAATTCGCCACGTCCCACAGTCTTTGGGACTTTCTGGACCCTGCCGTCAAGGAGGGTAAGCCGGTTCTTCAGCAGCCAGTTGAACCAACATTCCGACAAATCAACCACGAAGCATCTGATCTCGTGGATCTGACCTCGGAGGAATTTCGCCGTCTCGAATTCCTCCACACCCAATACCGCTCGAAGCTTCAAGGGTATAGGGATCAAGTGAAGGCACTCGCCAGCCTTCAACAACACATCGTCAAGACCATCGGCAACTACTACAGCACCATTGCCGAGGAACACGACGTTGCAAAGCAACTTGCCTTGCTTCAGGCTCGTGTGGCCCCAACCGACTGGGCACTCGAGAGGAAGTTGTTCAGCGTTATCGTTCCACCCTTCAGTCGCCAAACAGGACCAAGATCGAAGCTTGGGTCACCCAATGGCAGAAAGTCCTCACTGAGGCAAAGCAATTAGGGCTTCCTGATGTCCAGGACCTTCGCCCTACCCAAGATTTCCTACAGGCTGTTTCGTCCATCAACGCCCCATTCACAGACTATTGGGTCAACAAAATGGAAGACGAGGCCGTATTCGGCAAGCCTGATTGGAAGACGGACTTCCCGGACGGCATTAAGATCAGTGAGATCTTTGAACGAGCTCACCGAATCAAGGCCGCCAACAACAGCAAAGGATCATTCGGAGCTGCCTTCCAAGGCAAGGGAGAGAAATCGGAGAGGAAAGAGGACAAGCCTAAGTGGTCTTCAAGCAAGAACGCTGATGGTGTTCCTATGTGTGTCTGCGGAGAATATCACCGCTTCGTAGATTGCTTCTATCTCATCAAATCAGCTCGGCCTGATGGCTGGACTCCTGATCAGAAGGTTGAGAAGAAGATCAAGGAAATCCTCGACTCCAATCCATGGGCAAAGAAGATGACGGAGAAAGCACAAGACTTCAAGAAGAAGGAAATGGAGAAATCGTCCGACTCCTCCGTTAAAGGCACAGCGTTTGCCGGTCTTCTACCAGCTCCTGACAACACACCGCCTCCTCAACACCTCCATCAACCAGTTTCTCGACGGGAAAGGCAGTCTACCCGCTGTATGACTCCTTTATCCTTGATTCCGGATCAGACACACACATTTGCAACAACCGATCCCGTTTTCTTGACTACACCGCCCTGCAGAGCCAGAAGAGCTCTTTGCAGGCGATAGTCAACTTCAGATCCTTGGCTACGGCACAGTCCGTATGAAGCTTGAAGAAGGAGGACTTTTCAGCTCAACGAAGTTGCCTTCGTGCCAAAATTCCACACCAACATCGCATCCCTCGACCGCTTTCTTGCGAAGGGATACAACTGGAATCCACTATCTGGACGCGTCTCTAAAGACGATCAGATTATATTTCATACGAAACGCCGCTTTCGTCAACCGGTCATCGAGTTCAACCCGATTAAGGAGGACTCTCACGCCTCCAATTTCACATCTTCATCTGCACCTCGCACAGTGAAAACAGCAGATGCTACGCTTTGGCATAAGCGCCTAGGTCACTTGAACGCTCAAGCCCTAGAGCATCTTGTTGAGAACACGACGGGTTCGAAGATCAAAGGCCCAGTTACCATCGATTGCACCGCGTGTTCCCTTGGGAAGGAAAGAAGGTCGTCTCTCGCCGAACCCTCAAAACCGAGCCCCAGACCATTCTGGAGAATCTACGTTGATATCTTCAGTATGAACACCTCATTCAACGGCAAGGAAGCTGTTCTTCTTATCAAAGATGAATTTACAAGCATGATCTTCATCTACCTTCTGAATGACGCGACACAAGGGTCCGTTATGACTGCTTTGAGAAACCACGAGGCAATGGTTCAACGCCAATGGAATCTCAACATTTGCATTATCCACCGTGATAACGATCGTTCTCTTCAGAGTGCGTATGAGAGCTGGATCGAGGAAAAGGGATTCAAGATGAACCTTCTGCCCTTACACTCCCGCTCAAAACGGTTCTGCAGAGCGATCTGGGGGTAATATCTGCCCAGGCCAGAACAATGGGAATTGATGCCAATTTACCATCTGATCTTTGGCCAGAGACTTGGAAAGCAGCAGTGTTTTGCACAACAGATCGCCCATGCAGAACCACAGCTTCCGAACGCCTTTCCAGCTGCTTCATCAGTGGCTGCGAGACAACAACAGAGACATAGGCTACCAGCAAGACCAGCCTGACATCACGTTTCTCAAGGCATACGGCTGCAGAGCCTATCCCTTGACACCCCAGGCCCTTCAGAACAGACAGAAGAAGGACCTAAAGACCGACCCTCACACAGAAATCGGTTATCTCGTTGGATATGATTCCACGAACATTTTCAGGATCTGGATTCCGTCCACATCAGAAGTCCGAAGGGTCCGAGATGTGACCTTCAATGAAAGCATCTTCTATGACGGAAATGATCAGCCACCAGAACCTATCCCACAGCGCGTGGAAGTACAGCTTCCAGCCCACATCGAGGACGAGTCGGATTACGAGGAAATCCCCACTCAAATCGATGAACCTGAACCTGACCCCGTTGAGCAATCTCCCTCAACCTCAGACCAAGGAGACGCCACCACGATTGTGGTACAACCCGAACCATCTGATCATGAGGACTCGGATGATCAGGATGAGTTTCATGACATTCAGCACCCATATCCGACACCGGACCCCGGTCCGAGTGACTCAGCCACGGCGCTCAGCCCGCTCACCAAAGCTCTGCCAGGCCAGAAATTTGCTACTTTCGTCAAACAACTCGGTCTCGTCGATATCTCTACGTTGCTAGGGATCTAGTTTCTTTCTTCAGTTTGCACTGCCCACTAGCCAGCACAACCTGGGGGGGTATGTCACACATAGGATATCAGCCTCCAACAGTCTGACCCCCTATTCGCACAGTCCGTTTCCACATTTCCCCACAGAAACTTCTAGGAGGCATCATCAACGCATCAGTGGCTTCCAGATGATCCGATCAGATGCTTCCATTCACTACCATTCCCTTCCATTCTCATATTCAGGCAGTCTATAAAGATCTCGCCTCTTTCCCACCTTAGATAGCAGAATCAAGAGTCTTCCAGTCCCTGATCTTTATGCCCACTTGCTCATCCTCCGTGCGATATGCTTCAACACCATTTATGATTATGGAATTCATATCCGGGCGGCAACTTGGTATTACCGGTATACCGAATCATACCAGTAACGCTAAAAATAAGCTCAGGTAAGAGGCTCACTGCGGAGAATGACCAGGCAGAATCCGAGCGGCGATGTTTCCAGTGTCATCTGTAGGGCTTATTGACCAGTTTTCTGCCAGTTTATCTACTCCATTCCATCATGAATACCATCATCCTCACAATATCGACCTGGCTACCTTGGTCAGGTCGATCCGGCACCGAACGGATGCTTTTCGTCTTTGCTGCCGGGTAGCTATCCCAGGAAGGCCCGAAGGTAAGGCTAGTGTTAGTGCGTATTAGAAAGTACTTCTCATTGCACCCAGTTTTATGAGTTCTTCCATGTAGGACGGAGCATGACTTATGGTCACAGTAGGGTATACGTAATGACAAATTTTCTTCCCAAATGCGTTTTGAGACAGTCTGGCCTACAGTCGCCCGTACTTTTTGAGACAGTCTGGCCTACAGTCGCCCGTACATACCATGCCCCACCCCCCTTTCGGTAACACCCACCTTTCGGTAGCGCATTAGGAAATATCCCCACCAAAACCCATCAATTTCACTTACACCGATTCCAGCCAGCTTTGAAGATATTCACAAGCCGTCACTTGGAGTAGATAGAGGATTGATTGAATTCTACTTTTCGATGGTTGAATGTTTGTACAGGGTCTGTGGCCTGTGCGTACCTTGCACGCGAAATTACCATCCAACCCCTAATCTCCTTCCGCCTCCTGACGATGATTCTTCTCGTTATTCCTCCACCACATGACCAAAATGACCTTAAAGCGGCCTCGGAGTATTTATACGGAGGATATTATAGCTAATGCGATAATTGATGTCACAAAAACGGCTTGTCGCAGTACCGCGCCGCCCAAAGTATGACATACCTCAGCAGTCTATTTCCGACAGACTCAAAGGCCAGGTAGCCCTGGCTGATCAGATCCAGCCTCGTCAACTCTTGAGTAAGTCTCAGGAAGCTCGCTTGGTTTCTTGGATCCTCCGCCAAGAGTCTCTCGGCTATGCTCCTCCCACAGTCAGATCCGCGCATGTGTGGAGGCTCTTATGAAGCAACTGAACAACGAGCGGACAGTGGGGCGCAACTGGGTCTCTAAATTCATCAATCGCCATCCGGACATCAAGAACAAGCGTGGGAGACGTCAGGAAGCTAACCGATTTAATGCTTTTACGCCTCGTGCGGTTCACTGGTTCTTCGATATCAGGAAAAGGAGTATGGATGGATTAAACCAGAAAATACCGTGAATGTTGACGAAGGCGGTATTATGTCTGGCTTTGGTGAGTATTTGGCTTGTCTTTCATTACTTTTACTAACCAGACTCTTTTGCCAGGTTTGGATAGTCTTGTGGTTGGGAGTGCAGACCCAAAACGGAAGGCCCTTCTGAAAGGGCCACAGTCCCGCAACTGGACCTCATTTATTGAAGCTATCACCGCGGACGGCCGTGTCCTTACCCTGGCATTATCTTTAAGGGCAAAGAACTTCAGAAACAGTGGTTCTTGACGGAATTCGGCAAAATAGCCGACTGGCATTACATAACGTCGCCCAACGGATGGACGGACAACCATATCGCTATTGAGTGGCTTGAGGGTCTATTTGCCCCAGACGCGACCAGCCGATGCCTCAGATGCTAGACTGATCATATTAGATGGACATGGAAGTCATGCAACGGTGCGTTTCTTTATCCACCTCTGTAGGAATTACCGTTAACCGGGACCAGGATGCATGGATGGCCACATGCTTTTTGAACAACGTTTATTGCTGTTACCTTCCTGCCCACTGCTCTCATGGCCTCCAGCCGTTAGATAACGGTGTATTCAATGCCTCCAAGGCAGCTTACCGGAAAGAACTTCAGAAATTGACCTGTTTGACCGATTCTGCGCCTGTTCATAAGGTCAATTTTATACGGGCATATGCTAAAGCGCGCGAGGTTGGAATGACGGCAAAGAATATATTGTCCGGCTGGAGGGTCACTGGGAATTGGCCGATCTCACGATCCAAGGCATTGCGGCATCCAGAAATTCACGCGGACATTGTAGAGACGTCTCCAAAGTCCGCGCCATTTTGGGTTCTGATGATACGCCAAGAAACAGCCGCCAGATTCGCGATTTCGGAAAGAACAAGACTCCTGGCACCCGGAGACGATACGCCGTGATAGCTAGAGGCTTTGAAGCCCAAGAACAGACGCTTGCCGAGCACAGCAACAGAATCGCGAAGCTAGAGGAAGAAGTGGCCCGGCTGCAGAGAGGCAAGAAGAGGAGAGCAATTCCGAACCCGAACAGACGGTTCATGACTCTCAGTGAAGCTTTGGTGGCTGAGAAGCCATTCCCAAATTAAAAGCCAAGAGATAGCCGTTGTGCTGAATTCTGACACAGAGGAGGAGGCGGTCTCAGAGGTGGAGACAGCTTCAGTGATCGAAGTCAAGGTGGCACCGAAGCCCTTCCAGTCACCACCAGATCCGGGCGAATGGTAAAAAGCGCCGGTACATATAAGAGCGTCCATTTTTTTTGTGTTTATAATGTTAAGTTCTGATCATATTTCATGTAGTTCAAATGGTAGACTTTTGGTGGAGAATTTTTCAATTGCGCTACCGAAAGGTGGGTGTTACCGAAAGGGGGGTGGGGCATGGTACTACTTATTGGAGTTTTGAGGTATTTTTGCAATCGCTTAGGTACACACCAAATTCACTTCGTTTAGGGGATCCCTTCAAACCATTCATGAATGGCCTGAATTGGCCCAAACCCAACTTGAATCGCGAAAATTGGAGCTTGAAGATTTTGAATCGAGATCCCAAAAATTCAATTCATTTGATTCATCCTTCATTCAAAATCTTCAAAAAATTCACCTTCGTATATCACCCCTACGATCGCGTTGGTAGTGATCTCGCTGATAGCTGCGGTCGCGGTCGCGGCTATCGTTCCTAAAGCTGCGATCACGATCACTACTACGATCACGACTTTGGTAGTTGCGGTCACGGTCACGGCCTTGGGGGCGTTCATCGTATCTGCCGCGAAATTCCAATGCCGCGGAGATCAGGGGTCGGCGTTCCTCGATTTCTCGTACCCACTTGTCAATTGGCGTGCGTTTAGTGGGCACAGAGAGGTGAGTAGCGATTTGGACCGCAATCAAGGGTGGATGCTTTGGATGATTTGGTAGTCCTTTTCGATGTTGATTTGCCTTGCTAGGAGACTTTCCGTTGAATCCATTGAGGCAAGGAGACTTCACCAGCATTCCACATTGACACGGTATACGGAATGCCGTGTAATTCCTTGAGACCTCTGCTGCTGGGCGTTGGAATCGCTTGATGAGCATTTTACAGAAACGCTCTACTGATGACTTCATAAGGCGATCCTTCTGCTCGATGGAAAGTTCATTCATGAACCACTGTAGAGCTCCGCCGGCAAGGAAAGACATATAGTGCTGCGACAAGGCGTAGGAGTCGAGATCCTTGTACATTCGCAGGCGCTCGCAGAAGAGGTATACATCCGTGTACACATTGCTGCCGCTTGAGAGGGACACAAGGCCTTGTTTATGAGGATCCTTGTGATTGGGGTTGAAAACACCCATGTTGTCACGTTTGAGCCTCTTGGCAACAGCTTCCACATCACTAGAGGTTTGAAGGTCTGTGTGGTAGGGAGAGGCGCTCCGGCGGCTGTGAGCGTATCCAATGCCAATGCTGCTTCCAGAGCTGCTGCTGCTGGAAGAAGAAGATTCCGAGTCGCTTGAATCATCTAGTCGTAGGTATCTGCGATGCTTGTGGTGACTGCGGCGGTCGCGGCGGCTGTGGTGGCTATGCCGGCTTCCTTTCTGCTTCCTCACGCCTGAAGGTGATTGTGACTGAGTTGGCGCCTTTGGGGGTTCCGTTGACTGCAACATAGCTTGAGAATTTATACCTCGCTGTTCCGTGGGAAGTTGTTGGTCGGCATCCGGAAGATATACCAAATTGGATGTCATTGACCTCGAATCAACTTCCTTGGGCGTGATCTTCGAGATCAATTTCATCATGTTGTCCTCTGTGGGTTCCGGCACAATATAGGCTTTTCCACCACTGCTCTCCATGCAGGCACATGTTCGAGGTCCGAGATGCCGGCTTGTGGTACAGCCAATACTTCGCGTAGGCTGATTTGATGAGCACAGACGTGGAAAGGAGATCTTCCAAGGCTTCACATGCTTCCTTGTCACGGACTGTGAAGGTATCGAGAGCTTCCTTAGATTTGTCTCGCATCAGCTTGAGGAATCGGATGGACCATTTCCACGCGTTGAGAGCTTCTGGGAGCTGCTGTAATTGGTCTGCCAATTGCGAATGATTGTCCTTGGGGTTGAGAGAGACTCTGTTGCGCTTCGGGCGGCGTTGCTGGACTGCGTCCGGTAGCCGGGGTCCATCATCTTCTTCAGCCGGGCGTGGCGAGCTTCTATCGTCAGCTTGCTTGACCGAGCTTCCTTCGTTGGTCGGTTTGGCCATTGTGTGGTCGGTTTGCTTGCCAGCTGACACTTGCGATAGTGATATACGATTACACGGGCTTTCGCAAAACTTCCTATCACCAAAGTCGTCACGAGCGAAAGACACCTTAATGCAACGGTATTGACCCTATAGCGTTATCACGAGGGTGAAGAAA